ACGATTGTAATGAGTCAAAATGCGAAGGATTTCTCCGCATGCCAAAGCCCATTGCTCTGAATAGTCATTCTGCTAGGATTGTGAACATGTCAGCATAAAATGGTATAGCAACTCTACACCAAATCAGCAAGTCATGAAAGAAAATCTTAGCTGTACTACACAGCTAGAACTGTTGGGAAACTATTTACCTCACTACTTGGGCAAACTAAAGATATAAAAGAGGCAAACGGATGAGCTTCCTTGCTGTACACCAACGAGCCATCAATAAGACATGAAATGATTGGAAGAATTACTGCATGACCATGCTCGGGATGATGGAGGACAAACATCGCTGTTCATCAGCAACCCAAAATCAGATGGACATTCACAAAAAGGAAGTACGTATATAGGATCATAAATGTTGATAGAGAAGTTCATACCCAGCACATCGTCCAAAAGCCGCTTCTCAGTTGATGGATACTGATGCCGGACCAACTGATTCAGATAATTATACATCAATAAAACAGCACTACTAAGAGAATACTATTATTATTTAGCCTCACACAATAAGTACCTCAGCAATGTCATCTGGGAACTGCTCTGATGTAAATTGACCAAAATATTCGACATAAGCAACGACTTGATCCTAGGATATAACCGGAGAACACAATCAGTAATCAAACAAGGAAATGAGAATTGCCAGTTCATGGATGAGCCAAAACCCTGGCCAGTTTCAATCTTATAGCTCTAACCTTATGCTGCTGAGGATCTCGTGGCGGAGGCCATAACAAGGAAGAGAACTGTAGACCATCGATCCATCTCTCAGATGAAGATGAAGATGAACTAGCCATCCAGAAGAATTAAATACCAGAAACCGAAACTAAACCCCCACTAGAATCAACAATCTAACTAACACCTTTCTTCTACCAAATCGAGAAGAATCAATACGTCGTCGTTTAACATTCGCCGGCAAGAACAAACTCTATACACATCACCAACACACTGTACACTAAATCGAAGCTGAATTAAAACGCTATGTCTTTGTTATTCGCTCCTTTCTGTTACAATTCAGAAGAACAAAATCTCAATCAGTGATAACAAAAAAATTTGAAATCAAACAAACAAATCTAAGCTGAGAAAAAAAAATGCAAGTAGAAACAGTGAAGAAAACGTACACACACAACACCAAACTGGAGAAATTAAGCAAATCAAGGAGAATCAATCAACAAAAAAACACCAAATGATTCGGTAAAAAATCTCATCTGAGAATAAATCAACAAAAACCACAGAAAAAAATACACACAAGTAATAATAATAGAAGAAAGACCTAAGATTGTTGATTATCATCACCTAGTCTTGCTGTTTTTTTTAGCTTTGAGGATATTTTTGAGAGATGGAAGAATATCGGAGAAAAAAGAAGAAGAAAAATATCAAAAAAGGATTCTGAAGCAATACATACACACAAGAGAGATTGTGGTGGCTTGGCCTTTGGAGAGAGAGAGAAAGAGATTTGGAGGCTTCTCCACTCGGTTTAAGATTTCCCGTCCGCTTACGTGTCATCGATATTCCCTAGCCTTGCCACGACCTTTATGCGCCATTACCATACACCATCATCCTCACATACATGGCCATCCATAATACCTTGGTTAAAATTTTAGGATCATATTTTTCTTAATTTTTAAACATATATATACGATTTATCACTCAATGAAAACAATTCTACTTCTTAAAATAGTTTGTTTTAGTGTTGTTTTTGAATCACAATTCGAATTCAAATTCGTATAATGCGTGTGATTACCAATTTAAATAATTAGTTTTAATCCTAATAAATAGATTTTGTAAACTTATATTTACTCCAAAAAAATTTCTATTTTTAACTATGAGTTAAGTTTAAAATCTCCTTTGAACAAAAAAAAAAGTTTAAAATCTCCTTAAACATAAAATTATATCAAAAATTTGTGGTTGTTTTTAAATAAAACTCTAGATTCAAAGTATGATAAATATTGGTAAAGAATTTGTTATTATTTTATTTAAAAGTTTGGTGGTCATGAATGTATTATTGAGTTATTAAATTAAATAAACCTCTCATGTGATTTAATTAATTAATAGTTTCACAAACAAAAACAGAACTAGTGACATATGTTCACAGATATTTTGGGAGGAGCTAAGTTCAGATGCAACGAGGTGTTGCGTACACCCTCGAATTCTCCACCGTTGATTCAGTCCCACTCCACAAATTCGTTTATAAGATTTCGGGCACCTTGCCCAGAACAGTTTCGAGCCGTTCGATGGTTGTAGATAAACGGGCAGCTTTTGAGGAACAGCCCGTTGAGAAAATATCTAAATGGGCCTCACATTTGCTTTAAGATATTTTAAAATCTTCCCACTTGGTTACTTTTTTTTGGGGGCAAAAACCCACTTGGTTACTACTATACCACATAAACAAGTAGAACATAAAATAATGACGTGTACCAATCAGAGTGGAGCAAGAGATCTGTGGACGTTAATCTCTCGCCTAACAAGAGACGTGGCGCAATAAGATGCTAGCAATATATTGTAATGCTCTCCATACGATTCTTGATTGTGTGGTCCACTTCTGTCTGGATGGCTCTTGTCTGAATAGTGAATAATATGGTAACATAACTGGGCTTTGGTCATGTACCATGTAATGTGATGGGCTCAAACCATACGTGGAGTTATGTAACTGGGCTAAAAATAATTGTAATTTAAAACAATCTATATTTCACTGTAATTGCTTGTAAAACATTTTTTTTTATGTCAAATTGTACTTTTGAGGAGAATTTACTAATTATTATATATTAATCAAGATGATAAAATGTTACATTGATGTATCGTGCTTATGTAAACGCGTTTTGCAATTAGCTCAAATTTGGGTTTATGATTTACCATTAGCAAAAAAAACTATTAATTTTAATAAAGCTACTTTGCCTACTTTTTTGTTGTGTTAATATATCATTTTATTAACAAGCTTTTATTAAAGTAATACTATAGTGGAGAAAATTTTATAAAATTTTAAAACTTTTTGAAAAGTCGTATGCTCAAATTGTAGACATTTCTTTCGGTAGATATATTAAATATTTAAGTTATAGTCCAATGAATTGATTCTTTTGTGGTTTAGCAAGCGAGATATTCATTACCCCTTTCATTGTCAACAAAACCTTTTAACAATGCTACTATTTTTTTTTTTTGGTAAGTAACAATGCTACTATTTTTCGTCAAGTATTACTCTATTATAAATTTATACAATATATTTTATTTTCTTTCTTGACATTATACAATATACTTTTTTCACAGAAGAACCGTGGCATCAATCAATTTAATATAAGAAAATTCAAATTGAACATCTTTGCAACGCGAAATGTAGAAAACCGTCAAACCAAATTAAGCTCAAAACTTTATTTATTCATTATGTTATACTTTGAAATTTAAAAATCTTTATTGAAATCTAAATTTAGTAAAAATTATTGATTAGAGATATGTTGGTTTATCATACGATCATAGTTTAGATGTGGTACAGAAAACAATCCCTAAGGTATCATAATTCCATTTTTATCTCAACTCAAATAGATGTAAAAATCTAAATTCTAAAATTTTGTCAAATATTTACTACGTTAGTATATAGTCTTACGTTTCAAAGTAAATGTTAAAGAGAAAAAAAAGAAAGTGAATAGAACAATCTAGAATCAAACAATGAATGGAAACATTAGCAAGTTAATTAAAAATATGCAAAAGGTGAGTGAAGTCAACAAATGATGAGGCAAAGGGTCGGCGGCTAGTATAGCTCCAATGAGAAGGGTCAGAGTCAGACACATTTTGGACGGTGACACGTATCAACCCCACTCACTCTCTTCTTTATTCAATCATTTTTAAAATCTTCTTATGGAGTATGGCAATTTGAAATTAGCATTGATGTTGACTTTTTATAATTTCTTTCATATGAACAAAGATGATTAATTTATGTACCATCTCGAAAAAAAATCTAATGAGAAGCCTCAGCACTCAGCTAACATATAGTAGATTATTAATTGAATTAGATTCTTGTTGTGACTGAGTATATTCGATCAACATAAACCATTCAAATTAACGTCATATCAAACATTTATTATGAAATGAATGATACAATCATTGAATTGCTTGCTTCTAATTATAAAAACATAAAGAGTCTCTTATATTCAACCCCTCACAAACAAAAAAAAAAGTCTTGTGTGCATATAATTGATATCAACTACATGTTGAAATACAAACCACAAAGTTTGAGTAGGACACATTCGAATAATTTCATAATAGAAGGCTTGTACTTTACTCCTACCATAATAGAAGGATTGTCCCTTGTTGCTGACCATGACTACCGAACAACTTAAATTTCAAGTAGAGTTGGATATTTGGGGATTGGGAAATGCATTTGAGTTTTTTTTGTTGAACTGTTTAACCTTTTTCTTCCAATACATACATATAGGACCTGAAAATTTGTGTCTCAAAGAAACAAAAATCAGAACATATGTCATATATTTATTTTCTCGACAATAACATACACTACGTGGACTTAACCAGTAGGATGGTGTTGCACCGTCAACTCTGTCACAAATCACTACGCCGCTACATGTCCGTCCTGGTCATATCACCCACACATGTGAGGGAAATTTAATTGATCTCATGTTAAGACACTAGCAAGATCCTCACTCATGGATATCATGGTCATGTTGATTTGTCCGACAAGGTAAATTTTTTGTCTAAGGATCAATTTGGAGGTCGGAAATTGAGATAGTACAATTAGGAATTCCAACAATGTAGAAGAAATAGTCTACTCAGATTTCTAAAAAAAGACTAATCAGCTAATCGCAGATTATTAAGAAATCATCATCGTCCAGAAAAAAGCACATAAACTAAGTAAAAGACACAAAAACCATAAACTAAGTAAAAAAACTGCTAAAGAGAGTAAAGAAGACTTAAAACCAAAAAAAAAAAAAAAAAAAAAGAGTCCATATCAAAACTAGAAAAAAACAAAGTTCAGCAAACGCATTGCAAATTTCAATCGGTGGTAGAGAAACCAAGCTCATGATCAGGTGGATCAACAGATAGCCTGAGAACATCCAAAGCCTCAGATACTTTAGACTTGAGTGCTTCTGGTGACTCCATCAAGTGCAGGATCTCGGCTTGATCCATCTCCAACAACATTCCTGTGACTTTAGCCACGTGAAGTGGTTCGTGCCTTTCCACAAGTGGGTAAAGTTGCTCTCCAAGCATCTGTTCCCAACCAAATATATTTTTTAATAAAAATCTGTAAACAAATAAATATGCCACTAGGTGCATAAAAAAAATCTAAAATAAATAAATATGCTAATCTACTATATCAACTATTTATGTGATTTTAACTTTTATTCAGTAATTACAAGACCATAATTCTTTCAAACATTTGATGTTAAGACACAAAATTCACCAAAAACATTTTCAGCTTTTCAAAAAATATATTGTAAATTAAAATGCAAATGTAACTGATCTATATATCTCTTTGTGTTTGTTTTTCCATTAACAATTGACAAAATATGTTTATAAGATGTTTAGAGTTATGGGTTTATTATTCAAAAGATATACACCAAATGCAAAAGCAAACGCAAAATAAACATGTTTAGCTAAGATGGAAAGAAAAGAGACAAACCCGAGTGCGATCAGCTGGACTAGCAGAAGCTAAAGAAGAAGTGAGCTTAGAGATTGGAAGGAGAGGAGCTTTCTGGTGAGAGATTGAAGAAGCATCTATTGGCAAAGGCATGATTGGAGGCAAGATTCCTTGGGGAACACTTGAATCCATTCCGTTCCTCCCGTTACCCGCACCATTCATATATCTCATTCCCGGGGTCGGGTTACGGTTCATAAGCTGTCCATCCAATCCAATTCAGTTTCATGATTGTTGAAAACTATAAAACAAACTCAGTTTAGTTAACATACTTGTTGTTGTTGGATGTGGTGTTGCATGTTAGTAGCACCACGCCTGAATCCCATACGAGGACCGGTTTGAGGTTGTCTTTGAAGAGGATAAGGCATGACGAAGTTGCCCGGGCCAGAACCTGGGCGCATACCAGGCATGAATTGAGGCTGGAATCCATATCCAATGGGCTGGGATGGGACCAGACTTGTTCCGTTCTGGCCTACGTACATGTGCTGAGGTGGACCCGGCATTGGTCCACTTGGTGGGTGATGGAACCCCGACATTGGCCCTGGTGCTCTAATCTGTGAAAACAGCGCCTGAATATAGCAAACGTATGTACTTTGTCACAACACAACTATAACAAACCCATTTTTTTTTTAATATGTAAAGAGAATTTAACAAACTTGTAAGTGTGCTCGTCTATCTTCTTTGCGCTGCGCAAGAGCTATGTATAGTGGTTTCCTTCCTATCATCTTCCCATTCATTTCACTCAGCTGCATTGTCATATATATAATAATCTCTTAGATATCAAAAGACACGAATGATAACAGAAGACTATATTACAATTTTAGAAACTCACTGCTCTTAAAGCTTCTTCAGGATTGGAATAAGCAACAAAACCAAATCCTCTGCTCAATCCTTGTGGATTAAGCATAACCTACATTTAGTTATAAGATTATGTCAAGGAAAACGTGACATCAACAACCTATATTTATGAATGTATGTATGGCTTTTAATTATTACCTTGGAAGATGTTACATTTCCATATTCAGAGAACATCTCCTTGAGTTTCTCATCATCGACGCTATCATCAAGATTCTTCAAATACAGGTTCGCTCCTTGAGATTTCTCAAACCGGTTTATCCTCTCCTGCTCAAACTTCCTTCTTAACTCTTCTTCTCTTTCAGACTTCTTCTGAGCCCTCCCAACGTACAACACATCATCCCCTAAGCTAATTCCATTCATCTTCTCAACCGCAGAAGCCGCTGCTTCAGTACACTCAAAGTTCACAAACCCGAAACACCTAGAGTTCCCACTCTGGTCCCTCATAACAACTGCACTCGATATGACTCCAAATTTACCAAATGTTTTTCGTAGCTCGTCCTCACCAATCTCTTTGGGGAGATTCTTGACGTACACGTTAGTGAAACGCGGTGTAGGGGTGTTTTCATCACGAGCACGTTCTTGACGTCTGATGAAATGTCCCACAAAGACTTGCTTGTCGTTCATTAGCATTCCGTTTAACTTGTCAATTGCGGCTTGAGCCGATTCCTCCTTCTCAAACTGGACAAATCCATACCCCTTGGACCGGCCAGTCACGTCCATTGCAACTTTGCATGAGAGGATGGTTCCAAAACTTGAAAACGTCTCGAACAATGCCTTGTTGTCGATTGAAGCATCAAGGTTTTTGATGAAAATGTTTCCTTTGCCGCTCAATCGTGTGCTCGGATCACGGTTCGAGAGCATGATCCGAATGGGCCTATCAAAGAGGGGAGTGTAGTTCAAAGCCTCCATTGCACGGTAAGCTGCAAAAATATAAATCACGTTAAACATATCTATATAAATCGATAAGCAAATAAGATCTCTCTCCATTATAATAAACTAGCATCTATGAAATTTATAAATGCACAAATACGTATAGTTTCCACGATGAGATGGGTATTGGAAGAGATTTTTCAAACAAATTAATCACGTTTTGAACTAATTAAGAAAATCCCAAAATAAGAGACTGATGCATAATTCTATAAAATATTGTAGCTTCGATATTCAATCGATATATATCAATGTAGCAGAAACATTGTATAGTAGAGAGGAACTATAGTATATAATTGATGATTATATGTTAATTTCTAGACAAATATTAGCATCTAAGAAGATGATTCGCAAAAACATGATACTTGTCATAATTAATTACCAGGACTAATAAAAAAAACGAGACTGAACAAAGCAAATCATAGTGTTTCTCTTTATTGTTATGAATTCACGATAATATATTTACTTTTTCAAGATATGAACCCTAACTTGCAATTCAAGCAAAATAGAATTGTACTTACCATCATTAGGGTTACTGAAATTGATGTAGGCATATCCCAAGGATCGACGATTCTGGTCACGACAAACTCTTACCGAAACAACATTAGCGACATGCTTGAACAAATCGAACAGATGCGCTTCAGTCACTTTTGGGTCCAAATCTCCCGCATAGAGAGACGAGTTGGGATGTGTTTGATCGGCGACCGCTGCCAGAGATGGAGCAGGTATCGAAACCGGAACCTGAACCGAAGTCTGAGCCGTCGGACTCGGAATTTGATCAACCATTGTTGCCGGTGCAACACCCGTCGCAACCGCTGCCGCCATGATTATGAGTTTACTTTTTACAAGACGATTTGTTATTTCGTCTCGTGAAAGGAAACAAAATCACTGATTCTAAAAAAACAAAGATTCGATGATTTGTTTCTCCAAGGTTTTTAAGTGAGAAAGAGATTTTATGTAAACACCATAACTCGATGATTTGTTTCTTCAAAATTTTTGATTTTATTTATTTTTTAGGAATTTTATTCTTATTTAGATTTTTTTTCCTTTTTTAGTTTCCTCCAATTATCGAAAGGAGTGAAGAGAGATAAAATTGAATTAGTGTGAAGAGTGTGTACGCATATTTATACATAACCAGCAAGCCTATAAATCCGAACAATTAACGATTTAGTGAAGGACACAAATGTCACTTGATTTTTACTATTAATAGCTAATTCGTGTGTTTCATGCATCTTTGATAATAAGAACTGGTCACAGTTTTGAATTATGTTTACCTTTATTGTCGCTTATGTTTTTTACAGAGATTTTTTTTTTAATTCCACACATCAAAATGTGCTAATTTTGTTCCTACCAAAAAAAAAGGTGCTAATTTTGTTTTTTTTTTAATATATATACCGAAAGCAACATTAAATTTTTTGATTCATAAAAAATACATGATTTTTTAAGGCTATTAGGCACACAAATCCTAATTATTTTCTAATAATGTAATCAATGAGAGGTCTTACGAGCTAATTATAATTTATAAATAAAATTCAATAAATTCATTTAACATTTATTAGGATTGTGATTTTTATGTTTTTGATTGGAGTAAAAGACGAACACCTAACTTTTGGGAGCAGAACTTGCGACTATTGATTTGGTCATGGCTAAGATATCCATCTACATTACTATTTATAGAGACATGAAACTATTTTTAAACTCTTTTGACCAGATATTGGATTATGATAAATGAATTGGTGATTTTTAGTTTAGTTTAGATTAAATCAGCTACTGTTTGTGATGTAAATAGGTTTAATAATACTACGAAATATCCGTACACATATATGCATTCAAGATTTTTATTAGTCTAAATCGGCGTAAAAAATGGGCATCCATGTATTTTTAGGAGTTGAGATTGCAACTCTTGATCTTGTCATAAGCTCATGTGGCCGATTGGTAAGAGCTGTTAGTTTTGGCTATAAAGATTTTGGTTTTAAGAACTTTGGTTGTACAAAGTTTGACTGCAGAGATTTTGGATGTATAAACTTCGGCTGTTAAAATCTGATTAGTAGAACAAGGCTAGTTGTGACTGTTATTTTTTTAGAATTATATATATTCATAATAAATATAAATAATATTATAATTGAATTCATGTGACAATATAATTTATTAATGATAAGAATTTAGAAAATACAAAAATTCACAAATAAATGAATAGAAATATAGTCTCAATAAATAAACGAAATATGTATTGAATGGTCTATATGAAAGTATATGTATTATTAAAAATACTATTCTATAAATTCTTTTATACCAATATTAATGGTGATTATGAAAATAAAATGATTATTATTGAAATGGATCCTAAAAGAAATATTGAAAAATGATAATAATTAATTTATCAAAAAATATTTGTGAAACAATATATGTAAACATGTAGAGAGATTCTAATTATTATGGGAAGAAGAAAAAAAAAAGTTTTTAATTATTATTTATTTAAAAATTTTATTATTTGTTTGAAACTCTCATATTTGTGACTTTAGATAATTGAACGTAAAGATTTAATAAGTGGGCAGTTAGACTTTAAAAAGTTTTAAAATTGTGATTGATAAATTTTTGATTTTTAAAACTTTTAAAAAAAATTACAGCCTTAAAGCCTCTCCCAATCACCCTCCGTAGCTACTAAAATCCATCTACATTACTATAAACAGGGATATTAAACTATTTTGGATTCTTTGACCGGATCATATGGATCGGATTACAATACACCATATTTTCAATTAGTGTGTGTTTTTGGACCAACCCATAAAAACAATTTATAATTGTATCTTAAAATACTAAATAATTATATTTTGATTTGTTAATTTTAGGATTTCACCCGTAGTATATTGTCCCGTTTTAGATAATTGTAGAAATTAAGGAAAGATCCGAATGACTCAATTTCGGGTCAGAATAAAAAAACGATCTGATTAAATGCGCAATTTGTTCTTAAAAAATGTTAATGTAGAGTACACACTTTTTTCTTTAACGATTGAGTAATATATGTCCGTTTAAAAAAAATTGAATCATAGCATATGCAGAAAAAATCTAAAATTTTATTAACTATATATATTTTATAATAATTCAAAATAATATAAGATGAAATAAAAGTGAAATGAGAATAATATATTTATATTTAAATTAAGTAGAGAGAGGTTTTTGGAAAATTAGCTCAAATTTGTTATATTAGCATTAAATCATCATATTTGATATCCTTATCTATAAAACTCTTAAAGATATGCCATAAATAAAAAGTTTAGGTATAGTAATTAGTTGAGAAAATATATATTTTTTAGATTTATTAATTATTTTCGTTTTTGAATTTTGCTAAAAATAAGGAAAGATCCAATTGAAGATTTCCGGGTCAAAATCACAAAAAAATCCGACCCGATTGGAAGGAGCAAAAATGTACTTCAAAAATGTTAAGTAGATTGGTATCTTAATTGATGGAGTAACAAAATGATACAGTAGTGTGTAAAACACATCCGTTGATTTTTGAAGATTGTAATTGTGGCATCCAATGTAGGTAGATCAATTCTTTTTTTAGACAAAACTAAATATGTCATCAAATAGCCCAAAAAGTCTCAATCCATGTGTTTTTTCAAGTCATGACCCAAAAAAGTTGATTACATAAGTAATTGTTTTCTCACATAAGAGAAACTATATACAGAAGAAAACTATGGAACATACAAACTTGTAATGTAGATAATAACTTTTTTGAACTTTTGTGGTGAAAAGTAAAAATGAAATCACAAAGCTTCACGTACGCAAAACCGCAGAATGAGTGCGCTCATACATATCTCCGGCCCTGCCATGACCCATGAGAGAGTTCACTAACTTAGCCTTTACTTTTAACTTTGCTTCCTCCAACCAAAGATTAAAAATATTATAAGACTATGTTTCAAAAGCTTCTTTGTGTATCTAAAATCATCAATCTTTCTTAGATAAAGATTTTTTTTATCTTCCTATTTCGAGCTTACCGATTGCTGTTGTTCACCAAAACGAGGTAGAGCGGGTCGAGAGGAGATAGACGGAATAGCTGCACAACAATGGCTACGCTCGTGCCAACGCTGGAAAAAGATTAAACAAAACATGAATGGAAAAATGTCCTTGTCCATCAAAGAGTTTAAAAGACTTTGAGAGAATTTGTACCTGCCAAGACCTATCAATAGAGCAACCCAGAGAATTCCAATGATCCAACTAGATTCTTTATAGACAACCCAAACCTGAAATAAACAAGTAAATGACTCAAAATATGTAACAAACCCAGTTATTGCAGAGCTTATATAACTTTAAAGGCTTTTACTAATCTAGTGTTCAAGATTTGGGACTTACTGATAAGACTGCAACATTAATGTAGAAGTTAACCAATAAAACCACCATCCACCTGTTGGGAAGATTAAGCCAATGGTTAAAGAAAGGCAAAGCCAATGACAGATGATTCAAACACATAAAAAATGCAGAAAGAAATCTAAACTCACGGGTAAAGAAGCTCCATGTGGAAAGGAGAACCATAAGTGAAGCAAGTGTAAACCAAAGCTCCTAGCATCACACATCCTAAGGCACCAAACACAAATCTTGCAGTGACAACAAGTGAATTCTTGTCTCTCAGACCCACTCCATCCCTACGAAAAGATCACATCATTAATCAAATGGTCTAGAATTCCACAAACTATACAGCAGATTATGATTCTCTCATGGAACTATTCCACAAACTAATCACACAAATATCAATGATGAAAGAGTTACTAATGAAGCTGAACACAAAACAGAGAAAACAAATTAAAACAAAAATGAAAAACACATACTTGATTGAATCTCGAAGTAACAAATAGTACATAGGATCTTCTGAAGCTTCTTGATTTGTCAGTTTGAGAAGTTGCAGAAACACATACACACATGTCGTGAGGCTTAAAACCAAAAAAAAAGACAAACTTTTAACAACAAATTCATAATAATGTCATCTATGATCTTGCTTCAGAATTCAGATAAAGAAACAAGATAATACCTGCCAAAAATAATGAGCAAAATGGTCCAAAGTATTGAACCAGACCATGTAGACTCCTTATACACAATCCAAACCTGAATTCAGATGATAAACATGTCAAAGATTAAAACTTTAAGGTTCATCAAGAATCTGGAAGAATATATATCAATTTAAACATACCGCTATAGGTACAATGTTAATGTAGAAATCCAGAATTGTCGTAACGAACCATCTGAAAAAAGCGTAAGGAAACTAACATGAATAAACATATCTGTGTCTCTTCGTGTGTGTGAAAATGAAGAAAGAAAGAGAGAAATGGGTTTTACGGTGTGAAGACATCTTGACGATCAGGTAAAGGAAGGCCATCGGTGATAAAGGTGTAGACAAGAGTCGCGAGCATCACACAAAACATAACCGGTAAGGTCACTTTTAGTCCGGTTACTAAACTATTCGTCGCCATTGTTAACACCACAGAGAGGGCTAGAGACGAGAGAAAGAGAAAGAGAAGAGATTTATGATGACATTGACGACGATTCGAGAGATTCAACAGAATTCTTAAGGAGCGAAACTAGTGGGGAAGGAAGCGCCACGTCACCGCCTAATTGCTGATATTACAAACCGAACCGGATTCGGTTTAGTGCGATTGAACCGGACTCTTCATCACATGGTTCCCATTACATAAAGAAGACAGATTAAAGAGTACCATTAAGGGTGCAAAAAAAAAAAAAAAAAAAAAGAATACCATTACATGTATAAACTTGAACTGTTGCAAACAACTACCAAAATCATACAAGTTTTTTTGTCAAGATTTTAGACACACACAACAAGTAATGCATAAATCAAGAGAGTAAGAAAAAAAATGTTTCTTCAGCAAGCACAACCTCCTCTTTGTTCAGACTCCGAACCAGTCTCTGGAATCCCTTGGAAATATCTGAGTTGTAACAAAAAAAAAGATTATAAAAGTTTCATTTGAGAGATTCACAAAAGTGAGAGGATCACCTAAAGAAAGAGGTTTAAGTACACTTACATATCTTGGTCGCGTTCATTGGCAAGGGCAAGTTTAGTGATGCACAAGAAAGAGTCATCGACATTGTAATCTTCTTTAGCCGATGTTTCGAAATAGACAATGTTTCCTTTTTCAGCACACCATTCTCTAGCTTTCTTATCAGATACCTGAATCACAAAGAAAGGAATATAGCAAACAAGGACTTGTATCTTCTTGATGAAAGAAAATGGAGTATTCAAAATTCACATACATTCAGATTAAAAGCTTACCACTCGGCTATTTCCTCCATCAATATCAACCTTATTACCAAGAAGTATAAAAGGGAATGCCATTGGATCACGTGGACTAGCCTGGCCAAATTTCACACAAAAACAGTTCTCAGTCACTAAAAGAAAGAATCTTTGGATAAGAGAAAATGTGATGGAGAAAGCAAAAAAAAGAACCTGTTTAAGAAACTCGTCGTGCCAATTGTCGAGAGAATCAAACGACTTCAAGTAATTGACATCATAGACAAGAACACAACAATCTGCACCTCTATAGAATGCAACACCAAGACTTTGAAACCTTTCTTGCCCAGCAGTGTCCCATATCTAACCAAAAAAAAAAAAAAGAATTCATATACACTCTTAAAAATCGACAACCAAAACAAAAAAAAAAAAACCTCACTTGCAATGTGACAAGCCTATCATCAATTTGAAGCTCCTTAGTGACAAAATCAGCTCCGATCGTAGCTTTGTACTGTTGACTAAACTTGTTATTCACATATCTACACAGAAAAACAAAAAACCAACTAAGTTTTTTTCACCGACAGCTACAAAAATCGAAACTACTAAAAGAAGAAAAACCAAAGAATTCAATCAAAAAATTTAGTTAGGATACTGATTCATCAACGATGTTTTGCCAACCCTGAGATATTTGTACCAAAAAAAAAACAAGAGAATGATTAATTCAAACATAAAAAAGAGTTAGGTAGGAGAAAAAAAGTGAAAAATCAAGCTAACCCGCTGTCTCCAAGAATGATAACTTTGAGTAAAGTTCGTCTTCGCGTCGACATGTTCAGAGTATGTATCTGAATCTGACTTTGTTTTAAAGAAAACAAAAGGAGCAACGAACTCTGTTGTTCGGATTTGGAAAAGCAGAGAAGATAAAATAAAAAGGAGCGCCAAGATCTTTTGGGAACTAAAACAAAGTCTTAGCTGGAAGACTCGTGGCCGTGGGGTTTGTCCAGCTTTTAAGAGAGGATAAATATCATAAAATAAAACAGAAAATTTCTGTATGAAAAGAAAAAACAAAAGTATTTATTGTTAAAGTCTAAAAGAAAAATATTAGCAAGACAATGTGATGATCATTGACAAAGAACAAAACAAGAAACAGGTCATAAAGTATGCTATAACAAAACGTCACTAAAGATAAGATAATTTGTTTTCTGTAAGAAACGTCATCAAAACTCAAAAGTATCCAAAACTTTTTTAGTTTGTTAATAAAAAAAAAAAAAGAATTTCAAAAGGTGATTTTGCGTGAAACCAACGTCTCGAGGTTTGAGGTTCGGTGCTCAAATGTTATCATCCAGACGAAGAAGACGAGCCGTTCTGTTTCTTACTTTGTGATTCCTCACAAGCGAATGATTCGTCCAAGAACCCTTCAAGCTTGCCTCTTTCCACGCAACTTGAAAACTTTTTCGCAGCATCAGGGACATCCAAAGACAGATCTTCAAGCGATTCATCAACTCTTTTAAACCCTTTAGTCATCTGATATATCGTCACTAGTCCTGAATCAAAACACACTTTTAGTAGCTTCCATAACCGTTCCTCGTTCTCCTTCTCTTCTATGATCCTCACTACTGACTTCTTCACTACTTCATGGTGAAAAAACGGCATTCCCAGTTCCTTCACGCACCTACTAGCTTCTCTGAGGTCTCCACCAGAGACATACTCTTCTAGAAGAATCTGGATCTTCTCTTTCACTTCCTTCACTGTGGATCCCGGAGAGTTTGTCTCAATTCCTCCTCCTCCCCAGCAACGTAAGATCCTTTCACCGGAAAGACGTGCTTTCAGCAATGTTTTCGCCATTTGAATCACTTTCTCTCCCACACTTGAGCCTGCCTCGGGAGTCTGGTTTAACACTTCTTCCAAATCCCGTGGAGCTAACACCTCGTCAACCACAGCTCTGGCTAAGAACATGGCAAGGTCTTCAACAACCACTGGGTTGTCCAAAGCAGTGTCGTCTGCAGATTCTATGAGCATCGAGAATGCGTTTCTGACATCTTTTGGAGGGAAACCAAGAGTAGAGACGAGCACACAAGCCATCTCCTTCTCTCTTTTCTTCCTGTCCATTGCTAGAGTTATCAGATATTTGACAAAGATTGCGCGTAGCTGACTCGAAGATGCATTCAATTCGGTGTCTAGACAATGTACGACCTCTGAAGTGTCACCTGAAAGGAAATACTCTCGGATGATCGACTTCGCCTTGTCTTTAAAAACATTGGCGCTGGAGTTTTCAAGTAACTTTTCTCCTGCATCAGCGGAGAGTGATTTCAGAGAAGAAGCACATAACCATCCTTCAGAAGCCGCTTTAGAGATGAAAGACTGTAATATACGGCGTGCATCTGGTATGTCAAGAGACAAATCTTCAATTGAATCAATGATTCTGCTAAACCCTTTCGTTACTTGAGTGGAGTTTATGAGACCAACCTCAATCGTTTCTTTTAACAGATCTAGCAGCCTGACTTCAGCTTTTCGCCTTTCCATCGCCATGATCAGTGCTCGTTTGACGATCTCATGATGAAAGAAAGGAACTTTCAATCCTTTGATGCATCTAAAAGCTTCTTTTTTGTCTCCACTCATGACATACTCTTTCAACAAGTCGTTTATTCTTGCTTTCACATCCTCAGCAGTCCAATTATCAGTCCCTCCCCATCTCTTCTCAACAACTTCAGCATGAAGCGGCGTCGCTAGATAGCTCTTCTCGGCCTTTCTCAAAACCTCAACACCTTTGGAGTTATCTGGCAGCAATTTCATTTGTTTCTTCAGAAACGCAGGTGGAAGAATGTCGTCAACAATCGCCCGAGCCACAAAGACAGCAAGAACATCAACTGCATCCGGAATATCAACAGATAAATCATCAGCAGAAGCCACCAGTTTGTTGAAACCTCTGTAAACTTCCGGGGGATCAATGACATCGGCGTAAAGGGTAGACAGCAGAAAAGCAGCCATTTCTTTCTCTTTGTCATGTCTATCCATAGCCATGGAGACTAATTTCTTGACAAAATAATAACGGTACTCAGGCATTCCAAGCTCCTTTAGTTCATTAGCAACTGAGACAACATCATTGGTGCCAAAGTATTCCTCGACAATAATTGTAGCCTTCTTTTTGTACTCACTTAAATCGGCATCGAAGCAGCTTGTTGGATCTGAATGTCCATTGCCCTGATCAAAAAGAAGTTAAATCTCAATTTAGATCTCTTCTATAGATAAACTTTTAAAATGTTGAACATCAAATAGAGACATATAAAGTGAATACCTCAACGGTATCAAAATTAGGGTCAGTGAGGTCATCATCATCTTCTACTCCCAAATTTTCTTCACTCCCTTCCACTGCATAGAAAGAAAACTCTAAACACATATCCAGATGAAGTAACAAAAAATGGTAAAATGTTATACCTTTAATAGGTGAATGTCTATGACTCTTTAATAAATCCCCTGCAATGTTCGCCTGTGGCAATGGCGGCGATCCGTCGAGAGAAGAAGATAATTTCAATTGAGAAATGCAAAGAGGATCCGTTTTCTCCACAGAAGAAGAATCTACAAGTTGTTGGTGCTTGTTAAACTCCATTTTAGACTCTCTCTCGATCTCGGATCCTTGCAATTCCTCAACTTTTCGATTGTCCCACGATTTAATCAATCATCATAGTTTTGCATTCCTCTAAACAATCATAAGAACAAAAAAAAAAAAAAAAAAAAGGAGTCAATTTTATCAAGAAACAAAAGCTATAACGAAAAAGAAACAATCTCTAGGGCAGATTTCTCCGATTGTACATTAAGACAATAAACAATCAAAGGATTCAATAACCAATCTGGATTTAGGTCAAATATAAGTTTCATCGATCGAGTCTCAAAAGATTAATATCGCAAAGAAACAAAGACGATGATTGATAAAATTCGATTCCACAGAAAAAGAAGAACGGCGTACTCGGAAAGAAACGTGAAAGAATCGGCCGAAGTGTGATACAGCGACGCCGGCGATGAAGCAAGCGTCTCTGTCGCTTTTTTTATTTATTTTTTGGGTAACGGCGAGTCGAAGAAGAACACGATGATGTGCTCCTCTGTAACTGATTTTATTTAATTTTAATTAATTTTTCAATTTTATGGGATTTTTTATTTTTTTTAGTTTGGGGAAATAAATAATTAAAAAAGTAAACAAACTCTTTCCCCGATATTTGCTTTTTTACCAGTACCCTCTCGCCATCTGTTACCTCTTTTGAGTCTTTTACGCTCGTTCACTTCCTTTTTTTTTTAATACTTATAATTTTATTATTTTCAGTCTCTATTTTTCTTTTTCTTAAAAAAATGCAGTTAATTTAAAATTTCAGACTTCAATAGAACAAAAAGAAAAAGAAAAAAAAAAACAGAAAACATTTGTCTGGAAATAAAGCCACAAGTTTAGTGGGCTAAAAAACCCTGGGCCTTATCTACTACCATGGGCCTTAACAAAACAGATCCGCTCCGGTATAATGTTTAATGGTCCAGTAATAAAGTTAACTGTGAATAAAAGAATGTTTATAGACTTTATAATTTTGTTTGATTTGTCTATAAAAACGAAAACTATAATCATAGTTCAATACCGAGTCGAAAAAACCAAAATTCAACGTAAGAAAAAAAAAAATTGATTATGTCAAACTTTATACCAAAAATTAAGTTTCTTACACATATATAATTTTTTAACAACAAATTATATGGATGCAATCCGACAAAATTTGGGAAATGTAGAAAAGTCCATGTAAGTGTATAAAATTGATAGATTGGACATCCCAAATGGAAACAACAAATTAAAAGGGTAAAAACTGAAAGAGATGGTTTCTGGTAGTGGCAATTTAGGAAAGAGAAGAAAGCTGCCAAAGGAAGAAGAAACAGTGTGATGATTTTAGAGGATGCAACATGGACTGAGAAGAGCCACACGACATGTTAGTTCGTTCAACTCACGTTAACTTCAGTGGTCTTTGCAGTGTTGGGTTGGGTGGAATCTTAGGGCGGTTAGGTCCCTTTTGACTGCGACAATTTTTATTTTCTATTTGAAAGTTATCAAATTTCAGATATGTGAATGATGTAATAAAACCTATTGGACCCAATAAGTTGAACTCGATATATCTTTATTTTCAATTGTTATAATCATTATTCTATCAATTAACCTTTTTAAGATCTCACATGGTAAGTTGGTAACTATCGTATTTCAACCAACAAAATACTAAAAAAACAACAACTTCATGTCAAACAGGTGTGAAAATCACTGATATATAATATATAAAATTATGTAGTACAAGTCAATTTGTACGTAAACTTACGTTAGAAAATTCAATTTGTTGCATGCATTTATACATAATTTAAAATGCATGATTGTTTTTCCGTCGCATGCAATTAGTATTGATCAATTTAAGAGAGAAACTCTGTATTCTATAGATATTTTGTTTCCGTGCTGCTTGCTGGATTGATTGGCATGAACATTTTGGCATGGAGATGAGAAATCCTAAAGCTTAAAACATAAACAAAAAAACATAAACCACAAAACATAAGACAACGCATACATAGAGTTTTTGATCGTGACAAATATATATATTCTGGTTTTTCAATATGCATGTGCAAAGACTTTTTTAGAAAACAAATTGACATTCTTGTGAATTATGTATAGTACGAGTGACGATCGTCGATTCCACTTCATTTTAGTGCTGTCTTGTTCACGCATGCATGCGGCTGTTAAAACCGACCATAAAACTCCTGGGTTCTTAATAGAAAGGGATTATTCTTATATTTTTTTTTATTGGTCTTGTGCGATTTAAAAGCTTAGATCGGAAGATTACTATCCATAAAGTATGTGCATGGATAAGTTTTCAATTCTTTTTATCAATTTCAATACCAATATTAATTAACCATGTATGCAATTCAATTTTTGTCGCATTTTTCAGTGATTTCTTTTTGTTTTTTCTATCCAAATTATAAACATATTTTTGAATAGACAGTATATATATAAATTGTTCCAACATGGGATGGTAAACATATATTTTTATAAGTTTTAAGTGAATATCGAAATATGATATTATATATAAATCTTTCTTTTTTTATCACTGATAGTAATATCAAACTTCACCATTTTTCAAAAAATCCTATTATAATCGCGAGACAAAAACTAGGAAAATATTATAGAAAATAATCAACAAAACAATTTAAATATATATATATATATATTAATTTCTTTTCATATCAATTAATTTAAATTGTACAAAAAAATAAAATGATGTTTATGATAAACAAAGACTAATTTAATACTAACTCCAAAATATTAAAAATTTCATATATACTTCTGAGTGATAAGTATTTCTGTACCAAATCAGAATCGATCTTTGTCTTAATCAACAAAACGACACCACAGGAGTAGATTATGCTTCACTTAAAGCTGGACCAACTAGAATCGCAAATCAGCAAGTTGATATGTCATCCATATATAACTTAGAATGGTGTATATATAAGCATATATTCGAACTTCACAATAGATTATCAAATCACAAAACTATTTTTTTTTTCTTAAAAAAAAAGAGAAAAAAACTTGTGTGTTGGAAGGTGAGAATGTCTATTAACTTCGAAAAAAGAGCAACATAACGAGGAATATATCAATAAAAGAAAAAGAATTTACAGTAACAAATCAAATCATGACAATATGGAACGAAACAGTAATACTGAAAGGATGGTGAAACGAAATTAATTTATTCTTATCACGATACATATAATCGAACCAATCGTAGTTGTTATTGAATTCGGGAATTTGGAAAATGGACATTTTTCTCTATTCTTTATTCTTTTATGTGGCCAATAATTGAGAATATTGGAATTAGAATTCCACAAAAGACATTATTACAAAAACTTTTTCTTATATAGTATTAATTATAATTGTCGTTGTTGTGCTTGTTGGGGTTGGTTCGAATCAAAACATACCATTCCCATGTATTGCCATTGTCCCATACCTTTGACAATATAATGACCATGTCATTTGTGCCCAATATCATCTTCATTTTTATTCATCCCATATATGCAAATCTCGCTGTGTGTGTCTGTATGTGATTTATTACATAATTAGTGATATACATACCACCAAATTATGACAATCGTAGATATATCCTATACTAATATTTGGGAAGTACATCCTAAGGATCATAACTTAAATTTTGTAAGAAATTACAATATATGCCATTATATAATTCTAATCATAAATTTATTCCATGTCACTAATATATATTAACGGGTCAACGAGTCAACGGGTTTAAAGATATTAAAAGATTTTGTTTATATAATACATAATTAATATAATTCGAGAATGTTATATACTAATCAATATTCGAGATTATATAATACATAAAAATGTTATATAATACATAAAAGATTTTGTTTATATAATATATAAAAATGTTATATACTAATATATTATTCGAAAATGTTATTGAAAATTGAAAATGTTATTCAAAATGTTATATAGTAATCCATTATTCGAACATCTTATAAAAAATGTCGTTGAAAATGTTAATGAAAATGATATATCATTGAAAACATTTTATATCAATCCAATTTATAAAAAATAAAAAATGCTATTTTGAATTATAATACTCATATAGTTCGAAAATGTTATATAAATTGAAAATGTTATATAATTCTCCATTTTTTGAAAATGTTACTAAAATTTCATTTCTGAATTATACAATTTCTTTGCAATATATGTGCCGTAAGTTTTAAGTCATCTTATTTTAATTACAGGGTAACGAAATTCAAGCAGACATCAAATAGGAACACATTAGCAAATTCCAAAGGTATGTTAAACCGTTTTTTTTTTCTTTTTTTAAAAACCATGAAACTAGGCCCCACAAACCCAATATAATCTATTAAAAACTTTGACCAATACAACTATTTTTTTGTTTGTTCACAATCACACAATAAAATTATCAATTCCTAATTGAACCAAAGAAATTGTTAATCTCATATAAAAAATACAAATCTAATGCTGCTAAATATATTAAATTCTAAAATACAATATTCTCTCCTTCTTTAGTCAAATAAAATATATAACATTATATCCAAATAGTAATAAATATAAAATATTATGATATATTCCCTTTTATATTATACTATTATACTATATTATTCCTTATTTTTTCGAACAAAATATACAATTTAATTCATGAAAAATATTAAACCCCGTGCTGTATAGCATGGGTCATGATCTAGTTGTATATTAAATTAACATTTGTTGCGAGGGTTCTCATCAATTTGAGATGCATTTGTATTTATTCATAATGGATCTTCTAATATTGTGTGTGTGAGAGAGAGAGATTTGTAAATGTAGATGCATGTAAGGCACTATACCAAACAAGTGTTGATTATTCTCGCAATCCTTGGGCCAAATTCTTCACGGCATCTTTTGTCGTGAAGTTGTGTCTGTGTGTGCATCTTTTTCTTAGCTATCCCTTTTTCACACAGTCACTCGTACACGCACTTACCCTTGCGAATATGATCAATATGATTAGTAAAAAGAGCACTAAGATTCATATGTACATATGATTCTTATAGATATACAAGAAAATTATCCTAAATAATTCATTAAAAAAAATATTTACAATAGAAATGATAATTATAATTAAGAATATGAAATTGGGTCTTTGTTCAAAGATACAAAATGGGTTAAAATACGTTTAAAGGGTTTTATTTTTGTCACTTAATGTATTGCAAGATGCATCGATATCCACCTAATTTTATGAGGCTTCGATAGTCTTTCTTTGTTACAAATGATTAGTGGTACCGTTCTCTTGTTTCTTAATGACATTCAATTAGATACTATATTACTATTTATATAGAACTATTTCTCTCTAGATTAGGAATATTAATTACCATACTTTATAACATGATGCAGTAACTATTTGAACATGCTGAATATTTTAAATAATTAGTTAATATAGTGGATGAAAAAGGCTCTCTATTTTTATTCTAATCTGTGACATTATTATATAAATTCGATGCCCATGATGAAAATTCGTTTTTTCTTATCTAGATATTTAGCCATCCCCCAGTGTCGTCCTAAAGCGAGTAATTATATGTGCATCATGTGCTTATTTAAATTAAATTTATTCATGAATTATTTATCAAAATAGGACTAGATGATGAATCTATAGGAAATAAAGAAATATACAAGTGGAAGGGTTGTGATTCTTGTGCTCAATTGAGTTACAAGTCTATTGTGAGCAATGTGGCTGAGTGAAACGATACCGTTTAATTGTAACACCCGGGTCGACCGGTTTAAACATGGACCGGATATTAGCAAAGTGGTGGAGACCGCAATCCCACTAGGCCAAGGAACCGGACAGTGATAATACTCTTTCAAACTTGAATTTGAACTCTTTTTTCATATTCTCTGTGATCGATCGGGATTCGGGAATAATTGGTACCATATTTTATATGCCAAACAATACTCAAAAAGATATTCTAGAAGGTATGAAATTCAAATTGAATAATAAAAATCAAAAGAACTTATACATAAGCTATTCTAGGAAATAATTGCTAGTTATCTAAGAATATAAAACCTCAACTATATATGGAATTATTTCAAATGTACAGATTTAATACTGAGTTCTAAATCTTGTAAGAAGAAAAAAACAAAACTTGTAGTTTAGTGGTTTGTGCTAGTGTTGTCGATATGTCGATAGTCATTCGAGTTCAAATCTATATCTTATATAGTGTGAAATATATATATATATATATATATAATGCAAAGTAGGTATTTCTGCATTCAGTGAGTTTTTCATAGTTTCATATTGTTCAGTTTTTCGTACTTTAGCTCATATTTTGGTCAATGAATAATATCGAATCTTTACAAGTATTTCTTGACGACAATAAACTCACCTAAACTGTGTTTACAAGTTTACTACTTAGGCTACTTTACTGACGTCGGCTTGTGATTGAATCATATAAAATTGGGTTGGGTGGATATGTATTAGGAGGAAACAAAAGTGTGGGTAGGTGATATACATCATCGTCAAATATTTGGGTCAATCTGAAATTATACTTTATGAGAAAAAATAACAAAAGAAAATATATAACAGTGTTTAGACGAATAAGACCCAGGTGGATGACCTCGTGGCGTTGAGAACGTGTGTGTGTCATCCGATCATATGATAATATAACAGTGTTTTGAACAACCTCAAATGAATAGCTGATAAATTTAATAAATAGTGTAAAGTTTAAACTATAAGAAATCCAGCTATGTTTGCAATACAAGTTTTTGGATACCAAATCTGTGAACTTCTAGAGAAAATGGACCAACATTTATTCCATACCCTTTTCTAGCCATTGTATTGGTAATATTCGATCATTATTTGTTAGGTCTGAATGGATTTATAAAGTCAGGTATGTTTTGATTGATGATTTAGTAATGAGTCATTTTTCTTTTTTTTAGTCAAACCCTATGAGACGAACCAATAAGCAGACTACATAGATTTTGTCCGGAAAACCTCGTCGAAGTTCTTGTGAATTACTCCGACAAACATTATTCATGTGTCATTAACCTCGACATATTCACTTCTCGCAATTCATAACTCATCAGAATTTGAGTTTGTAAATATATACGTGACGAAATTTCCTCGATCGTCATTGCTTTCGGTTTGACTCACCAATCAAACAAAGTAGCAAACAGATAATGTGAAAATAACCAAGTAATTAATTATTAAACCATCATGACCATAACGTATCGACATTTTATATATATATCTATAAAATTTTAAGATGTGTGTCGGCACTCGGCAACAGTGTAACTATAGAGGGTGTAATGACATGGTTTAATTTGATCCGCGTGAGATCCGCGTGAGAGGTTAATTAATTATAATGTAATGACATGGTAAAGAAGAGTAAAATAATCAATCAAGTACTGACAATTAATCAACGTCCAAGATTTCTTTGACCGGTTTAATTTGATCCGCGTGACCCTACGCGTTGTGGCCTTCTCGGACTCGGACCAGACATAAGACAACCAAGCCGACCCCAAAAGCTCATAGTTGTATCTTTCGGTGCGAAGCAACTCAATGTGGTTTATGTAACACGTGTCCAACCATGTATTCCCCAAATTTATAAAAGTCATTCTCTTATTTTTCCTTTTTTTTTATGTTATTTACATTTTTTCGATTGAAACTGGTAACGGTCGTAATTATGTTATGTGCCCCCCCATCTCTCGTTCTCTCATTGGACTAGCTGTTTTTCATTATGTCTTAATTTACATATATTTTCATATAAATTTTAAAATCTTTAGGCTGCAATGTTGTTATAATATGAAATTTTGTGGGAATTTAGTATCGTGTTCTGTGTCTAGGAAAAACCAATCTTTTATAAAAGTTTTTTTTCTAATATATACTCCCTCCGTTTTTCTTTTATTTGTCATTTTAAAATTAAAATTTTGTTTTATATTATTTATCGTTTTGTATTTACAATACATATTTATGATAATTTCCAGTTTTGTTTATATTTTTTAGTTTATTAATTAATTATATCAAACAAAATAGTGTATTAACTATGGGTGACAATAATTTTTTTTTTAATTTATGTGAAATAAATTAAAACAATAAGTAATATAAAACGGAGGGAGTATTAGTTTTTTTTTATTGTATTCAATAAATAAATTGTCAAGAGTAAAGCTGACCAGGTTTTTAAATTTTATTTGTTTTCCCGAAGTTAGATATTTATTATAATTAGATTCTTTAATATTTTAGTTTTAATTTTTTAAAATTATTCTTTTGAGCTGTGCATGGTGTGATTCTGTCATCTAGAAGAGCAAGTTGCCCAACATGTTGATGTAATGAAAAAAAACTCCTTGGATACTGGTTACTGGTTAAGATATACAGCCTTAAATACTATTCCTTTTGTTCCACAAAGATTGATGTTTTGTATCAATTTTATTATTATTTTTATGTGTGGCCAATAGAGAGAAGAGAAATAGAATTAATATTAAAAAGTATAAAAGTAATCTTTTCTTAATTTGTGTGCAAAATACACAATATCAAACTTCATGAAACATGGGGAGTAATTTGTTTTTTTCCCCTTATTGGTTTTTTTTTTCGGTGTCGTAATGTCATATTCTCAATTTCATCAAATTTAATACGTCACGTTAAAAACCCTTACAAACATATTAATTATCTGCTGAGATAATATAAACATAATAAATAACCTTACTCTTATTTATTAAAACAATAATAACTAGAAATATGAAAATTATATGGGTTCATCCAACCCGCCCAAATAATCTGAATTTGAATTTTCCTTCAATTTATATTTATTCGGTTACATAATTGCAGGATTTAAAGAGGTTGATCCACATAGTTAAAATGAATATAGAATTTTTTTTTTTTTTTTTGTTAAATGGTATTCAATTTTATAAATAAAGGCCCAGTGGACTATTTTCGGATTTAGGCCCATATAAATCCCCTTAGGGCCCAATCCACATACACTAAACCGAACCAACCATCCAAACAAAATCGACCCGGGTTCACTAAACCGAAACAAAACCGGTTGCGATGAAACCCTAATTTGCGATCAGAAAACCTTTTCGCAGCCGCCGCCCATAGAACCGCGAATGCTCTCCGGAATAGGACCTCCGGCGAGCCTGGACGATGCGAGTCGAACAGAAATGGAGACCCATGATCCGTCACCATCCCGCCACCGTAGATCCGTTTTGGGGAGGAAGAAGAGAAACGAGCTGTCCTTTGTCGAGGAGGCTCCATGCTTAGACGTGAGAGAGAGAAGCAGTAGGGAGTAGAAAAGGTAACCTTCGACGGTGGTATAGCTTCACCGGACCGCAGACGACCTCCCCCGTCAAACGACGACCCCGTGGAACCTCCTGCATATCGAGTCACCAGATCTAACCACCTTCATCTCTCGTTCCTCGCCGTGAAATCTCCCTCTTCCACTCCGCGACGCTACACCGCCGGTAGAGCTCTTACTGTCGGTGTCTCGCGGAAGCTTCTCCCCTCCACAGCTCCCTTGATTTTGGTCGGAAAGCTTCGTCGGATAGATGCACTGGATTACGGATGAAGTACCATGAGCCATGGGGTTCTCATCGTCACCGGAATCAACGGAGAACCCCACCAACGGCGCAAGAGGTTGTGCTCAGAAAAAAGAGATGCCGACGAGAGAAATCTCCCGCGAGTGAGATCCACGCGCAAGAGATTCTCTCCCGTGAAGTTTTTAATATATAATGAATATAGAATTATAAGTCCATAAGTTATTCATGTATTAAGCCAACTAAAAATATCTACTTATAAGTGGAATAATCTGAAAATTATTAGTTGATATATCAACTGATCAACATGTTTCATTGTTAAACGTGTCAAGGAATATGTCTGAATTCATTTAGTTTTATTAACTCGTTCATTAGTGTATAAAATTACTGAATCTAGATAGCTATTATAGCTGACCAATATAATGCATTTTAGTTAATTAACTTTTACATTTATTTTATAGAAAGCAATCCAAAGTTTGGATATTTTTTTTTTAATTTTAGGTAAGCAAACTGAAGTAAAATCATTTTGACATTGGCAGAAAGAGAAAGTCAGAAGAGAATTTGATTTTGCATACGTTTTTATTTTAGAAACTTTGTCCAAATTGTTTTCTATAATTTTAAAGATATTTTAGTTATAAATATATAGATGCGCATGGTGTATAAACTCCGTGAAGGATTTGGGCAGGAAAATAAAGCGACTCAGATGCTTGATTCGACTATCTTGTGATGGTTCGATGGATCTAGAAATTGCTCACCCACAAAAAAGGGGAGATTCTTTACTTGGCTAGATTTTAATACCTTTTGTGCTGATGATTTCAAAGAGATTTGGTTGGTACCAATTTTTTAAAGAAAATTAATAGCTATGTTGTAGTATCAAGCAGTGGTTAAAGTCTAGTCTATCTATATTTGATTGTTTTTTTTTCAGTCTGACAAAATTTTAACGCCTAACTTCCTTTTCTTTATAAAAGATTCGAATGTTGAATAGTCCCTAATATTTTCGGATGGTAGAATGAATGGTGATTTGCGTATTCGATAAAAATAAGACATTCGCGTATCGATTTTATCTTACGTAACATATGATGATATGAATATAGATTTGACCGAACATAGTTATAGTTATAGTTTGCGACTATATATTAGACGGTCACATGTCTATCAAAATTAACCCTGATTTTATAATATTATTTACTATTGTATTATATAAATCATATACACATGTTTCAGAAGAAAAAAAATTATATGAAACAGATCTATATATTTTCATTTTAATTAAATATCATTATTTGAATCCGAATCCAAAAATGTCTCTAGATATACCCTATTTTTCAGACCATGTTAGTTCGAATCTGCAAACTGCTAAAACTTTTCCATTTCAAAATATTAAATGTTTTGAAATATAATTGTGTTCCACAAAGTTAAATGTTTTCTAGATATTGTTTTTTTCAATTTATCAACACCATTTTTTTTAATACAAAGAAAAAAAAAACTTACATTAAAAAAAATTATAGACTTGTAAATGAAAATGTCCCAATATGTGTGAATACTGAATAGGCCAAAAAACAAAAATGCATGGAGAGTAAAAAGTAAAACTTATGTGACATTTGTACATGTTCCCGAGATAAAATGTAAACGAAATCATCTCACATGCAACAACAAGTGTAAATAAACTCCAAAATCAACCTTACCACTCGATTTTGATAAATTCAGGCTTATCACTTAGATTATGACCTTAAGGAAAAAAAATCAAACTACACGTAAGTCACAACGAAACGAAACGGAAAACGTAACTTAATTAATTACTCACTAAGATACCAACATCTGAATACTTTGTCCGTTAGCCGTTTACTTAAGACACAACAGTCAAAAAAAAGTCAACGAAGTGTCTCCTCTTGCTTTGATGAAATGAGTCATTAACGGAGTCTGACCGCTTTCCTCTGTTTGATTTATCTCCGAGTACACGTAAACTTCACTCTTGTCGCTCTTTTTTCTCTAAAATATATAAATTTATTCGTTAATTATTCTTTTTCTACCGACATTCTGATTTTTTATAAAGTTTTTTAATAACATTATTATCAGAGTTTTGTGTTTAGTCTCGCTTTTGATATCTTTTTTTTTTGTTTAGCTGTGATCTCCCTTTTGTCATGATTATAGAGTTTGGTGTATACTTTTCTAAAAGAAAATCATATAGAGAAATATTTTAAACTCAAAGAACACGTCTTGCGAATTTAACTCATCTCGCTCAAAATTTCATTAATAAATTTGTTAAAAATAAATATAATAATATATATTAAAGCCCTTTTTTATGGTCGAATTTTTTTTCCAAAGCTTGAAGCATTCATTCTAATTAATACTATGATTTTTATATAGAGAAAAACTCAGCATTGGGAATATCGGACCATGCAAGAGTTGAAATATAGAGGAGAATTAATTCGTAATAGCTAAACGACGAAGCTTTATTGTCAACCAAGAGAAGTTATAACAGCTGATCTAACTTCAACGCCTGTAAACATATTACAATGACAGCGTAAACATAAACATAATGTTGTAGTAGTACAGTACTAATTAGATAGAGGAAGTAACCGTTAAATCGTTAATGGTCAACGAGTCAACAAGTTCTCTCACCTCAAATTTTAGCCCCAAAAAGAAAAAGAAAAAATATAATCAACTTTCTCATACATTTATTCCTTTAATGTCACAAAGATTGTTAATCCCTAGAAGTGCTCAATACCACGTCATTCGAAATCTCTGAGTTCTTAATAAATGAATTATCTATAACTTTTTCTTTTATTTTAGTCTTTCTTCTTTCGGTCAAATTTATTTTCAAGTTAATGAATCCTGATATCTTTTGGAGGAGTACAATTTCTTCTTTACGTTTGCCCTACTTTGGAGTATTTTTTAAGCTTTTTTTTCTTTCTTTCAAAGTGGATGACTGAAACATGTATTTCATGTTTGTAATACTGATTAGGAAAATCAGTATTAGTCTTAGACCCCTCCATAAATCTGGAGATTTATCCTGAGTTAACAAAAAAAAAAAAAATACTGATTAGGAAAACCTCAAAAATCTAAATAGTCACCAATTTCTGATAAAATACATGCGAATCTCTGCAGATGTACGAAAGTTTTTTTAAGATACATATAAACGAAAATTTCGAACCCTAGAAATAATGATATTTATAGTGTAACTAAATCGTTAGATTAAATTTTTTCTGAAATGGGCCAAAATTACATGTATATATTAACGGCCGCAAACTATTACTTGAGCCGCTTGGCCCATTGGACGGCTCTGTTTGCAGATGTCCGAAATTTTTTTTAAGATATCTAAATTTTTGGTACTTAAAATCTAGTACCCAAAACCTTAGATCGATCATTAAAAATTTAGAACTCAATATATAATTAATGTCATTTCTTTCGGATTCGACTTCTGGTGTAAGTCAATGCTTCAAGATTATGATCTCACGCACCTCAAAAATCTTGGTGTTGGATTCATGTCACTCCTAGCCAGCAACCTCGGGGCTCACAGTATCTTATTCGTCTTAACTAGTTAAGTTTTTTTTTTATTAAAGTTATTTTGTTCAGTTATTATTCATTTCATTCGAATGATTAAACAAAGATTATTATGGTCTCGCGATTTTTATGCTGACCCTTCTCATATACTAAAGTTGAAAAAAATGAAGAAGTAAAATAAAAGAAAATTGATGAGACAAAACACATGTTGCCGAGTCATTATCAACTACGGGTGCATAATGATGGAACAAAGCACAAATCTTTTAACGCAAACTAACTACAACCTTCTTTTGGGGTCCCAATCCCCGACCCTAATGTTTTGGGATTAATAAAACTACAATCACTTACCAAAAAATAAAAGTACAAGGCCACTATAATTTCTCATTTGAACCTATTTTTATTAAAAAAAAAAAAAAGGGGTTTCATATTGATTTCATACACAAAGTTACTTTTTATTATTATTATTATGGACCATGAAATCATTTGCATATGAACTGCAATGATACAGAATCCACTTCTTTTGTGGGAGACATTTACCAGATTTCGGTAAATTGGTTTTTCCCCTTTTCTGTGGGTGGTCATTGTTAGTGGCCGGTGCAATTTTCTTTATGTATTTTGAACTTCCGTTTTCTTTTAATCTATCGAAAACGTATGTTATCCTTTGAAAACGGACAAACAAATTAAATAACAATGTATTTGAAGATAGCTTGTATGTGGACAAACTAGATATGATTTCCTCACAAGACTATGAGAATGATTTTACCCACTAATAATAAGCCCATCGCAAGGTTTCAACGAACTATTTTTCCAAATAGCAATCTAGATCCTGACACCAACAAAACAACAAAATTTACTTTGCAATTTAAACCAATTCTTGTAAAAATCATAAATTCCAGCTTAAACTAATTGGTTGTTAGTAAAGGGTTTTATGTATTTTAGATATACTTATTAGTTATATATGTGTTTTCAGTGTTATGTTGTTGTTTTTTATGAAAAAAAGTTTTCAGTGTTATGTTGTCATCCATAGCGTTTATATGTTTTATCTTTATATATTATGTATTTCAATACTTGATCGGTACTTTATTGATAAAAAAATATATGCATGAAAACAACTCAAGTGTTTATTATTTAAGAAAATTTTAGATAGTGATTTTAAAAATAAATTAATAAATATAATCATAATTTAAAAAAGACATGCATACACTCAGTCTCACTGTGTATGTGTAGCTGGAGAGTTAATTACTTGGGGAATATTTGACTTATTAATGTTTTCATATTCTTTATTTTTTTCACTTCTGGTTAAATTAAAAAACAAAAAACAGGTACTCTTAATTTTACATCATCTATATAGATTTATTACAAGTGGTCACTCAAGTCCACGACATTGCATGTAGGTTCGAGACTTCAGAGGTACGTAACGGAAGAAATCGACAATTGTGATCGTAATATCTTAATAAACCCCCGATATGTCTGCTTATCTTCATTTAAATGTGGATCAGAGAAGATAAGTCAAACTGTCATCATAATTTAAGACAACCTCTTTTATTATTTTCCCAAAACCTGTTTCATGTAACTACTTTGCTTATGTGATTGCCTAATGGTACTATTATTCTCTATCTTTATTCTCTTCACACTACATTTTAAATAGTTTGAGAGCAAATAAATTAATTATTTTCAAAAAGGTGATTATATGAATGCAAAATAGCACACCAATTACGTATATATTTCGAAGTATTTAATACATTTTAATATTTCATAAGTGTGATTAGCATTTTTATTAAACAATTGTATCCTGCAGAACAAAGAAGCAGTGGCAGAGGTGAAAATGCAGTTATAAAACTGTCCAAAAATTTATCAACACATCTAAATATCTAAAAAGAGTGTTTCAAATTTATTTCTTTTGAAATAATAAAATTTCAATTATTTGATATAGTACTTATAATTAAGCTTTCGTATGAAAATAAAACAAAAATAGTTTATTAGAAAAAAATGTAACACCGAAAATTATTCTAGTGCCACTCGCTCGGATCGAAATTCGAAAGTTATATTCTCTTTTTCTCTTTACCTAATTTAAAAATCACAATAAAACTTCAATCCGAATATATCTATCAACATAGTATATGCCCTTACATATAATTTCAGACTTTTCTCTATCCGAATTTCTCGCTTCATGGTTTCTTTAAATATTCTCATTTAATTTTTTATAACTAAAAGATGGAAATAAAATAAAGCGTCGTAGAGAATCGAACGTCCATATCAGTGAAGAAGGTAAAATCTAAAAGATTTAAGTTCCAAAAACAGAAAATAATATATTACGCTAAAAGTTTGCCCAAAAAATATATATATATATATTACGCTAAACAAGAAGAAAATAAATAAAGAGAAACACAAAAAATTAATGTAAGATAGACACGTGTCACTAAGGTACCCTACACCACAGAGACAGCTCTGTTTTCTCTTTTCTATGCCTCAAGGCTCTCTTCACTATCTTCACTGTCTCTTCTTCGGATAATCCTATCCTCTCTTCCTATAAATACCTCTCCATTCTTCCTCTTCCTCCACCACTACAACCACCGCAACAACCACCGGAAAATTAAAAAACCCTCTCAAAGAAATTTCTTTTTTACTTTCTTGGTTTTGTCCAATATGGTCAGCCATCCAATGGAGAAAGCTGCAAATGGTGCGTCGGCGTTGGAAACGCAGACGGGTGAGTTAGATCAGCCGGAACGGCTCCGAAAGATCATATCGGTGGCTTCGATTGCCGCCGGTGTACAGTTCGGCTGGGCTTTACAATTATCTCTGTTGACTCCTTACGTGCAGCTACTCGGAATCCCACATAAATGGGCTTCTCTGATTTGGCTCTGTGGTCCAATCTCCGGTATGCTTGTTCAGCCTATCGTTGGTTACCACAGTGACCGTTGCACCTCTAGATTCGGCCGTCGTCGTCCTTTCATCGTCGCCGGAGCTGGTTTAGTCACCGTTGCTGTTTTCCTTATCGGTTACGCTGCCGATATAGGTCACAGCATGGGTGATCAGCTTAACAAACCGCCAAGAACGCGAGCTATCGCGATTTTCGCTCTCGGGTTTTGGATTCTTGACGTGGCTAACAACACCTTACAAGGACCCTGCAGAGCTTTCTTGGCTGATTTATCAGCAGGGAACGCTAAGAAAACGCGGACCGCAAACGCGTTTTTCTCGTTCTTCATGGCGGTTGGAAACGTTTTGGGTTACGCGGCGGGATCTTACAGAAATCTCTACAAAGTTGTGCCTTTCACGATGACTGAGTCATGCGATCTCTACTGCGCAAACCTCAAAACGTGTTTTTTCCTATCCATAACGCTTCTCCTGTTAGTCACTTTCGTATCTCTCTGTTACGTGAAGGAGAAGCCATGGACGCCAGAACCAACAGCAGATGGAAAAGCCTCAAACGTTCCGTTTTTCGGAGAAATCTTTGGAGCTTTCAAGGAACTAAAAAGACCGATGTGGATGCTTCTTATAGTCACTGCACTAAACTGGATCGCTTGGTTCCCTTTCCTTCTCTTCGACACTGATTGGATGGGCCGTGAGGTGTACGGAGGAGACTCAGACGCAAAAGCAACCGCAGCCGCTAAGAAGCTTTACAACGACGGAGTCAGAGCTGGTGCGTTGGGGCTTATGCTTAACGCTATTGTTCTTGGTTTCATGTCTCTTGGTGTTGAATGGATTGGTCGGAAATTGGGAGGAGCCAAAAGGCTTTGGGGTATTGTTAACTTCATCCTCGCCATTTGCTTGGCCATGACGGTTGTGGTTACGAAACAGGCGGAGAATCACCGACGAGATCACGGCGGCGCTAAAACAGGACCACCTGGTAACGTCACAGCTGGTGCTTTAACTCTCTTCGCCATCCTCGGTATTCCTCAAGCCGTAAGTATCTCTCTCTGTTTTTTTTGTTATTTCCAATATTTACAATTTATCCATTGGCTAATTATTTTATTACTATATCTGATTTGTCGTTTATTAGGAAATAATTTGACCAAATTTTCTAATTTTTATCAACTGCAGATTACGTTTAGTATTCCTTTTGCACTAGCTTCCATATTTTCAACCAATTCCGGTGCCGGCCAAGGTAAATTTCCTTTTTTGAGTTTTTTATTTAATCTAAAATTACCCTTTTTGTTTTGGATAATCCAAGTCGACAATCTTCTTAAAGTGTTGGGACCTAAAAAAAAGCTAAAAGCATTTAATACGTGCAGATTCGTAATTTAATAACTTATTGAGATGATTCTATAAGTAACCAATATTAATATATTACTAATAATTTTAAACTAAAGATTTTTTTTTATGTTTTCTTCCACAGGACTTTCCCTAGGTGTTCTGAATCTAGCCATTGTCGTCCCACAGGTAAAACCGTTTGAAATCAGTTTTACTTATAATTTAGAAGAAAAAAAAATGTTATGACTGATATATATATTTTTGGTTGGTTATATTTAGATGGTGGTATCTGTGGGAGGTGGACCATTCGACGAACTATTCGGTGGTGGAAACATTCCAGCATTTGTGTTAGGAGCGATCGCGGCAGCGGTAAGTGGCGTATTGGCCTTAACGGTGTTGCCTTCGCCGCCTCCGGATGCTCCTGCGTTCAAAGCTACTATGGGATTTCATTGAATTTTAGCAGTGGTTGACTGGCTCTCTTTCTCTCATAAAACAGTAGTATTGTGCAAATCCTACATAAAGAAAAAAGAAAAGGAAATTAAACTCATTGGGTTGGTTTGTATTTTACCTAAACCCACTATGTTCCTTTTTCTTTTTGTAACTGAATTTAAATTTGGAGTATATTTTACTTTTTGTTACCTCAAACTCTCAAAGGCTTCAATATTACGACTAGCTCCATTGTTTCGGTAATACCTCATAATCTACAAAAGAATATGTAACGATCTAAAACAATTTTTTTAAGAAACGTAAACAACGAACTATAGCAATTTCGTATTAATTGATTTGATCATTCCACAAAAATGTATATTCTTAAGAATACTTATAAAAAATCTTTACATTCATTTGTACATATGTTGAATCTAAAACAAGTTAAGATGAATGTGGATAGATATAAAAACGATGAAATGAGACCATTCTCTATTTTCTAATGATCTAGTTTTATCTTTTTCTACAGATAATGTTTTGCTTTCACATTTGATTAACCTGATTTTCCCATTTCCAATGGTTAAACTCGGATTATGAACTAACTAGATGTACATATGTTTGGTAAGCTTATTGGTCAAAGTATGACAAGCCTTTTCGCCTAAGTATGATAAGTTTTGGGAAATTTTCAAAAAGTACACTCTTTTAAGTTTTAGTTTTTAGATGCATATCCCAATTAAAAACATGTATCAAAAGAAGTTTGGAAGAGTTTATAGAATATTTGTTAAGGTTTTCCTATATACTCTGAAGAATTCATAAATCTTTTTTTTGTTAAGTTTTTTTTCTTTTCAAAAATAAGCCATAAGATATTAAAATGTAATATTTTCGGAAAAAAAATGTGATGATGATCTTAAATCACATAATACATCCAGTTCAGCTCCTGATCTACATAATTGATTTCAGGTTTAATATTAAAATCCACAAATAAATACCTTATTAATAAGATAACGAAAATGAAATAATGTAGATTTAAACCGGAAGGGAATAAACCGGAAATTGGAAGAAGCAACGTGGGCCTTATCTTCTTCTTCCTGCTAGCTTTCTTCTTTTATCTCTTGAGCACACACAAGACTCTCTTCTCACAGAACGATTTCGATTTCAGAGTAATCTCATCGGGAAAAAAGTTCAGTGACCCTTATGTTCGAATCGAACATGATTCTCCAAACACTGTCTTCTTCTTCTCCTCCATTTCACCGTCTCTATCTTCACCATTCCCAGATTCTTCCTTCTTCTGTGTCACCCAAGAAGATTTCTCTTCAGGTAAACACTCCAAGTTGCTATCTTTCGCATAGGGGCTCCTCTGTTTTTTTCCCCAATTGATGATTTTGATTCGTAAATTGTTCGTAAGACTCCATTGGTATGTGAAATACTCGAATCACAGAAGATTATGTGGAAAACTGAACAAGAACAGAATCAGACTTTACCCTTTTGTTTTGTTCATGAACTTGCTAATCTTCCTCCATGTTTTTGAACTTGCGGATGAAGGCAGATACATGGAAGGTCTTTGGCCATTCGATCTTTTCATGGTACTTAACTTCTTCTTCCATGCTTAAAGTTTCATACTTTTTCTTAAACCATAGGCATCTGAAACTAAGTTTCATACTTTATGTTGATTCACTAGATTGATGGCTTTACCAGTTTGATTTGTGATATGTATGCTTTTGAGCTCTAGATGTTGAGTCACAAGATTGATAGGTTTAGATTATGTCTTTGCAGAGATTTCTGCTAGAGGTTTACCGGCTTTGAATAAAGCTTCCTTGAAGAAGATACCAATCAAAGGATCTACCTTTCTGCTGGGACAGAGCATGTTGATGGTTTCTGCTTACCCACAGATGGCAGCAGCAGCAGAAATCATAAAGCCTGAACCGATTTACGAAGTTGGGGAATTATTTGAACTTAGTATTCAGCTTTCTTACTTGCTGTTACTACTGGGGTTGCTTGGAGTTGGTACTTTCTATGTGATCCGTCAAGTACTTGTACGCAGAGAACTTGACCTCTCCGCTAAAGAATTGCAGGTATTGCATTCACAGTTATGTACCAGACAATGTGATCCAAGTAGTGACCTTTGTGGTAGAAAACAGTAGGGTAAGAGTAACTGAGAAGGGAAGGATAGAATTGAAGAAGTAATATTTGTGTTTCTCATATCATTGGTTTGATTTCGATATGGAAACCTGATAAGTCTGGATATTATGAACATTAGACTTATGCAAGTAGCCATGCTTGCTCAACTTTTTTTGTTAATTTGATCAAATCTGGATGCTATGGGTTCTTTTTTTCTCTTTTATAATATGAAGGAGCAAGTTAGGAGTGGCGATGCAAGTGCAACAGAGCTCTTCGAGCTTGGTGCAGTGATGTTGCGAAGGAAATTTTATCCTGCAGCCAACAAGTTTTTGCAACAAGCCATCCAGAAATGGGACGGCGATGATCAAGATCTTGCCCAGGTAATAGACATTTTACATAAATACCGTATTTACCAAGTAAAAAAAACCAATTGACACTGTAAATACAAATCTCGATATAGGTCTATAACGCTCTTGGAGTGAGTTATGTCCGAGAGGATAAACTCGACAAAGGAATCGCTCAGTTTGAAATGGCGGTGAAGCTGCAGCCCGGTTATGTAACGGCTTGGAACAACCTTGGGGATGCTTATGAGAAGAAAAAAGAGTTGCCGTTGGCATTGAAAGCGTTTGAAGAGGTTTTGTTGTTTGATCCGAACAATAAAGTGGCTCGGCCTCGGCGAGATGCGTTGAAGGATCGCGTGAAGCTTTATAAAGGCGTTGTGGCGGTTAAGTCTAAGAAACGGTGACGGCTCAAACAAGAAGCAAACTCGAACCAAGAACCGTTGGTCTCTCTCTCCCTCTTGTCTTTTTTTTTTTTGGTTTGGTTAATATGTAAGGAGATTTTGTGTTAATATGAAAATGAAACTTGTTTTTGTTGTTTTGTTTTGAGTATACTTAATTGGTGCTATATATTATATGCATTGAAATAAAACCAAACGTCTAAAACTAGGTAACCAATAAAATCACTCATCTTATTATTCGGAATCGATACAAATCATTTAGTTGAATAATGTCAACATAATGGAAATAAGCTCACACATCACACATGCAACATAACAAACGAAGAAACATAATCAAAAGATGAGAGCAGAGCATATAAATAGAGTTTTGAAGTCTTTTAAGGACACTTGAGTTTATTGCCATGTGTACGGATATTGGCGTAGCAAGGACATGCTGCTGTGTTGCCGGAGGTTCCCGGCGGCACACACTGACACTTGGCACAACAACTTCCACAGGCTCTGTGACACACTTTCTTCCTCGATGTCTTGCTGCATCTCCTTGCGCATGCATGCCCACAATCTAAAAAATTGACTCATTGATCAAAAAGGTTGTGGGGGCAACAAAATAACTTAAAACAGAGGAATTAGAGTGTTGAAAGAGTAGACTAACTGATTCTTGGACGATGGTGGTGGTATGTTCTCTTAAACGCCGCGGTTTGGTTCTCGTCATTCGTCTGAATCTATTAGCAACAAAAAAGAAGCCAAAATTTACTCTCTTGAAAGTTTGTTTAGTATGTTTTTGTATCACTTTTACCTGAGAAACAGAGGAAGTTTCATTGTTGCTGGATGAAGACAACTCTGCAAGTACCTGTGAAGACCAGAGAGATATTTCATTCTTTTAATTTGGTTTGTCTGAAACAGAGAGAAGGTACTCTTGAAAATGGTTTGAACAGTTTACCTGAGAAAGCAGCAGAAGAAAAGAGATGATCAGCATAACAAAGGCAACCACATTCATCTTCTTCATATTTCTTGGTTAATGTCGTAAGAGATTTTGAAGTAGTGTGTGAATATAGGAGCTGTGAATGATTCTTTATATAGATACATTTCAGCTCATTTTTTTTTTTTTTGAACAATTACTCATGTTGGATAGAGATCACATGCATAGACTTTCATCGCTGGAGCCAAACATAAATGATAAATCACAGGTTTTTATTGAATAAATCACAGATTATAGATTGCGTTTTGCTGTAAAGTGTTGGAGTTTGATGCAAACAGTTTTGATTGGTTCCCTTTTTTCGGAGAATGCAAGGGAGAAGAAGAAAATTCAAACCTGTAGTTCACTAATATCTAAATCTAACTCAATTTGTTACGTGAAAATGAGAGTAAATTTTACAGTAAAAGCTATGAGATGGATCATCATAATGTGATTAAAATGTATGTCAATACGTAATTAAGTAATGTGTGTCTGTGACTTCACTTACTTAACGATACACGTGTGGAGATAAACGTACTTAGTCTGTATAAAGAAAGAGTCATCTCATGATATATATATATATATATATATACATTAGGTACTTTGGAAGTTTATGTTTTAATGATTGTTTACAGCTGTCTCTTAGTTCAGACTTCAGACATTGAGACACTGAGGGAGATAGATGAAGCAAACGCAGACGCAAAAGTGTTTGGCGTTTAAATGCAACCGCAATATTATTTATTATTTGTCTATTTTATACAAACGTCATTCGAAATTTTCAAACAAACATGAAACGTTAAACTAAAAACAATATTGATTTGTTTCCTCGCGCATTTGTATTGGTGTTTTCATGAAAACAGAAACGCAAACGTAATCTCGTTTTTGTTCGTTCCTAAACAATTGCTAGGTTGTCTCTCATTGTATACACGAGAAAACTTTTAGTTTTCATATTTGATAGAAAAATAAAGGAGAAATGTAGTTTGATGCAGAAAAAAATCTAAGAGACAAGTCAAAATGTTTGTTATACTAAATATAAAGACAAAACACAGCGTGCAAATTGCTATGTATACATTAATTGTGAGGGAGAAAGGAAAACGACCCGAGAGGAGACATCAATTTAATGATAGTTTTGATTAAAGGGCTTAAACCAATGACAATATTATTGTCCTCAAAATGGGTTAGATCCAATAAGTGGCAACCTTCATTAGGCCCATCTATATAGGTTTTTTTTTTCTTGTTTCATGAGATTTTTTTAAATGTTTTAATGCATTTTTATTAATTAGTTTTAGTGTGTCTTAGATTTAAAAATTATTAGTTAAGATATCTGAATTCACTAATTACTTTTGATTCATAGTTATGTTTTAAAAGTAAAACCTTCAAAATGTTTTGTCTGCTCCATACCATTTTACCAAAAAATTAAAAACTTAGTCCACTGATTATGTCCATGTGAAAAGTAAAACGGTTTTTTTTTTACATCTTTAGATCGAGAAGACTTGATCTATAGTCAAACTTTACTATGTGGGAGAACGCGACTTAGTAGAGTCGGACTCCAGTGGAAAGTGGAGTCAAATAAATTTAACCACTTGACTTTAGACATATCCCCAAGTAAAACGATCTAGTTAGTTCGTGAAATATAAATTATTTCTCTCCATTGCGACCATTTAAATTATTATATTGACAATTTTGTCCTTCACGTCCAAAGTTTTAAATAAAAGAGATCAAAGGGGACAACAAGAAGTCAAGAACTCAAGTCCAAAACTAACACTCTTCTCAATGGATACTTCCCCAAGGACCCGAATTGTACCTAGACGATCCAACTCGATCAAATTCTCATCGGCGGTTAACATTTCTAACCGGCGATCACTCTCTTCCTCCTCCTCCAATTCTCTCCTATTCTCCAGCAACTCTCCGGTAACCCCTCTCCATCCCCTTGGCGTCCCATTTTCATGGGAAAAGCTTCCCGGTAAACCTAAAGAGTTCCCATATCACCGGAAAAACGAATCATCAAGCAACCTCTTGCCTCTCCCTCCTCACCGGAGTAACCATAACCCCAACACCAGACGTAAGAAGAACACGTCCCCTGCGCCCATGAGAGATCCCTTCACGGCGGCGTTGGTAGAGTGTTCCAAAGGCACCACCGTAGACAGAGAACATACCGGCGGCGAATCAAGGAAGGTCTTGAGGAAGAGCAGCATGGGGTTACTGAATCTGTACGCTTCTTGTAGAAGAGCTTGTGCAGTTTCTGAATCCATTGTTTATCTCCCGAAGTCCATTGACCGAGTTGCTTCATACGATCATCTTCTTCTCAGCACTCGTCGTCGTAGCCGATGATTTTATCACATTCGTCGATCGTTACTAAAATATATAAGATTTTGAATAAAATATGATAATTATACAAACTTACGTATATAAATATGTTAATTTCTGTTATTAATACATACGAAAGGCGGAAAGAGTATTATTGCATGCGTTATATTCTATAGAACCTGTTTTTTGTTTGTTATTGCTTTCATCTTCTAACGATTAATATATATTTTTGTATAGTATTGCTCCATGCATAACTATTAATGGTTATGATTTATGTGTTTTTACCATATGGATTTGAACACCGACGTATGATAAAGTCTGAAAGCTACATGTAACCAGTTACTTTATTGTGATTCATACAACGTCATCTTAGGTGATTGCATGTATGTATGTGTGATATCTTCGGATTTTTTTCCTAATATCTTTTAAAGAAATTAACGTTATCTCATTATTTGAAAAAAAGAAAAGTAAATAAAAGATTATAACTGTTATTTATACGAAACTTCATTGATCATGTTTGTATCCTTAACCTATAACTAGACTACGATTTATAGCAAATTGTTATATCCAATGGATAAGTTGGTTAATAGTACTTAATACACAAACGATTTTCAGTGAGAGTCAATGCACTTTTATCTGTAACCATTAAGGAAGAAATATGATCATCTGCACAGAGAGTTCAGTTAAAATCATAATAAATTTAATAACTATATGTATAGACTATAGAGTACTTGGATGTTTCATCAAAACATGTGTATATATATATATATATATATATATATATATTTATACTGTTTAGGAACAATGACTTTTGTTGTGGGTCATTCATGTAATCATGTCAGTCAATTATTCAATTATTCAATTTTACTCTTTTTAATTAGGAAAAAGCGAAAATTATCATTTTTTCATGAATAGTAGGGGTTCTAATCTCCAAAAAGACAATCTAAAGGTATATTTTCTCGATTATTATTTCTTAACTAAAGCTAACTATACTTGAATTTCTAGTAGTTATTTATATTAAGTCGGTCGTATCAAATGATATTTAAATGAATAATGGAAGTGATGGGAGTACATAAATGAGAATTAACTTTCATTGCCAACGACAGACAATGTTTACAAATAATGGGATTCAAATTTATTGAAATTCACCCTTCAAATTCCCTCATGTGAATATTATTCATACACAGTTAACATGAAATTGGTTTTGGAGGACCCATAGTCATAAATACCGTGCTTTTGAACTTTGTTATATAGAGATCATCTTCATGAAGGTGGGAATTTCAATCACGATTTTCATCAGATGAACTTAGCTTTTAGATTTGAGAACTTTGGAAGACAAATCCATCCAAACGATAAAGAGGGACGACTTCTCGTCTAGATATGGGGCTTCAAGCAAAGCAAGTAATTTTGTGGATATTGGCACATTTTGGTATTACGAACGATGTCCTCTAACACAAAGATTTAAAGGCAACGAATGATGTACTATGTTTTGTTTTCTGTTTACCAAGTGCTAATAAAAGTGTGTTTTATTTGTTTCGTAGAAATAAGTTGGATTTTAAAGTTAGACATCAAAGTTTGTCAGGTTATTTCAAGTGAAACTAAAATAGATCATATGTTTTTTGCAATTTATACTATTCAAGCAATTCGACCAAAAAAATACTATTCAAGATCATGTTATACACAACACATTCATATGAATCATATCCAATACACATATCTTTCTCTTCTTACTCTCGGTTCCATAATCATAACCCTAATTATTCCAATTCTAATAAACTTTGGAATTTTTTTAATGTATTTTTAGTACCCAATTTCATATTTAGGAATCTGAGAGTCGGAGTTGAGAATAATGGATGTTATTGATAAATAAAAAAGTTACGGACTTTATTTATATTTTGATATAAATGTAGATGGTTTGTTTATATATTTTAAATCATTCTCAAATCTGTATAGATTTTAATATAAAACTAGATCTGGACCCGCACGTTCGTGCGGGGTAAATTTTATGAAATTGTAAATTTTAAAAGTTTTAAAATAAAAATAGTAAAAAATTATATGAAATGTGAAAATATTATAGTTTTGATTGATATACAGTAGTGTTACAGCAATTTTATATTATGTGGTTTACTAATAGTTTGGTGTAAATGGATAAAATTATGGTTAGTGAAGAGTTGTGTGTAAATGTTTTAAAAGAATTGTGTGTTAATCATGGGAAAAAAAAATTAAAATCTTCCATTAATCAGAATTTATTAGTATATTTTCTTAAAGAAATAAATTAAAATCGAAAATATATGATGATATTAAATTAATTTTTTTTTTACGAAAATATTTGAAAATATATTACGAAATTAAATAAGTTTACATATATACAATTTTGAAATTAATAGTTAGATTTTTTATGGAAACTAATTTAAAAGATTTCTATAAATATTGAGTTGTTATTAATTTGTTTATTTTATGGGAACTACTTCAAACAATTTCCATAAATATTGGGTAGTTATTAATTTGTTGATTTAATTTTGGATTTTATTTTATATAAAAAAACAAATATCAAATGGACACAATACAATTTTCTGATTATTTTTTTTTATTTTTCAAATTTAAAAATACCAATGGCATTTTTTGTAATTAATCTACCAAAATAAGGTTACTTATGTTTGAGTGATTCCCAATTAATAGTATAGATAACTCAAAAATTTAATAAAATTTTCAAATATAAAAAATATACTTACTTTTGTTGTCAACAAAATATTATATACTTTTTATAAATTGTCTTTTTAAAAAAAATTTTGCTATAAAAATCTTCAAAGTTTTCTTACAAGCAACATTTTTACCAAAATCATTAATTGACTATTGCCAAATTTCCATTTACATTTAGAAATCATTGAATAACTAATGATTTCACAAAAATTTGGAATATTGATTTGACGAACACAAGATTATGATTATATGTCATAACTAATAACCCCCTCAAACTTCAGTTGTTATTTTGTTTGGATTTGTGAACAAAGAGACGATGAATCTTGTTGTTATGCTAATCCTAACATTACTCCTTTTCATTGTTTCATATGTAGTAGACGCAGGCCAAGTCATTTTGATGAATTCCAACATAACTCGTTCTTTTGTCGGCATTGAAGCTGATTTCTGTGAGTTTCTCTCTCGATCCTTCGTTTATTTCTGCTTGCAGTTACGTGTTGTCCATAACTTTGTCACCACTTATATGGTCAATTTTTCCATTTGTTTTTCTATATTTTTCTTTTAAGTTACAAAGGTGTTATACTTTGCTTCTAACAAAAGTTTTGAGAAAAGAGAGATTTTGAATCTGTTTGAATCTATATTTGTTGATCCTGATGAAAGTTCCGTGTTTTCAGCTCCATTAGTGACTACGGTGGAAACCGGAGTGGTTTATGTAGCTGAGCCTCTCAACGCTTGCCGAAACTTGAGGAATAAACCGGAGCAGAGCCCTAATGGTACTTCCCCTTTTGTGTTGATCATAAGAGGAGGCTGCAGTTTTGAGTACAAAGTCAGAAACGCGCAGAGAAGCGGCTTCAAGGCTGCCATTGTCTATGACAATGTGGACCGCAACTTCTTATTCGCAAGTAAACTTATTCATCTCCATGTCTATGGCTCTATGCTATACAAGTCTCTAATCTTGAATTGATGCTATAAATCTTGATTTTGGGAATTTTTTTCTAGTGGGGGGAGACTCGGAAGGTATAAAGATTCAAGCGGTTTTTGTGACGAAAACAGCCGGAGAAATTCTCAAGAAGTACGCTGGTTTGGCGGAAACGGAAGTCATGTTGATATCTAATTCAGAGGACTCGGTGTGGTCCTTGTACGCTTCCATAGCATTGGTCTTGTTGCTGGCTATTTTTTGTGTTATGGTCGCTTGTGTCTTCTTCTATAGATATTGCACAACACTTAGAAACTCTACATCTCAGTTCAATGGGATGTGCTGTAAAATGGTGAATGCAATGCCGAGTGTTACATTCACTTATGCAAAAATAGACAACACTACTGGTTTCTCTTGCGCTATCTGCCTCGAAGACTACATTGTTGGAGACAAGCTCAGGGTCTTACCTTGCAGTCACAGTTGAGTATGTTGTGATATTTTAAACTATCTCTGCTTGACAACAAACTTATGATTCTATAATGCTTTTGGTGTTTTCTCAGAGTTTCATGTTGCATGCGTAGACTCGTGGCTTATATCATGGAGAACGTTTTGTCCAGTGTGTAAACGGGATGCGAGAACGAGCGCAGATAAGCCACCAGCTACAGAGAGCACACCATTGCTCAGCTCTTCCATTGCAACATCATCTGTAGTGTGTATAGACCCTCCTCCTTTGGGATCCTCAGTTTCTTTCTCACATGTGAGCCCGTCCTACATTCAACAGTTTGTCAGGGTTTCCTCTCATCGAAGCCGGTCTTCCCCAATAAATGGCAGCCGTATCTCTGAGAATCTCAGGCGACAGGCCTCACCATTGCAGTCATCATCACAGAGATCATACCTCTCTATGAAGTCTTCCCATTCACTGGGTTATTCGACAATGTCACCTCTCAACGCGGTGGACATGTCACCATACCGGCCATACCCAAGCAATGCATCACCTGGATTATTCAGTTCAACAAATCATCTGCTTTCCAATTATACAGCAAATGCATTCTCTCCTTTCGCCTCTGCACACTCGCTTCCGGACTGATATAGACCGAGCTTGCAACAGAACACTGCAGAAGAATCTGTCTCCTTAGGTGCCGGTCCAGTCATCTTTGGTTCATGTAGGATTCTTCTTCTTTTTGATGTCAGGAATACACCATCAGATCCCTGTCTATCAATGATATGTATGCACAACTCTGTTCGTGTTGGTTTTCATTCTTTCATTTTTTTTGCCCGAATCTGTTTTGTTACACCAGAAACATACAGCTCAACTGCCAGGAAATGAGCCTAGAATCGATAAAATTTGTCAAAACTGAATTTGAATTAATCTAAATGTTAGTGGATTTTTATAAGACTACACAGCACAACTAGCCACTAGATTCTAAAGTCACTCTGTCCTTTGTCGTTTGGCTTTGATATATCTCATCCACTCCTTGCACTCCTCTGCGGTGCCGTTGGGGTAAGCCAGCTGCCATGTGAGCAGCTTCTGTTGCTGCAAAATAGAGCAATTGGCATTCAGTAAAAGAGATAAGCAAGACAGGATCAATGATTCAACTGCACGAGATTACTTTGATATCACATCTTTCGGATCGAGTTTTTAGTTAAAAGCCTTAAGGCTGGGTTTGCCTATCATTACACGACTAACAGTTTCATAAAGCCACATTTGGAAAGCAGGATATAATAGATGTGTCGGAAAGGTGATTTGCACGGTTTTGCAGGATTAGTCACAGCTAAAGACTAAACTTAGATAATATAGTGATTTAAGAAACAGAAACAGAGGCATGCAACAGACAAGATCTACAAGTTCAATTTCTACTGAGCACAACTCCAACATTTAATCAAATATATGGAGAAAGCGTTTTTTGTTTTAAGGTTCTATGACAGAGATCTAGGATGAGAAAAAGTTCTAAGTTCTGAATTCTGAGAGATTTGAGGATTGGGAATCAATGAAAAGAGAGGAAGCCTTACCCATTCACGGATGAGGGATCCTCCCTTCAGCTCAGCAATCTGCATTATCTCCCTGCCATTCACTAGAGGCTTTGCATCCCAGATGCTATCAAGACCTGTAATGTTAAGAAAGAAACACAGTTACGTATGTTGAATGGTTCCCCAGGCACATTGACAGATGCAGTTCTAATGACAGAATAATGAGCTTTCTAAAGATTTTTTTCTCTTCTACCCTACTAGTTGCATCGCTTCTCAAAGTCTATTGCCCAAAAACAGGAATTACAAAATCAGATTCTCATCTTCTTTTGATGTTCTTAGTTTTACTAGTGTGAGTTTGGTAGTTACAAAAACGTGGGGAGCCTTGGTAACTAGTCACAGCCTAACTTCATCTACCTCCTCTTAGAAATATCTATCTTATATGCTACCATTTATCAAACATTCTAACACTTACCCAGATCATGAATGGTGGTCTCAACTGTCAGATAAGTTTCTCGCATCTTTTCCAGTTGGAAGTCCAGCTGCCCGATATCTTGATCTTTGTTCATACCGTCAACCGTAGCAGACAATAACAAAGATGTTAAGAGAGAAACACGCCAGAAGTCTTTTATATCTCTAAGTAGAAACCCTGGAATAGTTGTAAAACAAAACATTTTAGTTATATACATATGGTCAGATATAATATGTTCATTATATCACAAGTGTTATAATACTCTCGTCTAAAAATTATCAATGACACCACTAACTAATATATATTAGTGACTTTTTTATCTGCTCAAGTTATTAAGGTGGGAGTAATACAATACTACAAAAGCTATAGAGGAGAACCTGTAAGTACTCTTATTTTCGAAGTTGCTGGTACCAGTGGATCATTAAGGGTGATGGCCTTCCAGTGATCAAGAATATACGCGGCCCAATCAAGCTCGTCCAGTTCCACGTCGTTCTTTGCCTCAAGGGATGGAATCAACGATCGAAATCTCTCCATAGTCTGATGTATATTCATAACCTAGAGAAGATGGAATTCATTATCATGATAGTGATGAATCTGTTAAGTTGTATAGCAGTCGAACTTAAAAAGGTATGGTAAAACGAGATACACTACTATTGAACAAGATCACACCTATAATCTAATGTCACAGGTGAAGGCTCTGATTGTACACAGTTAATTGGTTATCTCCGTTATTGCCAAAGAAAACAACACAAGTATCACCCTATAGTTACTGAAATAAGGCCTACGATATTGAACATAATAATTAGAACTCACTGTTTCAGCGTCACTGGTTTTCCTCTTCATGGAGAATTTAAAGATGTGGTTGACAACAGGAATCTGAAAAAAGGGCGCAAGGTTGGTTCGGTTAGACAACCAAACTCAGATTTATTTAACCCAAGAAAAGATGATAAAATAAATAAGAGAGTGCGTACCGATTTGCCCTTACTGTCCTTGTATACAGTTTTCCTAAAAGGGAGAAACATAGCAGCATAAAGAGCAAGCCGTCTTTGTTCACCCTAAAACAAAATGATAAGACACCAATTAAAATCTAACTGAATATAAAAAAATAGAGCAAGCAGTTAAGCAAGAAGCGAACACGCCAGAATAATGACTCACACTAAAATTTCCTAGCCGAGGTGTTTGAAGCAGGCTCCACATAGCTTCCAAGTAAGCTTGGGAGAGGCTAAAATAGCAAGACATGTGAGTGAGTTTTGAAAAATATGAATATTGAATAGCAGTGTCACAGAACCAGATTTGCAAAGTTAGCGATTTTTAAGAGTAGAAACAAGATAAACCTGCCACAATTCTCTGATGGTGAAGGCTCAGCTGAAGAGGGAAGGGAAAACACAACCGTAAATAATTTCATCTCAGAAAGATAGGTAACCGCTGAAACTGGTCCATTCCCAGATATCATCAAGTCAATCTGCACCAAAGAATCAAGTTGTGTAATGATAAACCCTAAAAAGGAAATTCGCCAGAGAAATTAGCTATATTCAGAAAGTAGGAAATGCAAATACAGACTTCATTCCCAATCCGCTCTCTGCTAATTTTTTCTCCAAGAGCAACCCTTACTTCCTCACTTGAAGCAGCTTCTTTTAGTTCTTCATCCAGAGTAAAACCAAACCTTGCACCTGTTATGGCAGTATATTAGAACGGACTGACAAAACGACAACCACAGAGCTCAAAATGGAGGATCTGAGATGGGCAATGTAATGACATATAATGGAAAAAAAAACAACAAGGAAAGAAACCACAAGTACCAAAGCGGATAGCTCGGAGAACTCGCAAAGGATCATCCAAAAATGTAGCTTTTGCGGGCAAGGGTGTAACAATTTTTCCGGACTTGAGGTCATCGATGCCTATAATTATATCAGTTCCTTGTAAGCAAATATTTTGAACATCAAAGGGAATGAATGATGATAACACAAGGATATACTAACCTCTCTCTGTAAGGTCTTCTACTGAGCCAGAGTTGATGTTGTAGAATAAACTGTCAAAATTTAAGAAATCATAAAAATGTCCCAATTTGCATTCAGAGATACGGAGATCACAGTTATGCTACTTCTGGTTCAAAGGGAAGAAGATGAGTGTACCTATTTATGGTTAAATCTCTACGAAAAGCATCCTCTTTTGCCGTGCCAAATTTCTGTAATAAAACAGAGAAATAAACACTATAAGATAAGCAGCACAAGCACTTAGGTCCTTAGCATTGCAACACTGGACAACTAATATAGTTTCTATATTCAGGATAGGCTGTGTTATGCTTTCACAGCACATAAAATACATTCAAACCACATAGGCAATGAATAAGGATCAGTACCATTGTAGGAATACGACTATTCTCTGTGTATTCTTCACTTCTCAAGTTCACAAAATCTATCCATTGGTCATAAATGCGCATCTTTGCTGTCTCCAAATGTTTAGATTGGTCAGGGTTCCTGAAAACACCAACACAATAAACCAGTTAACATCAAAGAACTATAGCGTATTGGAGACAAGCCTAGAAGAGTTCAAAACCTTTCAATAACAGTGTCGCCTTGTACTTCTTCATCTCTCGAAGATAAATATTCCTTGAACTTATCAAGAAATTCACTTCCAGACATATTATCAATAGCTATATCAATATCATCACTTTCTTTCCCTAACAGCTGAAAACAACGATAAAGCAAACATCAACTCTCAAACAATTGACAAATTCGACTATTCACTAAACTTAATCGAATCCAACCAGGTGAAGAAGAGAACCTTATCACGGACCCAACCACCGGCGACACGAAGCTGCGTGTCGAGGTTACAGTAACGGAGAGTACTAAGAAGCCGGTCGAAAATTTTCCGTTCTTTATCAGTGAGCTCAATATTCTCCTTCAATTCGATTGAAGGAATCGATTGCTTATCCTCCTCTCCAACATTCGTCGTCATCGCCTTCGTCGAGAACCAGTAACAACACAGACGAGAGGAGACACCGGAAACGCGAAGAAGCGTTGATGAAGTGCGAAACGCGACGGTTAGGGAACGATTAGGGTTACGGTAACGAGAAGGAGAAATTAGAAAGAGAGGTTTTGGGAGATTTATGAGAGTGTTGATCGGAAGAGACAATCTCATCGTCGGCTTTTGTAATTTCCATTTTTTTCTGATGCGGCGATTTACGGCGGCGTTCTGAACCGGCGAAGAGTAATGGGCCAAGTCGGATCCGGTATTAGTTATAATGATTATTAGGCCCAATAATGGCCCAATTTCCATTACAAACCGGAATATGAATAATGAGCGGAATATTAATAGAGTTTTTGTAAACATTAGTGATACTTAGTTTTTAGTATTAATGTTAAGTATTTATATCAGATTTAAATTTTCAACATCGATTACAGAGAAAATATGGAAGACAAAAAAAATTTACAAATAAAACTACAATTACAACAGAAAATACGACAAGGAAAATACAAACGATAACAACCAATAGAAGTTCGAAGTAGAAACAGGGAGATATATTTGGTGAATCGGTGATGACAGAAGTGTAATAAAGCATACCAATCTTACATTATAAGCAATTATGGGAAATATCCTAAGATAGTAACACCATCTAGTCAACCATTGAAGACTTAAGGTGAAATCGACGAAACTATAGGTCTTTAAATAGATTTACACGCATGCGTTAGATCTTGTGTTGTATTTGTAATTGTACAACACAAAAAAGAAGCAATCACCCCACGTACGCAACAAGAAAAGAGAGACTACAACATAAATTGTCAGTTGTATATCATTCACAGCTTATCATTTTTATTTAGTTTTTTTAACTAAAATTTTTTGGGTCCTTATTATTACTATTTTTTTTGTTGAAAATACTTTTATTTTATTGATATTAGCCACAAAACACATCTGTTTTAAAGTAAGTAGCCCAACCCCGAATCATAGATACGAGTTCCAGCTTCATGGTTGTCAAAAAAAAAAAAAAAACTAACAGATACTAATGTTTATATAGTCAATTTACAGCTAGCTGAGCTCAGTTCCCATCAACTATAAGACCTGACTTGAAAGCAAAAACACAATCCTGGATTTAACATCGTCCACGTGAACCGCATGCACTGACAATGATTTTTTTTTTTTTTTTGCCAAATCCACGTTATGTATGATTGATTTGATGGTAATGTACAATTATATAGTATTATCAACTATTTCAGTTACGCAATTATCAACTACTAATAATAATTGATTTTCAAGATAACCTATTACTTTTGTTTTCTGTTTGGAATGGTTAGTTACTAAAACAAAAAATGAAGCTTTAGATATTTGTATAAACCAAAAAGGAAACATATAGTACTCCAGAAACAAATCATTTGATTTCACCACTATCACATTTCATTTATACAAAGCCAAAGTTAAAAAGACAAAAAAAAAACTACCATTAAAACATAATAATAACAATTTTCTTTTCTAAACGAAACAAAACTCGAGAAAAAGCCGATCGAACCGGCGAAAAGTCCAATGACCCAATCGATAGAGATTAAGCCAAATTAACATGTCAGACTCAAAAAACGATGTCGTTTTCTTCACGTGAACACCACGCTCCAATCATCTTCTCTCTACGACCAAAGCCACTAGGCTTCATCTCTCTCTCTTCTCCGCCATTACAACAGTCAATGAGAGAAGAAAAATGAGAGACTTTCCACGTTCGTAGTCGTCTCTAATCTCCCCTCTATATATATCTCACATCTTCCTCTCTCTCTCTTTTTTTTTTTCCTTCTTTCTATCTCTATCACATTTCTTCACCAGCTGATTTGTTTGCCCGGAGATTATCTCTCCGTCGTAATTAAGGTCCGTTTATGTTTATCTTTACCTTCTCAGATCTGAGCTTCGACGATTTGTCCTAAACCATCTCGATACATGTACGATTTTTTTTGTTACATCCATAAGAACAGTATTTATGACGATTACTAATGTTAATTACTATTTCCGTTACATTTTTTTACGTTAATGTTCTTTACTCATCATTTCCAAAAACAAAATAGTTATATAATTAATTTATAATTATCCATTGTTCCAGATCTATACAGAGAACACAAAGTTAAAGAATCCTCATGGAAGGAGTAAACTCTTCAAGCTCTATATCCGACCTAGACGACTTGGCTCGGTTACTTGACCGGCCTAGACTAAACATTGAACGGAAAAGATCGTTCGATGAGAGGTCGTTCAGCGAAATGGGAATCTTCGACAACGTTAATTCTCCCGGAGGATGGGAAACTCCGGTATCTTCGGCTAGAAACTCGTTTGAGCCACATCCTATGGTTGCAGAGGCTTGGGATGCTTTGAGACGATCATTGGTTTACTTTCGTGGCCAACCGGTTGGTACTATCGCTGCTTATGACCATGCTTCTGAAGAAGTCTTGAACTATGATCAGGTTTGGTTATTTGGATTGTTTTTTTGTTTTTCATAATTAAACCTTGTTCTGTTAATTTTAAGTTCATAAGTTTTAAGTATTCTTGTTAATTTCTTTCACACAAACGTTGCACAAGTTGTAAAAACGCTATATTTTCTCTTGAATTTAATTTATCATTACATACGAAAAAATAAAAATAAAAACAAATAAACCTTGTTCTGTTTTGTAATGATTCTATTATTATGTTATAGGTATTTTACTAATCACGCCTAGTAACACTAGTGTTTTTTGCATAAAGTTTTCTAGACAAACATTTAAGGGATTCTAACAATTTTGTTCAAATGTTGGTTAGGTTTTCGTAAGAGACTTTGTTCCAAGTGCACTAGCTTTTCTCATGAACGGAGAGCCAGACATAGTTAAGAACTTTCTCCTCAAGACAATTCAAATCCAAGGAAGGGAAAAAAGAATAGACCGGTTCAAGCTAGGCGAAGGCGCAATGCCGGCTAGCTTCAAGGTCATTCATGACCCTATCAAGAAAACCGACACTATCATCGCTGACTTTGGCGAGAGCGCGATTGGAAGAGTGGCTCCGGTTGACTCAGGTTTCTGGTGGATCATTCTCCTCAGAGCCTATACAAAATCCACCGGAGACACTTCTCTAGCTGAAACACCTGAATGTCAAAAGGGAATGAGACTCATTCTCTCTCTTTGTCTCTCCGAAGGTTTCGATACTTTCCCTACATTACTTTGCGCTGATGGCTGCTCCATGGTCGATCGAAGAATGGTAATAATAATTCTCTCTGTTTCTTTTTCTCTATACTCCTTCAAAATCATTAAGAATTAGTAGGATTGGAAGATTAGTAAAAAGGTAGGTCTCTAGACAGAATTAGTGTTTAACGAAGTGAATCTTGTGTAGGGGGTTTACGGGTACCCGATAGAGATCCAAGCTCTCTTCTTCATGGCTCTTCGATCCGCAATGTCGATGCTAAAACACGACGCGGAAGGTAAAGAGTTCATGGAGAGGATAGTGAAGCGGCTACACGCGCTTAGCTTCCACATGAGAAGTTATTTCTGGCTCGATTTTCAACAGCTCAACGATATTTACCGTTACAAAACAGAGGAGTACTCGCACACAGCGGTCAACAAGTTCAACGTCATCCCTGACTCGATCCCTGAGTGGGTCTTCGATTTCATGCCTCTACGTGGCGGTTACTTCATAGGGAACGTTAGTCCAGCTCGTATGGATTTCAGGTGGTTTGCTCTTGGCAACTGTGTAGCGATCCTTGCTTCTTTAGCCACGCCTGAGCAGTCGGCTGCGATCATGGATTTGATAGAGGAACGGTGGGAGGAGTTGGTAGGAGAGATGCCGGTTAAGATTTGTCATCCGGCGATCGAGAGCCACGAGTGGCGGATCGTTACCGGTTGTGACCCTAAGAATACTCTTTGGAGTTATCATAACGGTGGTTCTTGGCCAGGTGAATTTTCTGTTTACTTTCTTGAAAATATATTTTTAACAAAACCAATTTCTGAGAGTGACAAAATAAGTATTTTATATATTTTTTTTAAAAACCTCTTGGGATCTAAAGGCGTGAAAATTTATCGTAAAAAAGAAATTTGTTAGCTATCTAAATTACTTTTAAGCTTTTTAAAGTTAGAAACAAAATCATTAAGATAAAAATGCATAAATCTTCTTTACGGAAAGTGTTTTCGTTAGTCAAAATTCCTACTTATTTGGTTTATATCCGTTGGAATAAGAAACAGTTTTTGGGAAAAAATAAAGTGTTTTTCTTTTGGCATAAAGTATTTTCTTTCTTAATTGATTACTATACTTTATTTTTTGTTAAAGTATCACTCTTTACTTTGTGTACGGATAATCATTTTAGTTCTTTGTGTCGGATTATTTTACTCCGTCGGCCGCAAAAAGCAGTGCTTTTGTGGCTATTAACAGCTGCGTGCATAAAGACGGGACGGCCACAAATAGCAAGACGGGCCATAGATCTAGCCGAGGCACGGCTGTTGAAGGATGGTTGGCCGGAGTATTACGACGGGAAATCGGGAAGGTTCATCGGAAAACAGGCGAGGAAATTTCAGACATGGTCTATCGCAGGTTACTTGGTCGCCAAGATGTTGTTGGAAGATCCTTCTCATCTTGGAATGATCTCATTGGAAGAAGACAAACAGACCAAACCTGTCATTAAGAGATCTTATTCTTGGACTTGATAATTTGTTGTCAATTCTTTTGAGAAAATCAGGCTAAAATTTGTTAGTTTCTAAATTTTGTTTTACAAGTTAACGCATCTTGTATTATTATTGTTTTCCTTAGTGTGGAGTAGTGGGATAGTTGATAACCTCTTTGTAGACGATTTTTTCTACCATATATTTTAGCTTCGATTAGTAACAATCAATAACCGCATAATAACATCAAATAAAAATAAGCTGCATGGTCAAATAATTATCGTCTTTAGTGAATTGGCCATTATCGTCTATAGGTTTTGGAAAATTGTAAACTTTGGGCCTAGCTAAGATTAATTACCAACCCAATGGGCTTTTATCTACAATCTTAAATTGTTTTCTTAGACTGAACTAACTTGAACCCAACTATAATGAAAAATCTAGAAACTGAATCAAATTAGACCGTAATTCCTTTTTCACTAAGGACGTTAAAAAACAAAAAATAACGATGTAGAGAATAAATAAAATTCTCTGTTTGGTTGTAATAAATATGTAATCATTATTTTCTTTGTTAAAGAATATTTTATTTTTTGTCATTATATTATTTGGTCTTTTTAGTTTTTTTATACAACATTTAAGTTATTTTTTTGTCAAGGTTTTGTTTTGGGTAGTCTTTAGATTGAGTTCTCTATATCTTCTTACCAAAAGCTTCATCACTTAAGGTTTAGTTGATGCGTTGAATCTTGAATGGTTTATGCTTAATGTTCTTTTACCTTTGTTTGGCATGCAACCATGTTTTTAGTTATTTGTTTTAACTTTCATTCGAAATGATGTTTACATTCTTATGATTAAATAAAAAACATTTACAATTTTTAACCTAATTATCTTAAACATATTCAATAAGTATTGGTCAAAATTAAGAGTTTAAAAATAAAAATTGTATAAATGATTTATACAATTTTTTAATCTCCATGCATTCATCTTGAACATAAAAAATAAAATAAAAAATGGATAGAGAATGAGCATGGCCGATAACGAGTCTTGAGATGAAGTTGAACTTTTAGCATACTAAATAAATATCTAAAATATTATAATATAGAATATGTTCTGTGAGGGGCAGACAAATAAATGAAGAAAAAAATCAAAAAAAGGATGTAATAATTGAAAATAACATGGAGGCATGGGACCATGTTATAGGATATGAATTAAGAAGAAGAGATTCTCAGCCATGCAAATGCAATGGAATCGGTTAGTTTTGTCAGGTGATGGCCCCAGTCTTATTTAATTTTAGGTTTGCGTTTCGTTTCCTGACTCGCGAGTCTTGAGTCTCGTGACCCAACTTATCCAATACCAAACATATATCCAATATCTTTCATATCCAAATGAACAAGTTGCTTCACAAAATCACTATTTAACCAAACAAATTAAAGGTTTGCAGTGAACAAACACTATTTGTGTTAGTTTTGATTAGCATTGGATCTAGTTGTCTAATTCAACATTAAGTTTTATAAAAAATGACGAATTTAACGTTAAGTTTTTAAATTACCCTTAATTAGTGTTTGTTGAGTTAAAAAGAAACAAAAAAATCACATAATAAAAGAAATTTTATTCATCAACTCTGATTAACGAAACCATTAGTTTGGTAGATTTACAAATATATTCAATACTTAAAAATATAACTGTAGTGTACGTATGTAATTAAGAGTTTTGTGTCATACATAAGTTTTCTTTGAGACATTACAGAAACATTTATGTTAGAACATTTATTACTATGACACATACCGATCGATGATTTTTCTATTTGCTAAAATTTTGAGCTATGTAGAGAGATGAATTATCGTTCTGAACTAAAACAAAAAAAAACAAACACAACAAAAACATAAAAGAGTGATGAAATATATCCACCACGGTTTCACCAATGTCCTTCTCTTTAAGTTTTCTTAGTCAACGCTTCAACAATTTTCTTGATTTATTTATTTATTTTTTCACTTGATATTTACTTATGAAAACAATACATACCACAAATTTATAACAGTTTTTTCTATTTACAAATAGCTTAACTTTTTGACAAATTTGTATTGTGACTTCATCAAATAGAGTTGCGCCTAACAGTTTTGGTGCTACGATTTAAACCGGAACCTTCAAAATATTCGATTAAATGACATTTTCTACACTAGACGTATAAATGTAAGTTTACGTATAGACTGATATAAAACAAATAAGGATACACTAATGCATGGCTGGCTAAAAGAACATGCGATTCAATCTAGCTAACTTATACATGTGCAACATCATCACTTTTCTCTTATTAACTCGTACTATCATTATTATTCCACTCATTTTTATTTAAGTTTCTCGTTATATAAAAATTAATTTATGAGTATTATCCCTTTTTCCATTATTCATTGATCATAGATTCGGTTACCTACCACCCAACATCTCACATGTTGTTTTTATCTATCTTCTACCCCATCTCACCTGCTTATATTCTAGACTTTGGCCTCGTTTGGAATAATAATTTTTTTTTTTTTTTTTTTTTTTTTTTTTGGAATAATATTTGTTTTTCAAAAAAGCTAAGAAAATAGAAATAGTTCTTTCGTATAAGTTATTGAAATGGATGAGATATTTAAAATGATATGTATACATCTTTATAGCAAAATTGTTGCATAATTGTGGTTATTCAATTATGAATTTTTTTCAAAAATGCTGGTTTGTCATATATAATTGTGTATATATACCAAAAGAAAAAGTTTAATCCCACCAACACGCATAAAAAGGGTTTACATGTAATAAAAAGGATTAGATGGCTCAAATGAAATAAGATTTTGTCTCTAGATGCACATGATAATTCGGTATTTTATATCTGTAAAACGAAACTGCACATACATATTGTTATTAAACCAGCTTTTAGGTGAGATTCTACCTAAAAGAACCTAAACGTCGATTTCATTATATATCATTTCTTTTAATTATAACAACTTTTAAGGAAACCACATGCTGGAACCAGATTGGACCTGGCACGTTACCTGATGTCCGCAGTCGCACTCTAAAAGCTTAAGATAATGGTGACGATTATTTGTTAATATTAGTTACAATCACAACAACAACTATACAATAACTCAACTTAAAAATAAAAAATTCGATAACGTGCTTCTTCTAAAAGCTTAATGAGTAAAATTCGATTTTTTATAGCTGACTAAGGATCCATTAATGTGTTGGTATCCATTACGTAAACGAAGATCTTCGTTAACTTTTAAAGAAAGACCCTCACAAAAGTTATTTTGTCAATCTCTGGCTATATATTGCATATATGTCATATTGTCATTATATATGTTTACACTCGTCATATTCCTCGATTAAAAAAAAAAAACGAAACGAAAGATTAACCACGTTGACTTTAAACTTTCTTTGTTTTGAATGAGACAAACAAAAGTAAATTAAATGGATTTAACTTCTAATTATAATTAAACAGACATGTCACTCACGTAAATTAATTTTTCTTTAAACAAGTCTTCCTAAACAGCTTATCTAAAATCAATTAGCTAGTGTCAAAATTTGATATCTTCATTGGGAATTTGGGATCATTACTTGATTGTATCTTTTATGTCACTCAAGTGATCAATGAAGTAGTTGTATATATGGAACCGAAGTGCTCAGTGGCGGACCCAGAAATATTTTTTACCGGGGTCAAATAAATATATATATATATATATATATATATATATATATATATATATATACTATCAATAATTTTTTTCTCCATAATGTATCTATATAAACTATTTTTTGAATTTTCTTTAAACAATAACATATTTTGATAATAGGAATACCAGTAATAAGACTGAATCATTTGAAAATATGCTTAATCACATTAGAAATATGTAAAATATTATAAATCACATTAGTGTGTTCTAACAAGTTTTGAGTTGATACTAAAGTATTTGGTGTTAACTTTACAAATTTTGTCAATTTATCTAAATCCATTAAAAAAAAGTGTTTTGTACTAGAAGTTAATACTTCAAAGTCTGAAAATAAACATATTATAGAAGAGAAAATAATTAATAATTAGTAATATTTCATACAAAATGAAACGTAAACTACGGAGAAAATGAGCGTGTAAATTATAGATATTTTAGCAAGAAAATTATCTTCAAAAACAATGACCAATGATTGTTGCAAGAGGTGTCATCGAACACTCGATCTGCTATTAAAGAGGTGTCAACTCTAACAATGATGCCAAAGACATATTCTTTTGTAACGTATACAATGATTTTCATAAATTTAAGGTGGGTCAGTTGCACCCCCTTCTTAATGCATAGGTCCGCCATTGGAAGTGCTTAATAAAGTAGTTATTTCACATGAAAAAAAATGTATGTCTATATTCAAAATTTTTTCTTTGAATTCCTAAAAATACTTGTAAAAATCTTAGGAAAGTAAAAAAATAAATACTTTGAGATAGGTTTTTTGAAATTCAGAAAGTAAGTGGGTGTAGTTTGTTAAAATCATAAAACTAAGGAAAAGAAATGCGAAAAGCAAAAATTTTATTTGTGATAAATCTTGACATAAATCAAGATGATACAGTGAGAAATCGAGTGAAATAAAGTGATAAAAATTTTATTTGTGATAAATCTTGACATAAATTTTATTTGTAATTGAATTTGGTAATTTCAATTGACATAGGTAAATTAGAAAATGAAAACATTAAATTTTACATAGAAATTAAAAAACATTCATCATTCTGAAAAAAAAAAAACAAACACTCTTAAAATTAAAACATATGAAGTATCATATACCAAGATTTATCACAAATAAAATGTGTGAAAATTAAATAATTTGCTATATTGTGAAATTATAAAATTTATAAGAATTACCGTTTTAGCATCATGCCCTAAAAAAATTCAAATATTTCAACCCATTAATTTACACATATGGATTTAAACACATCAAATAAATATACATTTCAGAAATTGTTTTTATAATTTCTTTGTGCATAATCTTAAAATAGTCTACACTTTTGGCTTTTGCCATCAAATAATTATCCTAGTTTCTTACTTGATGCGTTACATAACAAATGTGAAAAAAAAAAAAAACACAATTAACAATCTAAATATATAAAAAGGTTCCTAAAGAATTCTCGACTCTCTAATGAGTTCTAACATCAGAAACCCGACAATTCCGACACGACTCATTATGAAACAACCCAATCCGACAACACAAACACACCGCATCACTCTGAGTCCCAAACAACTCGGATCCCCACCGTCGAGTCGACTCAGCCGAGTCAACAACACTCACTTTCCGAGTCGACTCGTACCGATAACTCGGCCCAACAGAGAGTTCCAAATTCAGCACCCAATCTTCCTCGTTCCCATAATCCTTCTCCGACGTCGTTCCACTACTCGTACAATTATTAATACCACCAATCTCTTCCCGTACCGGTTCCGGTTTAACCTTTCCGGCGAAATCAAGATGCAAAGTCTCAACGACATCGTTTTGAAGAGTCGACGGAGACACTACTGCCGATTCATTGATCAGACGGTGAGTGTTTGGATCAATCCCACGGCTAAGAAGCTTCCTCTTGATATGTGTGTTCCAATAGTTCTTGATCTCGTTATCTGTTCTTCCTGGTAATCTCCCAGCTATTAAAGACCATCTACAACAACAAAAAACTCCCAAAGTTTCAGAATTTTCCACAAAAATTCCAAACCCATTTTTAAAAAAGTGTAAAACCTTGAGAGAAAGAGACTAACTTGTTACCAAGCAAGCTATGGAGCTTGATAATGAGTTCATCTTCTTCTTCAGTAAAATTGCCTCTTTTGAGATCTGGTCTTAGATAATTCATCCATCTCAATCTACAACTCTTACCACATCTCTGTAATCCTGCACAAGTAATTATAATTAAGAACAAATCTTTATCTCTCTCTGTGTATATATAGAGAAGAGCAGAGGATGTATGTATAAGTACCGGCGGCGCGAGGGAGAGATCGCCAGCAACCTTCACCGTGTTTACGGATGTAATCAACGAGAAGCTGATCTTCTTCTTTAGTCCAAGCTCCTTTGTTCATGTGAGCTTTCTCGCAGCATGGTGATCTTCCCATCTTTTGATCTCTATTTGTATGTATCTCTCTAATCTCTATGTGTATGTATGTATTTGGAGGAAGAGGAATTTTGTTTTTTTCTGAAGGAAGAGAGTTCCTGTAGGATGATGTTTTCGTTTTGAATGTTATTTATAATAACTAACTAACATTATTTTAATACCAAAGTTTTAAAAAAAGAAAAACTTTGATCTAACAAATGAAATGATGTGTTGATTTTTTGTGCCTAGAGAATATTGTAACAACAACCAGAAAACACAAATTTGATTGTAGTACACTCAGAGGAGGAGGAACATGGGAGTTTCCTAACTTTTTTTCTTTTTGTTTTCTGAGATTTAGATCGTACGGTTTGGTTATTGACTTTTGGCTCTTTTAGAATCATCATTAGCCCAAAAAATAAATCATTTTACAAATTCCACAACATTACAATAAATCTCAATATCACTATTTTTAACCATTCTTATTGCATCAAAGAAAAGATAGTCACATACAATTTTCGTATAATTGATTACAAAAGAAGGAAAAACCGTTACAACATCGTCAAATTCACTTATTTAGTTTATAGTATCATCTTTAGTATTTGACATGTATTTCTGTTTATGTAATAATTTGTTTTTGAAGTTTTAGTCACGATTTTGTAAACTCATGCTCGTTTTGATATCAACGATTTTGTAACCATTCTTATTGCATCAACTAACAGTTGTTTACTGTATGATTAAAAAAAGTTAGTACCTCCAACCTAATATTGGGAAAATGTTAAAAAGAAAAGAAAAAGTAGATCTGGGAGAAAGTAGGTAGATAGATTGGGAAGATGAGTAGGTAGCTGTCTTTTTTCATCTCTCTCTCTTCTCCAATCACTCTCTCCACACGCTACTTCCTTCATGTACCTCCACGTGTCCTTTCTTATGATTTTATCACATTCTCTCTCTCTTTGTCCCCTCAATTATAATTTTTTCTAATATTATTTAGATTAGTTGGATAACTGAATTATTGGGTTTGGGCATGTGTACTTGGTCTTTCTTCTACTGTTCTGTCTCTTAAGTTTTTTAAATTTTATTTTCGAATTTCACATTACAATGACGGTCCAATTAAAGAATACTAGTACGCAACAGTTGTTTACTTATATGCATTTTTGAGAAAAAAAATTCTAACTTGTAACGTATTTAAACGGTATTAACATGGGATGATTTTTCTTGGAAATTGGAATAACGTCGCTATAAAAGGCGCTTAGATAATTTAATCGCATAGAATCGTATAAATGTTAATGTTTTTGTCTTACACGGCCCATACGCATTTTAGTCATTTGTACTTTTGCAGAAGTTATCAGAATAGTTGTCAATATTTAAAGAGAGTTGAATTTTACAATAGTGATGTAATACAATCTAAGCTTTCATAAGTTAAAAAAAAAAAAAAAAAAAAAAAAAAAAAAAAAAAAAAAAAAAAAAAAAAAAAAAAAAAAAAAGCTTTCATAAGTTAACTAAACAATACAAGATCTAAGCTTTCATAGAAAACCTGTACAATCCAACTACTGTTCAACGTAATTTAAGTATTTAACTACTGTTCAATGTTTTATGGGAGCCATAAGCTAAGTAGAGCATAAGAATCATGGGCCTTAGGCCGTAACTTGCAAGGCCCAATATGGCTAACCGCAAACAAGCTTATAATTTCCTCACGCTACGCCAAATGCCAAACGTTGTACAACACTTCTACATCCTAGCTAATAGCTAATGTCTAACATGAATTGAGAATGTCTCGTCTTGCTTGTGAATATTTACTACGTTCTAAGAAAGTTTCCTCTGAGGTCCATTCATTGTTTTTCTCAGAATTGGAATCGAAGGCTCCCCCACTCATGCACAAAAGAACAAGACGAAACCGCGATTCAAAGAAATATAACATATCAGAAGCGCAAATGTAAAAACTTATTTTTCGTGTTAGAAGCCAACTCAAACTTTCATTTCCGTTTTGGAAGCACAATAATAAGTGTTACTATGTGTTCTCAACTTTTTAAAAAACTAGTTAATATCGCTTTCTCATTTATATACGCTTTTAATGCAGCTCTCTAATTCTATGCAACACACTTCATGTCTGTGTTTGCTACATTTAGTAATGTTAAAAGCCTTAATGCAATTCACATTCTATGGAAAAAACATTTATGACATGTTTATATCACAAGTTTAACTTATGTAAGAGAGACATGCTTATATCATAAGTTTAACTTATGTAAGAGAAACAAATAGTATAATAACTCTATCGTTCCCCTCTCTGTTCAGGAGTCAAGCCTCCCTTGCCACATTTAGGACAACTCTTCATACCAAATCCTTGACAATCAAAACATCTGCACATTTTCAAAATCCCAAGTTAACACTTAATTAACACTCTCCTTAAGTACTCATTGAACAGGAAAATTTTGATTGATTTAAAACTGTGTTACAGTGTTAGTTATTACTTACTTCCACCTCTCAAACATATTTCCGTTCTTCTTATTTTTACCTGTTCCCTGAAAGCAACATAAGAATTGTTGTCTTTATACATATATATGCTAAATGGGATAAAAGTATATGCATAAATATGGAGTAAAATTGAATATACACTAAAAGAAATAGACTCACTTGAAGATATTATTACAAATTATCTAATAATGAATAACAAATTAGTACCTTGCAACCGGGACATTCAATTGCTCCTTTGGCTCCACAAGTCTCGCAACTTTTAAATATCTGTTTTATATAAACCTTTTGAAGAATTAACAAAACTCTTCATTGACGATGATAACATCATATTGTATATGGATATCGTGAAATCTTACCGAACCAAGAGAGAAATTTCCAATTTTTCCCGCAGAAACTTTGATGGAATCGCGTCGCCCTGAAACAAGCTGTCTTTCAAAAGCTAGAATCTTGGGTTCTAAAGATAGCTCACTGCAACAAAGTGGAAATTTCAACATTTTGTAACTCAAAACTGTTAGAACTAGGAAGTAAGATACCTATGTACATCTATATGTATATCTATGCATACATGTGATAGTGAATATGAATGGTGGGAGAAAGCTAAAGAATTTGCTTGGTTGTGGTTTGTGGATATTGAAACGGATCATGTGGAGGGAATATGTTGACGAGGATTATTGACTTAAAATACATAAGTGAAAGAAGCCACAAGACCCTAGAAATAGCAATTGAAACAATATCAGTCACAATTTAATACTTTATTTTAAAACAGTAAAAAAGGATAAATTATATTTAACAATTAAACGCTTAATAATCATGTATCTAAACAGTATAGATTCAAATAAATTTCACTTTATGCATACAAAATATAAATCTGAATTCTGAATATGTTAATTTTTCTTTGTACTATGTATCAAATTTTATAAGTTATAAATATATATACGTATAATATTTATTTTTTTATAATTTTGTCCAATTTTATTTTAACAGTAATATATTATTTAAAAAAAAAAAGAAAGGGACAAAGGATCACGCACGATCCTAAACTAGAAAAGTACGAAAACACCCCTTATCTTCCGAACATTTTCCGATGGCAAAATGATCGCCTGAAACCATCTCCGGCTTCAGAGTATCTGATCGTTTCTCGAGATAGATTGATCCATAATGGCGAAATCGGAAAACTCAACGACTTCTACTTTCTCTTCTTTCGCCAAGATTCAACCGTCCAACGATGCAGAGTCCGATCCCGATTCGTACGCCCTCGAGAAATTCAAACTCTACGAAACCAGAGCGGTAAGCTTAAACCGATTCATAAATTGTTGATTCTGAAGACTAATGAGGAAGATTGCATCAAAAATCTATCGTTCCTCGTTTGAATTTACCATCGCTTAGGCACTCTCTAATGCGAAAAATGTGTGTTGGAATGATTGGAATCATGAAGGAAACCCTAGATTGAATTGCATGAAGGTTGAATTGCTTGTGATGTTTTTTTTTTGTGCAGAGGTTTTATCTAGTGGGGAGTGATAGGAATAAAAGATTCTTCAGAGTGTTGAAGATTGATCGTTCAGAGCCATCTGAGCTTAATATTAGTGAAGATCCGGTTGTATATTCGCCTCAAGAGATCAAGAGTCTGCTTCAGCGTATCGCTGAAGGCAATCGTGCCACGGGAGGATTGGCTTTTGTAGCCAAAGTCTATGGAATTGCTGGTTAGTCTTGGGGAAGCAATGCTTGTCTTGTTTGTATATTTTTATTTTGTGTAGTGAGTGAGCTGAGTTGTGTGAAACTTTTTTCTTGTAGGTTGTGCTAAGTTTATGGAGTCATACTATTTAGTTTTGGTGACAAAACGGCGGCAGATTGGATGTATATGCGGCCATGCGATTTATGCTATTGATGAAAGTCAAATGATCAGTGTTCCACATGCAACTATTCAATCTGATGTTGCGAATTCCAAAACTGAACTAAGGTCTGTTTCTGAGAATTTTGATTTCCCTTTTGAAGTTCAACTGTTAACTACAGCGTGCACCACTTTTATATTCTTATTGCACCTTATATGATTTTACAAAGTTCTTTGTGTCTTTCCTTTATTTGCAGGTACAAGAAGCTTCTGTCAAGTGTAGATTTGACAAAAGATTTCTTCTACAGTTACACTTATCCTATAATGCAAAGCTTGCAAAAGAATGTTCTATCATCTGGTGAGGAAGGGATGCCTTATGATAACATATTCGTATGGAATTCGTATCTGACGCAGCCTATTCGATCAAGATGCAACAACACCATTTGGACACTGGCATTAGTTCATGGGCATTTTAAGCAGGTATTGTCTTAGGGATTCACTCCTAGGTTTGGCACCAGGAGTTAACATGGTTCTAACTAATTTTCCTCATCATTCAGATAAGACTATCAATATATGGAAGAGACTTCAGTGTTACTCTAGTCTCTAGGCGTTCTCGACATTTTGCAGGCACACGGTAAGAATTCATTCTTATCAGGCCTCTAATGGATGACAAATTCATGGTGACTGTTTCAATTTTCTAATTCCCTTTCTTAGTTATACCTTTAATCTTTAGGAACTTTGGTTAGGGTGAATATATTGTGTGATGTGAACTTTTCTAGACTAGTTTGGATGCTTGTCTCTTTTGTTTACTGTAAAATATATATAGCCCTTTTCATTTTGTTAAAATTTCATTGCAGTTACTTGAAAAGGGGAGTGAATGATCGTGGAAGGGTTGCAAATGATGTTGAAACAGAACAACTTGTTCTTGATGATGAAGCTGGATCATGCAAAGGAAAAATGAGCTCAGTGGTGCAGATGCGAGGGTCAATTCCACTCTTTTGGTCGCAAGAGGCCTCCAGATTTAGTCCTAAGCCTGATATTTTCTGTGAGAAACTAACCTAACATGCGTTTGTTATCTATATTAGACCATTTAATGTGTATGTGGTTATTGATCTACTTGCTTCTTATGGATGACTCCTGATTTTTTAATTTCGTTGTTTTGGCCTCAGTACAGAGGTATGATCCTACATATGAGTCAACCAAAATGCATTTTGAAGACCTGGTGAATCGATATGGGAACCCGATCATTGTGCTCAACTTAATTAAGGTTACTTTTTTAATTATTATTATTGTCCTTGTTTAGCAAGAGATGGTTATGTCATTTTTACTTATTGATAAATATCCATGGTAATATTCAGACAGTTGAGAAAAGGCCTAGGGAAATGGTGCTAAGACGTGAGTTTGCGAATGCAGTGGGTTATCTAAATTCAATTTTTCGTGAAGAAAATCATCTCAAATTCATCCACTGGGATTTCCATAAATTTGCAAAGAGGTAAAATGTTGTGGAGTTGTTTTCCCACCTTATAGCCTGAACTCACATTGCTTTCTATTGTTCATGTTATAGCAAGTCGGCGAATGTATTGGCTGTTTTGGGTGCTGTAGCAAGCGAAGCCCTTGATTTGACTGGATTATACTTCAGCGGCAAGCCTAAAATTGTTAAGAAGAAGGCTAACCAACTTAGTCATGCTAGCACTGGAAGGTAATATTTTTGATGATATGATCTGCTACTTATATTTAGCAGAAATTTGGTTTGTTTTGTAAACTGCTATATATTATTTTACAAACTGGAGCTATTAGTTACCTTTCTCGCTGTAATAGAGATAGTTACTGCAGGGAACCTTCTCTACGTGATCTCAGAGCTTACTCTGCGGAACTTTCAAGGGGTGAGAGTTCAAATGATATACTTAGTGCTCTTGCTAATCGAGAGAAGGAGATGAAGCTAAGCCAACAAAAAAAAGACGAGGGAACTGATTCTTCAGCTCCTCGTTACCAAAGTGGTGTTCTGCGTACTAACTGCATCGATTGCTTGGATCGAACAAATGTAGCACAGTATGCATATGGTTTGGCTGCTTTAGGCCGGCAGCTGCATGCAATGGGTTTGAGCGATACACCTAAGATCGACCCTGACAGTAGCATAGCTGCTGCACTTATGGATATGTACCAGAGCATGGGAGATGCCCTTGCACAACAATATGGCGGCTCAGCTGCTCATAACACTGTAATAATACTACTTGACCACTTCTTGACAAAACAACATTTGCCATGCTTATTCAGTAACATTGTTGAATGCATTATAGGTTTTCCCAGAAAGGCAGGGGAAATGGAAGGCCACAACACAGTCTAGAGAGTTTCTCAAGTCTATCAAACGATACTACAGCAATACCTACACCGATGGCGAAAAGCAAGACGCCATAAACTTGTAATAAACTTCCCTTTCTTGCCCAAGTCACTTCAGTTTCTTGCTAAGTCTTTACTACTTGTAGTTTGCCAGTGATGTAGCAATAGTATGAAGGCTTTTAGAATAAGTCTCTGAGTTCTTGCTTCATTTATGATAAGAGGCAACAGAACCCTGGCATTACTAATAATAGTAACTGCCAAGATATTGACTTGTCTGAGGAATAGTTGGCTAAGAACTCTTTTTTTTCTTTTTTTCGTTTCTATTGAATCTCAAGTCCTAGTAACTAATGACCTTTATCCTGAGCAGATTCTTGGGCTACTTTCAACCTCAGGAAGGGAAACCTGCGCTCTGGGAGCTGGATTCTGATTATTATCTCCATGTTTCAGGGATTGGAGATGATATTTTCCCAGATATCGGGTAAGATTTACATTTAATGAACCTAGTGCGTGTCAGATTATGGGTCTTCATTAGATGCAAATAAAAGTTTGAACCGTGCCTGAAACTGGACGTCAAGTTTAATGACTTATGAACCAGTACGGGCAATACCAAAGATGTTAAATTTAATTTCCCAAGAAAGATCATAACCTCTGGTCTGTATGATATCTAACTTTGGGTGTATGCAGGGTCCAGTCCATTGCTAAACCTATGAGTGGTATTGGAGTCAATCTTGCACCAGTGCCAGCTTTCAGAGACGACTTCTCGCGGAAGAAGCTGACATCGTTTGACAAACTGATAGAGCAGACATGCAGTTCAATAAAGAACGTGAGGCTTTGTAGTGAGACAGACCAAAGGCCAGGTGGCAACACTGGAAGCACTGGTGTGGCTCCTGATGCAGCGTAATGATCCTCATTTGAAATGACTTTTATGACTTTATCCCTTTAAGAAACTAGAAAGATAGTTTCTAGTACAGAAAAGAACATAGCTTTCAGCTCAAACCAAACCACGACTTTTTCGAATCTTAGCTTATTTTTCTTGACTTTCTATCTGCAGTGAGATTCAGCTCAAGAGCCCCAATTGGCTGTTTGGTTCAAGAAAGCCCGAAGAGAGTAGTTCTGCCACAAAATCTGGTGCAGACGATAGTGAGAAAGGAGTAACCTCGACTGAGAGAGTCAACGATTTCTGCAACTTGGACTGGCTTTCTAAGTCCGACCGTCATCAAGAAGATATCTTCCAAAGGTACTGATTTCTTTTTTCTTCTCTCTGAAATGTAAACATCCTTCAGAATGCAATTTTGAAATTCTGGTTATTATTAGCAAACTCATAACTGAATGAGACCCTCAACTATTGACCAAATTTGTTGGTATTTACAACAACCAGATTTTGTCGCCACTCGCCAGTGCATCAAATCACTTGTTGCAGTTGTTTCATTTTATAGGTATCTATCGATTACATCAACCAATGAAGCCAATGGTTGGTATGGTGGTACCCTCCTCGGTGACCAAGATGAAAACAGCGAAATTTACAGACATTACGCTCAATTCTGTCAGGTTCAGATTATTTTTATCTTGCTAGAATGCATTCCATAACATTGATAGATTGCAGAAACTCAGATCACTATTCTGTTTCTTTTATGATCTGATTTAAACAGTGTCCAGCGATGGAACCATTTGAGAATGATCATGAGTTAGAACAGAACTTTGCGGAAGTTCTCCGCATGAACACAGTCGATGTAATGGACATTGAAGAAGAAGAAACAGAGATGGAAAGCGCATTCAGTGAATACACTCAGATCGGTAGCGATCTCGGGATCATTCCAATGCAATGCAAACACTTTGCTGTTGATCCTTGTTGGCTAGCCAGATGGCTTGTCGGAGATGATAAGGTCCCAAAGGTCATTTAATCACGAAACCAATGACTCGTCTCACCTCGAAGACACTTCTTTTTTGGTTGCATGTCTGTGAATGTGTTTGACTGTGCATTTTGTGTAGATATATATAAGAAGGGACGAACCCAAAACAACAATATTTTGTACCCCAAAAAATATTTGTTGGTTTATGATTAAGCTCACGTATAATACAGAATATACGAATGATTTAACCCCAGAGGCAAAAACTAGTTTCCTTCGCTCCCCTCTACAAAGTTCTCCACTTGCGTTCTTTGATACACACTACAACAATATATAATCATTTTTCTTTTGGTTTTTGTCTTTTACACTTACAGTAGCATATCTGACTTGGCTGGTAATCTCTTGAAGAAATTGGCAGGTACTGAAGGCATTCTACTCCTGAATCGCGGATGACGCAGCATGAACAGCCCGATTATGATTGCAATCACCTGGAATGGTGTGACATAGATAAACACGGCCCAGATCAATGCGAAGACGATGAATAAAGCAGTTGCTCTCGGGTCTCTCCAGCTAAGAAGAGCTTGAATTCTCTCCCCTTGAGTCGCCAGATCGCCTACGACTGTCTGAACTCTACCACCGACGCTCCTAAGCCTGTCATACCTCATTCTGACAATGTCTGCCGGTCTGCTGGTGGGAAAAGTGTCGAACTCTTCGTCTAGCTCGTCTGGGTGTGCATTGTCTGCTTGGGACACACGAGCGTCCATGTGAGGTGGGTGTCTTGGTCTGTATCGGTAATTCCACATGCCTATCACAAAGAGGTAGAGGAAGACTGTGGGTAAAATCAGTTCTGGGTAGCAGACAAGAATCAAGAACAGAACGTGAACCAGACACGTTGTGATCGGGTTTCTCCATGTGCAGATATCGTTGAACCACTTGCAGACCAGAGTGACCGAGGAGAGAAGCGACATGATTCTGCTGAAATTGGCTTTGCTTCTCCTGAGACTGAACATATGGTAGTCTACATCAAGCATGTACTCCACAACCTCTCGTCTTAGAGGTGGTTCGGACCTTGATAGTCTTGTTGCAACTATTTGCATTGCCTGATGCCTAAGCAAGTCGATATGCCGTACTGGTATTGGTTGAATATAATGCATTTTGGGTAACAACGGTCTTCCATATTGTGCCATCATGTTAACAAACCCGGTGCAGGTGTACCTCAGAGCTAGCTGAAGCTCACCATTCTTCTTTAGACCACCCGGTGTAAGAACCAGTAGCGGGTAGTAATGAGTGTAAACCCGGTCTGTCTCCAGCGTAGATAGCCTGACTCTAACTTTCCCAATCCTCTGGTCCCTAGAGTCACCACCATCGTTGACATGACTATTGTCAAAGACTCCAATTGTTATAACTGTGCAAGGATCATGAACTTCCCAAGTATATTGCTCGTTCCACTTAGGCGCAAGCGCGTCTAAAAGAGTCCTCGTTCTCACCCATTTGTTACCATATTTCGCCACACAATAGGGATCAGTCATTCTCCCATCTTTACCTTTCATAGGCATCAAGTTCCTAGCACTGAGAATCCCAAGCTCAAGAATCCCAATACTCGGCTTCCTCAAATGCTTTGAAGACGGTTGAAGATCGCTGCTGAAATGTGTGGACTCATCAAGAACATGATACCCTGCTTCTATACAAACCCGAAGCAGAATCTTACTAGAGAACTTCTCTTTTCTTTTCTCATTCTCTTCCTCCATAGACATTGAATGTCTTTGTAGATTAAACCACCGTGGATCAGGCATTTTCCCAACCTCTTGCCTGACCGGAACATCCCTCACCGGTATAAACACCCTGCCCAATATCTCATCTTTCCCTGGACCAATCCTGTCATCAACCGAAACAATCACCATATCCTCAAACGGCTCAGACACAACAAACATAAGCTCCTCGTGCCACTGCGGATTCATCGTCCGCATCTGAGGCGTCCTCGTCGCTCTCATCTGATTCCCCGCTTGAATCTTCACAACCGCATCAGGTACTCTACCTTTATCAGACGGAACAAGATCCTGAGCTTCCATTACGTGAATTCTCAAGTAATACAGCTTCGGAGAGAAGTAAACTTTAGACCGCGTGTTCGACAAATTCGAGTGGCTCACACGGTGCGCATCCGAGTGCCAAGCGTCTGGAAACGACTCATCAGCTTGAGTTCCCATCCACACAGCAAGCATAATCTCTCCATTGTTCGTCTTCATACCTTTCTTATCCTCTAGCCTGTACCACTGTGGAGCCAGAGGACTATCAGGAGGAACTCTAAGAGGAACTTCAGTGAGATCAATATGAACTCTTCCAACGAAATCGTCTTTAGTCAAAAGATCTTTATCTTTCACAGTAACTTCAAGAAGATTCGATTGCAATCTCTCTTTAGAGAAGGCAAAGATCTGTTTCCAGATCGGATTCGAATTCTTCTCCAAATGTTTCGTTAAACCTTTGTAGTTCCCTAGCTTCACTTCAACATAAGGATCTAAGCTACCGGAAACATCCATCACCGGAAGATCTCGAGCTTTCACGACGCTAACGTAGAGGTAATGCATCTGCTCAACGAGATCGTATGTGCTCGAGGTTTTATCTCCGCTGTTTCGATAATAGTAGGATTGTCTCATACGAGCTGCTAAAGGAGGACTGGTTTCAATTAGCTGAAACTCTGGATTCTGTCTCGGTGGTTGCATCTGCATTACTGCTCCAGTCGGTGGTCCTGGAGCTCTCATGGAATCTGACCTAAACTCCGGTTGATTAGGAGGTGGAGGATAAGCTTGTTTCGCTTGTGACATCGGTGGAGCTCCTCCTCCTCCGGCGTGAGCACCGATTGAGTGAAAAGTTCTCGATTCTTTCTCTTTCTTCTTCGTCGGCTTCATCGTCTCCATGTTATTATCAATCTCATCTTCAAACTGCTGGAAGTGATTCTGATTCTGATTCTGAAATTGAAACTCCTGAGATTCGAATCTCTTCTCCTCTTTAGTCACTTTCTCAGCAAAATCCGGCGGCGGAGAGACGAAATCGCCGCCGTCAATCGGAGCAGCGTAGATTCTCAAAGCGATATCACCTTTAATGTTAGAAAACAAACCTCGTTTATCAAGAGGATACCTCTGAACATCGGATTCAGATTCCGATAACGGAACAACCGCGCCGGAGATTTTAACACGGCCAAGAAACTTCCCAGGTTGATTATCACGGCGGTCATCATAAACAGTGACGTCGATAGTCTTATTATTCAAACGCTTGAAGTCACCGACGTTGAAAACTAACTTCTCGTTCCACTGAGGGTTTAGATCTTTAAACCGCGTTTGCGTTCTCTGACGCTGTTGGTCGAATTCAACTTCAACAAACGGACTCGCTGAGCCTTGTCCGTCTTTAGGCATCAAATCGCTAGCGTCAACGATTTCAACAACTAGTTTACTCATATTTGTTTGAAGCGGTGTGGTGAGAGAGAAAAGTTTCGGTGAAGAAGATTTAATTGCAAGTAAGTAAGAGATTGTGAAGTAAAGAGAAGAAGAAGAATTATGAAGAGAGAAGAGAAAGAAGAAAGAAATTGAAGAAGAAGAAGAACATCTTTTTGTTTCGAGGAGTGTTAAGAGGAGTAAAACTCGGGGAACAGAGAGGTCAAGAAGAAGACGTCATTTTAGTCAAAAAAATTTTTCGATTTCTCCCAAATTTTATCTTTTTTTTTAACAATATTGTAAGAAATGGACAGAAATGAAATTATCAAGTTGAATTATTTTGTTGTTTTTTTCTACTCACGAATTTCTTTGTTGAATATTCTTGATTATTGCTTTTTAACTTATGAATCATTTGGTTTACTTTTTCGAATATTGTCTTCGTCGGTGATTCACCAAATATTCGTACGTATAGTTGATGGAAACTAAATTACATTTTTGATGATGATTTAGTTATTTTATATATATAAAAAATAAAAAGTAAATAATGAAAAAAAAAAAAGAGAATTGGGTGAGTGAGGAGTAGGGTCAGGAGAGACGTACCATCGTTGTCTTTGGAGGACGAACGTGGTGGTGGCCATTTGTCTGCTTTGTTTGCTAATGCTAACATAATTAGAAAGTGGACTAATTTCGTCGTTTTAACTTGGTTTAATTATTAAAATTAGTTTATAACAGCGACAACGTAATGAAAATAAATAAATAAATAATCGGTTACCACTTAACATCATGTGGATTTAAAATATAGGCAATCATGTCAAATATGAAAATTACAAAACATAAATCATCTCGGGTCATACGATTTTTCTATGGCTGTGTGTCACTAAGAAAAAAAGTTAAGATACATTTAATGGTAAGTATAGTTGAAACTTGAAAGATACTACTATTTAATTTGAAAAGAGGTTAATGCTTGTGATTATTGGTTTTGGATGGACTTTTTGTTTTGAAGTTAGAAATCGCATTATTATATTATACTGTTTTAATCGATGTTTAATAGTACATCATTCAATTCAAGTTTGTACATTAACAAAATATCTATCCGAATTATGAGTCACTCGACCAATGTACTGTTTGGTTTCATAAATTAACTGAACAACGTAAATTAAGACTGTGTTGTTTGTTTGGTGAATGAGATCACAAATCTATATTGAACCATTGATGTCTGACCACATGGGATAATTTGCAAATTTTTAGTACTGTTATCATTTAAATGGGATGTCTTGTTTTTCTCTCTCTCATTCTACATAGTTCAAAATTATTGGTTTGATAAGTTTGCTACTTTAATTTGCTTCATTGTGTTAGTAGAGTTAAGAATATTAATCCATGTTCGGATTGATTAAATGTGAGGTTAAAAGAAGGTGAAGTGGGTTTAGGTTAGATTAGAGACAAGAGGAATGTGTAAAGAAGTCAAAAATTACTCATTTTATTCATTCAAAAGATTTACTCATTCCATTCACGAAAATGAAAACGTTGGAATTATATTTAGGAATTATTGTATATTTAGGCACTTTCCTCAACTTATTTGTGTCTTTAGACACTTTGAAAGTATGAGGCACTTTCCTTTGGCAATTTGACCTATTTGCCCTCTAACTAAATCACTCTATTGTTAGCAATTATTTCTTCGTCATCTCTCTCCCTCTCTCTTATTAACTTTAACCCTCTAAAACACTTTAAGTCTCTCTTCTTCATTTCTCTACCTCTCTCTTTCCAGAATCAAGAATCATATCTCTAAGTGTAATTTCATTTTCTCTCTATGTCTTCCATTTTGATCTGGATAAGATATTAATTGCAACTACTTTGAGAAATAAGAAAGGGAAAGGGGAAGAGATAGAATCGACATTCTCCTGAGGATAAACATGTGTTCATGAGGAAAGAGGGAGTAGCGAACGAGAACGAGTTTGGCTTGGGCTTGGTGGTGTCATCCTCATCGAAAGGATTCTTTTAGCCGCTTTATGTACAAATCTGGAGAATTTGCTTGTAACCTTGTTTAGTAGCATTTAGCCTACGCGATTTAACCCGACCTGGATCCGAATCCGACGCCAGCTCTCAGCCCACTTCGGTGCTTCAATTCGCAATTGCCGTCAACAATCACGTGGCTTTCCTTCTTAAGACCCGGAGATCGATTCTCCTTAGCCGAACTCAGGTTTCAATTTTTGCGATTTCTCTCTGTTTTGGTTAGTCTCATTTGTGATTGATTTAATTTTCATGGTGAATTCGTGAGCGATTGTATGAATTTAAAGACTAAAAATGTGTTTTTAAGGGTGTGGTTAAGAGGTTTTTCATCGTAGCATTTGTCTTCGTTGATTTCATCTAAATGTCATCTATATATAAATGTGATTCTCTAATTTAATTTGTCTCTCTTTGCAGGTTTTGATGATGATGGTCATGCTTATGTGATTTTATCATTTAAGTAGTTGTATGTGTTTTATGGTCTTTGTGGCTACGGAGAAACTCCTTTGTGGCATGCCATCTCTGATTCTGCTTTTACCTTCCATTGATAGATTTACACAGCTTCAATCATTTCAATCTCGCAACATGATTATCTATGATTAGAATTGCTTTGTGAGTATATTAAAACTCTTCCGTCTACATTGTTATATTCAGATTTTTTCGATTATCGATAGTGTAAACAAGATTTTTTTTTTTGTTTTAATGTGTAAACAAGATTCTTTGTCTTTCATGCTTGTATCAGAACAAAACCTCAAGATGTTTAACCATACATATCCCTCATACTTGACTAAATGTTATATAATGATTGGAGTGTCTATATACAAGTGAACAAATGGTCAACGAAAAATAGACACTTTTCGTGAAATTGGTGGTTTTCATTTATGTATAAACTTATGTGTTAGTATGAAAGGACGACCATGTGAGTCACAATGACCATATGGATTGCACAGCTTGGACAAACATCAATAAACAACATATATGGTATGGGTTTAGTAGGTAGGTAGTAGGGTTAGTGTTATATATTTAAACGAAGTTAAATATTTGTTTGGGTAAATTCAGTATTTTTGCTTCTTAATTATGTGCAAACAAACTTATGTATTGAAGATTATCGTTCATGTATAAATTTGTGTATTTGTATGAAACTACCATGTGAATTACTAGATGACCAGTTGGACTTGATTTGTTTGACACTAATTAATGGACAACTATGTATTTGATTTGATGCGAATGAGTTTTATCACTTGGTAAAATTATCAATTTTTTTATGGTTACGATATATGCACTTTGGAAAGTTAGATATCGATTTGGTTGCTTGGGTTAACAAAGTATGGTCTAGAGTATACTTATCTATATTGAAACATGAATTAAGATAAAGTTGGGAAATAGGGTATAGGATTAAGATTTTGTTGCTTGGGTTTACTAGGTATTATCTAGGGTATAGTTATCTACATTGAAAAAAGAATTAAAACAAAGTACAATTTTATTAGTTAACTAGTAGTTATGGTTATTGCTTGGGTTTACTAGGTATTATCTAGGGTATAGTTATCTACATTGAAAAAAGAATTAAAACAAAGTACAGTTTTATTAGTTAACTAGTAGTTATGGTTATTGCTTGGGTTTACTAAGTATTATCTAGGGTATAGTTATCTACATTGAAAAAAGAATTAAAACAAAGTACAGTTTTATTAGTTAAGTAGTAGTTATGGTTATTGATTGGGTTTACTAAGTATTATCTAGGGTATAGTTATCTACATTGAAAAAAGAATTAAAACAAAGTACAGTTTTATTAGTTAAGTAGTATCCATGTACAAGTGAACCAATGGTCAAAAGACAAATGGACACCCTAAACATCTAGAGTTTAGTGTTATATATTTAAAAGGAGTTAAATATCGGTTTGGGTTTATATTGTTAACGAAGTTAGATATCCGTTTGGTTTACTAGGTAGGGATAGGGTTTAGTGTTATATATTTAAAAGAAGTTAAATATCGGTTTGGGTTTAGTAGGTAGGGAGTAGGGTTTAGTGTTATATATTTAAAAGGAGTTAAATATCGGTTTGGGTTTATATTGTTAACAAAGTATATCATCCATTTTTCTTTGACCAATATTCACTTGTATACGGACAGTCACTTCATTATATAGCATTTAGTCATTTTTTAAGTATTAAGATCACAAATCTAAATGTCAATTATATGGCTGTTATGTATATGGACACTCTCATCATTATATAGCATTTAGTTGTTTATTTTTAACCATGGAGATTCTGCATTTAGTTGTTTATTTTTTGTTTCTTTATAAATACTAAGATGCTTGCAAACTTTGCTTACTATTCCATACGGTTACATCTGGTACATGTGGATTAGCAAAATATTGTATTGAAGTCAACTTCTAACATATATCTAACATATTGATTCATCAGAGAGTGAGTGCTAGGGAATTAGGCATGAATTAAAGAAAATCAAGTAAGCCCTTTTTTTTTGGTTTGTAAAGAAACCAAAGTTCCATGTTCATGTGGTCATATTCTCGTGGCATCAATATATTGTCTTGAAGGTGGAGATCTCTGCACATTGAAAGAAAAATCAACAAAAAATTTTGGGTGTCCAAAATAACGAGTCCATATATATGTTTCCATTCGGAAACCTTTTTACTGAGCCATATCCATTCTACCGAGAATTTTACAGAGTGATAATTTTACCGAGAATTTTACAAAGTGATAATTTTACCGAGAGATAAAACACATTCACAGCAAATCAAATACACAATTATCCATTATTGAGTGTAGGAGGAGTCGAGTCCACATGGTCATCTAGTAACTAACATGGTCGTTTTATATCAATACACAAATTTATACATGGTCGTCTTCATTTGTGATGAACAAACCAAAATTTTAATAAATTATTCAACCTGGTTACAAAAATTCATAAAAAGACCAATGATAAAAAATTAGACACAAAATAGCCATGTACGAATTCGTATCTATTTTAGCCACAAATTGTAACATAAAAATATTGTAGCTATAGCTTTGTAGCTATTTTAAAATTTATGGCTTTTTGTGGTTATCTTAGACATGGATATTGACAAATATAATCGTGGCTATCTTGTAAATTTGATTTAAAAAAATATACAAATACAGAAATAAAATAAAAACTTCATTTATATATACATATATATTCAAGGCCGGTGGAGTTACTCTCCGGCACCGCCAGTGGAGTTACTCTCTTTCACCGTCATCGTAAAAGTCACCACTCCACCACCGCCTCTTCCTCTAACCACTCCGCCATCAACATCAACTTCTTCTCCGTCTCCCCTTCACTCTTCTCCACCGCCTTCGTTTTCAGCTCGACCTCCACCATCACCATCTTCTCCATCTTCTTGTAGTGATCATCGCCTCTCTTTTTGATGGATTTATCAAAACCACTTGTTGGCTTCTCTTTCTTGTTATCAATTTTGGTGGACTCAATACTGATAAGACCACTTGAAGAGATCTTAGACTTTTGCAAAGCCTCAGCTTCTTTGTCCCCAATAGCAACTTATTAAGACCACCAAAGAGGCTCGTAAAGATAAGAGTACCCACCAACACCTACAAACACAGTCTGTTACCTTTCATGAACCAAAGGAAACTTAAAGGACAACATTTACACACAGTCTTGAAGCAATGTGGCTATTAACTATTAAGTGAAGTTCAACAGAGGAAACACAAAATCTCCTATCTGTTCACAACCTCTGAATAGCTAGCTAATTGAATCCTGATAAGTTCAATTACAATTAGAGATCCCAAATATGTTATCTACTTATCGAGTTGAACATAATTCTGCACACTCTAAACCCACAATTCCAGTCCCAAAATCGAAACCCATAAACCAAAATTCAGAGGAAAGAGATTTATACCTGCCCTAGTGCCAGTACTCGCAGCTTTCTTAAGCCCTTTCTTCTTAACGATGAAACTAGCACCAATGAAGAAACTAGAAGACAACGCTAAAACCAAACCCTTGATGTTATCAGACGACATTCCTTTATAAGAATCTCGCCAGCTTCCACCAGATTCCGCCATTCTAACGCCAAATTCGAAACCTTTTTCAACTTTAACTTCGACCCAGATGAGAAAACCCTAGATTTCCTCGGCTCGACCTCAATCTCACCGCCGGAGACATTGCTTGGAAGGTTTCGTTGCTCATCTTGGCTAAACAAGTTCCACAGAGAGCTTCGAAGTCTGACATCACAAGACCTACGTTGTGGCTCAAACACGCCGGAGAATCCTTCGTTGTTCTTAGACGCCGAGTGTATTGTTAATCGATGATGGTGGTTGGAGAAAGAGAAATCGATTAGCTGGGACTTTTTTCTAACTAATATTTCTAATCAAACGAGAGAGGAGAGAAAGTGTATAACATGTCTTTTGTTAAATTAGGGGCAATAGCGTCATTTTTATCTCCAAAAAGAAGGAGAAGTGCCTCAAGTTTGGAAAGTGTCTAAAATGTAATATCTTTCTCTAGAAGTGCCTTAATATGCAAATCTCCCTTATATTTAAGCGTCTTGAATATTATTTTCTTCCATGAGATAACAAAAAAAAAAAGGAAGATACAGAGACTTTTATATTGATTGGATCTCTCGTTTTCAAGGAAATCGGTGTTATCCATTAATTAAAGTGGACGTTCCGTGGAGACTACGGACAAACGTTGATCGTTGGTTTGTTAGGGAGACTTAAAAAGTAATTAAAGAAATCTTAAAAGACATCGGTTTTTGAGATAATCTAGTCAAATGCAATCTTGTTCTCATCTCCTCATGTTTTGTCGGCAGTTTTCTTTTAGGTCCTCTATATATTTCATGGTTCAACATTTCATTTTATCAAACTGGTTTCAATTTATTTTATACAATATTACGGCCATTCTCTCATAACTCTCATCCACATCTCTACTATCGTTTTTTTCTGTTTTTTTATGCCGCATGTTATCATTTCAACGATGATACTGAGAGAACAACAATATTGTTGTTTCTAACCGGTTTAGCACTACCATCATTCAATTATCAAAAATGGCCGGTTTTCGCAACTTTTTTTTGAGCCAAACTACATTACGGCCGAGTCCAAAGGTTTACTATCTCTAGAGCTATTAGATCAATGATTTAAAGTTAATTTTTGATATTTTTAGTTTTCAAAAAATTTAAAATTTTGAATTGATTTATAAGAATTCAGATGTGTTAATTCTATAAAATATTTGTATTATACCTTAGATTTTGTTTTACAAATTTTGTTTTGATGAAAAATGATTAAATATTTAAAGATTTCCAAAAAAAATCAGTTTTAATAATACTAAGTTTGAATGACGAAGTTTATCAAATAATAGCTAGCAAACTTTTATCTAGAGCATTATTTACAAGCAAAATAAAACCAAAATTTACTTTTGACTAACATCAAAAACGTTTTTCTTTACAATAATAAATTCTTATAGTTTTAATAATATTAAATTACAAATTTCTGCTGTTTTATTAAATAAAAAGGATATTTGTCCGGTAATAAATAAAGATCGCTACCCACTTCTTCATTTTGGAGTTTTGCTTTTAAAGTCAACAATGTTCTCCTTCGGAGCTAAGGTTCAATAATTTAATATCATTTAATTTTCCATTTCACTTAACATATTTTAGTGGACACAACTTTTTTGCCACCAAAGTCCCCTCCTATATATTTCTATGAAGCATCCGCTCGTTAAAGTGTATTTTTGAAGACGTTTCCACGTAATTTGTGGCACGCAGCGATCGTTGATTTTTCAGCTAAGTTTTTGTATCCGAACACTTCTGACATGAATTGATTCAAATTTGGTATCAGTTCACCAATTCTTGCAAACTTTTTAAGTCCAACATAGCTATTTTCACGGTTACGGTCAAGTAGTAAAATAATTTCACGGTTACTACTAGTCTATTAGATAACAAAATTTAACTAAAAGAAGTAATAGCTGAAACTTTAGTAGAGTGGTTTCTCTACTACAGGTCTGCATCCCCCTTGATTGGCACCAACTTCGACCATAAATTTTGTAAATGAGATTAATATATGGGCCAATGAGAGAGATAAGAAAAAAAAAAAAAAACTAAATGGAGTAATAAATAAAATGAATAATAAATGATATTAAATTTTGTTAGGAAAGTTTGGTAGTAACTCACTAAAAAAATTATGTCATGTTCTAGCGTGAAACCAAACACGTGGATTGGTCGGAGATGTCTGAATTCACAGTGTTAGTAGTTAGGGTAACATCCGAGAAAAGTAATTCCAAAGCAAAGAATGTTGTTGAATACTTCCGATTTTAGTAACTGTGTTTCTAATTCCTTCGTCCTTACTTAACTTCTCCATGTCAAGATATCAACCAATTTTTGATCCATTTCTTTGTTTAACTTTTAGATTTTTTTTTTTAAAGAATATTGGAGTATTATCGTGATCCAAGGAGAAGTATCAAGTAGGTAGGGTTCTAAAAGGATTTGCTCTTAGCTGTTCGTAGCCTAATCTCTTCTGATTCCTCTCGTTTAGATTTGTATGGTTCTCGACGCTTTTATGTTTTTATTTTTTAAAACTACTCCTTTTTTAGTTCATTTATCGATTTCAATAAAGAAATTGAAATAAACGATCGTGGGTTTGATCGTCTTTCTTTTTCTTCTTTTTATTCTTACCTTTTTACTTGTCCTTTCGCTTTCATAAAAAAAAAGAGAGAAAATATGGCTCTCTAAATTTTAAAAAGAACTTATGTGTTGCATTTTGGTACATCGTCTGTAATGTAGTTGGTGTAAGTTCTCAATAATCGTCCAATGATGTTAGTAAACAATAATTGTAATAACCGATACAATAATGCCACTAAAGTTGCGGAGCAACCAAAATGTTCATATCAAATAAACATTAATTTGTCGTTCGAAAAAACAGAACTAACAGGCGAATATATATAGGAAATATTCTGAAAAAGAAACGACGAAGATATGTGTGTTAGTATATGTATATGTGTGAGTGTTGTTGTGGGGAATCTGCAAAGGAAGATACAAGGTGGCTGCTTTATTTTTTTCTGCCTTTTGTTTTGTTGTCGAAGTGCCTCAAAGCCACATGTAATCCCACATGCCTCCTACGTCCTTCTTTTTTGTTTTTGGGTACATATCTCATCTTTTTTTTTTCCGAAAATGTTTTGGCCTTTTTAGTTTCTAGTTTAAAATTTTAGATCAAATGCAATAATCCATAGTATATTTGCAATTTTATGACTAAAACGGATGTACTATATTTAGATTTTCTTATTGTTGTTGTTAACAACATGAAGTATACTAGTATGCATATTTGAATTGGGAAAATTACACGACATCAAGACAAAGTATTAGACATAAATTTTGGTTAGATTTTGCTAGTTAAAATCGAAAACGTCATCATATCTTAACTTATGTTTTCTAAGACTTAGGTTTTTTAAAAACTTAAGGAAAACTACTTTTGTTATAACATTTTTTATAAATATCGAAAAACTAGAAATTATTTGACACTGGTTTTAGAACCAAAAGCTAAAATATATCCTTAAAAATTAATCTACATCCGTTTAAACCTATAGAAAAACTTAAATCAGAAAAAGTGATATGTGGTGATTTATATTCTCTTTTAGAAAGGAGATTGAAGCTATCTTGCATGCAATTTCTTTCACTTTCTGTGTCAACTTTTGCCGGCCACTCGGCGAATATTCCTATTTCTACATCTACTCTTCTTTTAAGCCTTTCAGATTCTATCCAAAATCCATTACATTCATTTTTCTACAGTTACTACTATTCAACCTCGAAACCTTTCTATTTCTGGCTTCTTTGATTTGTTACAAGAATATTCCATGATTCGCGAAATAATGCATCTTCAAATCCATATATATTGGGCCTACATGTGGAAAACTAGGCGGCCCATTATCAAGTAGCGCACCGCCTTGTAGCGAAACAGTGCTGATATAGAAGTTTACTTTTCCTCCTCGGACGACACGTATATATCCAGGTGGCGACACGTGTTAATCAGCATGGTAAAACACTAAAAATTTGTTAAAGATTTGATGAGCTTAATTAACAAAACTAGTAAGTTAAGTAACAAACGAGTCAGCGACACGAAGTAACAAGTAAAAATGACAAAACTATTCGCCTTATGTCTTGTCTTGACTGTGTTATTTACGTTGGGTCACTGCGCGGTTTCGGAGGGTGACATCATCGTGAAAGATGGCCACCGCGTTGTTGTGGTGGAGTACGACGGAGACGGCGAAACCAACACTAGAGTCTTGATTTCACCTCCGGTAAAAGAAGAAGAGAAGATAAGAGACGAAGGAGAAGTGTTTGGAAATGGGAAGAGAGAAACGGCGTCGTCTCTTCCAGAAGAGGAGGAGCGTGAACACCACGCGTCGCCAGGGGAACTTATATGCGATGCGATCGGTAAGTGTAAGCACAAGATGGCGACTGTGTTAGGGAGAGTCAAGGATCGAACGGCTAATGATCTTTCCGACGAAACGACTAAAGAGAAGATAGCACGTGAGGCACGTGACGTGGAAGAGAAGGTCTCAGGGACAGCACATGAAGCTAAGGAAACGGTGAAGGAAAGGGTCACAAAGAAAGTTCAAAGGGCCCAAAACGTTTTGGAGAATTCGAAGATCGCGGTGCGGGGGATAGGGACGGCGGTTGCGACGGCTCTGGGGCTGACGAAGATCGGGAGCGTGGTGGGAATTGTTGCGATCGCGGCGGCGTATGGGATGTGCGTGTGGGTGACGTTCGTGTCGGGCTACGTGTTGGCTTCGGTACTTGGGGAGAAGCAATTCGGTGTGGTGCAGAGCAAGATGTATCCGGTGTACTTCAAGGCAGTCACTGTAGGGATTTTGGTTGGGTTGTTAGGACACGTCATCAGCCGGCGCCGGAAGGTTTTTACCGATGCGGTGGATATGTGGCAAGCCGTTAACCTCTTGGCCTCGATCTTGATGGTCGAAGCTAATGCGTCATTTGTTGACCCACGAGCCACCAAGGTTATTTGTCACTCCCAATTCATTTATTTTAAGATTGAAGATATGAAGTCTAGGAAATTAAATCCTAAATTTTGTCTATATGGCTTTGGTTGTTTGTTTGTTTACGTTTAGGTTTAGTGTGTATTACTATTTTCTTCCAACTTTTAATAAGCATGGTAAACGAGTTAATTAGTTTATTTGTTATATTAGAGGTAAAATGCCTACGACCACAATAATTCTTGGGCAATTCCATCAGCGAGTAAGAGTATTTGAAACGCCATAGACATCTTTTGTAAAAAAGATTTTGAAAATTGATGAAATTGTTTTATTTTTCATCTTTTAAAAAAAATGAAAATGTACATTTTTTTTAAAGACAAAGTTTCAAATAGTCTTACTCGCTGATGGAATTGCCCAAGAATTACATAAAGTGTTAAAATCAATTTAATTGATTTAAACAAACTTTATAACCCTCCCCTAAATATTGGATTTGGACAACATTTGTTGTTTCTATGTGAGTGAAACTTTTAGGTTTATGCTGTTATGCATCGTAATATTTATTTTTGGCTGTGAAACAGGCAATGTTTGAGCTGATAAAAGCTGGAAAGGAAGAAGGAAGAGGACTTGATACGTCAGAGCCACAGTCTAGTGAAACAGCAGCTCGAGCCAGAGGTAAGAAGAAGGTTACAGAGAAGATGGATCAGGATGCGGTGAAGCAGAGACTGACAAATCTGAGCGAGAGGATGTATAGGTTAAATGCGTACTCCTCGCGGCTAAATTTACTAACTCTCATGTCTCTTACTTGGCACTTTGTGTATCTCGGCGATCGACTTAGCCTTACTTGTTGACTGTTGAGGATCAAGCCACTGATACATTAGTTGTTTTTTGTTTGTGTGGTTTAATGTTTGTGTTATATATCTCCTCCTCCTTTTTTCAAGGTTGAGTAAATTAAAGAAAATTAAATTTGTATAGAGAGAATTGTTTTTGCTTTTGCAGCATTACATATAATGAGAATGAATAAAGTAAGAGTAGAATCCAGTCTAGAGTGTGAGCATTGAGTCCGAGGCCAGGTTAATAGGTGGGCATGAGTCCTAGTAGCTTTGCTTTCATAGTTTTATTGATGTCGGTGGTAATGGAGGCTAGACTCCGACTCCGAGCTACCTGAGTTGTGTGAAGCCGTGAGGTTTCTTCTTTCATATGAAGTACAGCCGCAAGGACTGTATTTGTAACAGCTAGTGATGACTTTGATTGTCTGATTGACATCGTAAGATGCCGAGAACATAGTATTGTGATGCTTATTTCACACAAATTTCAAGATCTGTCTCCATGTTTTGAATATCCCTTGGGAGAGTGAAAGGAGAGAGTACATTGAAGAAATCTTAATAAGTCTAAAAGAAAGATATCTCCCAAAGATTCTTTAGATTCTTTAGAGTTAGCTTAAGCTAATGTGCATATGGCACTATAAGATTCGTCTAAGTTAAAAATATATATAAACCAAATAGATTTTTTTTTTTTTTTTTTTTTTTTGTCGGCAACCAAATAGATAACATATGCAATTAGTGACGTTAAGTTTAAATATATAAATTTTCAACCTTCTGATTTAAAAATTCATTATTTAACTAAAAAATAGCTTTTATAATCTGTTTATATATAATTGTTATTGTAATAATGTTCAATATTGAATATATTTATTATAAATTCATTTCCTTATAACCATATGGATTAAAGAAGAGGATTTCATGAAATTTAAGTAAAAACTTTTTTAGTTTATTGATGTCTATATATATTGTTTTTTTTGGTAGGCATGTCTATATATATTGTTGGAACAAAAGTTATGTTTAGATAATTTTAATAACAAAGATAAACATGTAGATAGTTTCCTCTTTTTTTTTTTGTTAAAAGTCTTAAAATAATACAAATGTTGCCTTTCTACAAGTTATAAACTATGAATAAATAATTTTAAATAGAAAGGTAACTAATTTATGACAAAAACAATAATGACATAATTGACAAAAATAAATTATTTACATAACAAAATTTGTCATCTTCTGGTCAACAGGACTGTTTCAAATCAAAATAAAATTTAATTAATATAGTATAGACATAAATTTTTAAAAAACAATTACAAATATTTTTTTAAAAAAATGAAAGATAAAATATTATTAAGAAAAATAACGGTAAATAAGAATATTATGTTTTCTTGCATCCGATGTTGAAAACAAACTATATCATTCGGCACCCAATTTAAAGATTAGGCTTTTAGACACATTTATGAATGATTTAATTATAAATATTATTTATCAAACTGGCTACAAGCCTATAATCGATTTTCTATTGATTTCTGAGGTAGATATAACATACGATCGACTGTTGATCAATTATTGAGATAGGTAAGAGAGTTTTTATATTCATCGATTATGTTGAATGAAGACATATGAATAAAAGCAACCTATTATCGATAATTTTACTGGAATATAATATACAAAGGATATCTTTTTACCGAATTTGGTACAACTGATTCTCGATTTGTGAAAGAAGATAAGCAAGATAATGTTTTATTTGGTAAAAAATAAGCCAAAAGATTTTCTATAAAATAGAAGACATTAGGCTGACTGAAAAAAGTAGAAATCAAATTAAAATAGCAAACATATAAGGGAGAAAATCTTCCTAAATATAAAACAAATCTGGTCATAAACTGAAGACATCATATTACACCACACAAAGGCCAAAGAGATTCATATCATACGATCATAATCCTTCTGAAGAGTGCACAAGCAAATCAGAGAACATATTTTTTAACATCATCAATCCAAAGCAAACCATCTTAATCTGAAAACAATTAAAAAGCATGAAATAAAACAAGATAAAATATTATTTGAAAACATCCTACTCTCTCTTGAGGATTGGTGCTCCTGCTTGGACAGCCTTGATTCTCTCTATGATGGCTTTGTGCTTCTTATCAACCACATCGGCCGCTTTGGCCAGTTCCTCCGAACAATCAGTATCGGTGATTAGATCATTAGAAGCAGCCATTAACCCAAGTTTCATTGCACGAGTATGCATCTTCTCCTTCTCCAACCTCTTCTCTGCGTCTTTGATCATCTTGTTCATGAGATCTTTCTGGTCCATCATGTATTTGGTCTGTTTCTCTACCGGAAGCTTGCTTAACCTGTTAAGAAGAGAACGAACCTCGTTAACGTTTGGCCAGAGCTCAGGGCCATCTTTGTATTCGCTGTAAATGATGGCACAGGCTGGTAAACCACATAGAATGGTCAGTTCCTTGATCTTTTTAAACAAACCATCTTTGCGTTTTCTGAATGTAACTCGGCGAGTGGCGTTGTCAGAAATCAATTGGTGTGTAACTTTTCTTCTGCCCATGGTGAAAAAAAAAAAAGAAGAAGAGAAGAGGATTTGTGTGGTTTCAAGGACTAGAGGGGTAAAATGTTATATAGAGAGTTTCTAACTTTGATTTTGGCTAGGTCCACAAAAGACGTTTCAACATTTTTTAGAAAGGTATTTCTTAAATATAAAAAGCAAATTATAGAAATTTATTTTTAAATATAAAAAGTAAATTATATAAAGGCTGTAACAGAGAAATGCATATATAAGTTTTAAGGGAAAATATAGCTATAAAAGCTTTCTAAACAAGAAGATTTATATTAATTTCTTTTCATTTTATTAGGTGTCTTGTGTTGGTTAGTCTATTGCACCTGTAAAAATGGAAGGTAATATTTGCCTATTAATGTCCCTATATATGTTTTACCATATTAAAAAGTTTGAACATTTTTTTTCTTACACTAGACCAATTACAAGAGGATATGATGAGTTGTATATTTGTAATGTACTGCAGACATGAAGTTATTTACATAAATATTTTATTATAATGAGGACAATAAATTAATTTATCATACCTGTCAGTAACAATTATAATTGGTAATCACAAAAGCCTATGCGTGAACAAAGAAAAGTTGTAAAAAAAACTGTGTGAGACTTAAAATATATAAAAGGAAATATGTAAGAAAAGTTATGTAATTATTTATTATTCTTACATAATTATTTATAAAATTATCTGTAATTTTGTTTTTTGTACATTGTAGTACTAAATATTTTCTTCCATTATTAGTCATAAGATATTCTCTCATACATTACTACTTTTTAACTTTTCTAGCTTTTGTTAGGCTTTTGTGATTATTAATTTAAAATTTGACTGACATATGTAATAGGTGTGCATATATGTAAATACACCACAATACCACATCATATCCTCTTCTAACTGGTCTAATGTAAAAAAAAGGGTAAAACTTTCTAGTATGGTAGAGCAAATATGGGAACAGTAATAGGCAAATAATATTTAGTTACATACAGTAATTCTTAACTTTTGTTTTGTTACTCTTTGTAAATTTTGACTAACAGTCTAACCACCTTAGCCAATTTACTCGATTGATATAATATTAGTTATACATACACTGATTCACTTCACAATTCACACATAATAGGTGTGTGTGTGTGTATATATATGTAATTATGTAAAAGCTAGATATGTATAAAACAGGAAGAAACAGATATTTTGCCCTACCTTAAACCCCTAACAACTACTGTCCTCAAAGTTTTATAGTGAACCGTATTCAAAAAAAAAAAAATCAATAACAAATTAACAACTAATCGTGGAAGAGAGAATAAACAGTGAATGGATCAGGGCAAACAATTGAAAATCTGTGGAAATCAATACAATAATAACACTATGAATCTCTCCAGGCCTGACACCTCAGCATTTTGGGCTATTCTCAGCTTGACACCTCATTAAAATCATCATCCAATTAAAACATTTCGATTAATACACATAAGCTCTCCAGCTTGCCACATCAGCTTCCCAGCATACCACATCAACTTTTTTATTATTATTAATAACACATCATTTAAAAATGACAACCAATCAAATTAAAACAAATAATACACACAATGATTTTACAATTTTTAATAATGATAAATGAATTTCTAATTATTTTAATAATTCAATAGTTACAAAAAATTAAAAATTACCCTCTTTATTTTTAAAAAATATGTTTGACATCAAGTGGTTTTTAGAAAACAACATACATGAGGTGATCCTAACAAATAGTTTACACCGTGGGTAATTTTTGTAAATTATTTTTGTTTTAATATACGTATTTATAGTAAGAATTTAAAAGGTTCTTTGGATTTTGCATTTTACCTTTGCTCGTATTTTAATTATTTTAATTTATTATTTTATATATACATACACAAATAAATCATTTTCTATCTTACTTTTACAAAAGAAATGTACCGTATAGTTAATCTTTGTATTTGTTTGTTGTTATTTTATGTTTTTGTATTTTTTTTACTAATGTTAGATATGTTTTTATATTGTGATATATGTAAATATTTTTCAGCAGTTATTATACTTCAAAAACCTTAGATTATTTATGTTAAAATTATTTTTGCTACACAATCATAATTTGAAATCATAGTAAAAATATTTAATATGCCTTTTGTTTTTTTTTTATAATAATTTTGTTACTATTAGCCAACTGAAGTTTGCGATTGTATTTTGACTTATCTTAGATTTATGCTCTTTTTGTTGTTTGTAAATTTGGCGAAAACATCACAAATATTTCATTAATTGGTTATATTAGTGATCTATTTTATAAGATATAATTTAGCATAGCAAAAAGTTGAGATAAACTCTGTACTTGTGGTTTATGTTTTGAATGAAGGTGATCTCACGCTGGATCAAACACTTGATCTACTCTATTATAAGAACATTAATGGTAAATATAAGTTTAGAGAAAGACAAGGAGAAAGATGGGATTCAAAGGTTTCCCTAAAATGTTAAGAACCATATGATCGTCACTCTGTAACTCTTTATCATTGAACATTCTAATTTTAAGTCATGAACCAATGTTTATGAATTATTTAGCCTAATCATTTTAAAACCCATAACGTAACAAAGCATAGTCCATCTTTTTCGATTTCTATATTTTCATGGTTTTCGTAACTTGTGTTTAGTTAACTTTATCTAATAAGTTTCTCAAGGGAAATTGATGTCTCTTGTGGTCGACAGGCTGATTGATTTCAACACTAAAGTCAAAGTAATAAACTTTCTTATTCTTTCATGTTCTTTATGTTATCTTATATCTTGAATTTATGTAGATAACCGTGTTTGTATTTCTTAATGCAAAACAAAGATGAATGGTATGTCGTCAAGTTCTTAGACAAATATACAAAATTTTAATTATATTGTTTACGGTAAACATACATTTTTTAGATGAAGAGTGTGTTTTTTTTAAATCCTTTTTCTATTATTTTTGTTGTAATTTGCTTTGGTTAAAAATTTTAAAAATACCCCGCAGCGTAGCGCGGGTGTCGATCTAGTATATGTAATAGACTAATTAATAGTTAGATTGAACGTACCGTCTCACCAAGGGACTCTTTAAACATCTGCAAGCTATTCTGACCGATTTGGTAGATTTGTTCGTTTTACTGTCGTCAACAATGAAATAATATAAGAACGTTAGATATCTGAAATTTAAGGGTTACTTTCAACAACAAAGCAAAACAAAACAAAAAAAACAATTGAAGAGTTAGACAGTAAGGTTTTTTTTTGCTATTGACAGAGTCTCACGCCAACATATCATGTTGAACTACTAATAACGATACATACAAACATCGTTTTGGTGCCATAGCTATCTTTTATCGCCGGTGACACTCTAAGAAACGGATCTAAGTTTTTATAGAGGAGATATGAATATGTGGTAAATGAAATGAATGGTGGATAATCTTTTATTTATTTAACAATTAGACGATTTTTTCTTTCGTAACGCTCTTTTTTAGTATGCAATCTTGAATTTTGTATTTTCTTTCTGTTTTGTGACGCGTGTTGTAAACCATTAATATGAAATTAATTTACATTTAAGATTTTGTGAAATGAGAAGATATGCATATATGGCGAAATAAAATGAATGATATATAGTTTATTTGTTTGTTTATTTAGTAATTGACGAAAAAATATTTATTGTAACGCTTTTTTCATGATTGACACGTTGATTTTTTTTTTTTTTTTGTGATGTGTGTTGTAATACAATGATATGATTACTAGCTTTATTTAATATTTTTTAAAATTATGAAATTTACTCTATGACACCTAAAATTGATAAAATTTTGTACTCGCAAAAGAAATGTCATGGATTTAGTGATGAGAAAAATTACATATGAAACTCCCCTATATAAACTAGTATAACTTAATTGTTTGTACAGAACTATTGGTATATTTATCTGCATGGTTGTTCTTTGAGATAGTTAGAGATCTTTTTTGGGAAGTAAATAACTTTCCACTAGTGTTCAAAAAAAAAAAAAAAAAAAAAAAAAAAAAAAAAAAAAACTTTCCACTAAAACTTAGACAATCAAATTGTTTGAAACACTAGTATAGTGCCTTCTGAAGAACATTCAATGCTCAAGTCATAAATTTTATGTTTTAATTTGAAAGTGAGGAAACCATATTCAATGCTTGTTTGTATGTTTTCGTGAGCTTAAAGATATTACCTCTCGATCCTTTTAATATTGTTACTGTTAGGTTATGATGAGGCCATTTATCGATTTTCCGCATGTGACAGACGGTTCATATAGCAAGCATTGTATGATAATTGATAAAGGGTTCAGACAAATAGGCCCATATTTCGGCCCCTTTTGATTTCTAAATAAATTGGGCCCATAAAAGTCCTAATGTTTTAGACCCGAAAGAAGTAAAAAAGCAGAAAACGTGAAGTTCTACACGTAACTCGTATAACACGTTCATCAGCAAAATTTTCTTTTCCCTTAAGTGCATGCAAATTATATAAAGATTTTATCTTCATTTTTTTTTTTTTATAAACTCTATCGGCTGATCTGGTCAGCCCCGGTAGGAACGCACTAATGTGTTACAGAGTAGACTACTCTTGTGGTTCAACGGTTCAATGATTCAACGGACACCATAAGCTCCGAACGGATTGGGGTCGAACGAGTCATGAGATTCATGAGATCGAGAATTGAGCCACCACACTGCCTGATCCGATCCGAATTTGAAGATTTTCATTCTTCATTTTCTACGTCAAAACTTAATCCAAAAACAAAAATTGACATCATAAAAAAGGTCTAGAGAAACAAATCTATAATCACAAAATACGGTTCAATCAGCACAGCAGTATGCGGAATTTTTGTTGCTAACATAATTTATGCATGCGAATTTCGATTATTAAAAATCGGCACAACTATTTAAAAAAAGAAATCGTCACAACATGTTCTCAACCAAAAAAAGAAAATTGTCACAACTGATTTTTGGATAGAATTTTTTTTATATATGAAAAGACAAAGTAACAGTCAAAATCCATCTCCTCTGGTTGGCGCAATAACATAGCTGATAAGTTTTTTTTTTTCTCTTTTTCCAAAGCTGATCAGGTTTCAACTTGAAAACAGAATAAGAATCAATCTACATTATTGACTATTCAAAATTGAAATACAGAAGATTAATTCTGCCATGGGAAATATTGTTTTGACTATTTGACTGATCTATCGCAAACACCCTATAAGACAACTTAGCAAAAAATAAAATTTAGGACCACAGGTCCACAGCTAAAGAGAAAAGAAACAACCAATTCGTCTATAATCTATTTTGGTCTGATTGTGGACAATATTATCCTGTGCTGCAATGTGAACAAATACACTCATTACCTTGCAACTTGCAAGTAAAAGGAAGAAATGAAGTGACAGCTAATCAGAAGATAAGAATAATTCGATCATGAATACGGAACACGGCGACAAATGGTCGACAAGTGATCCAGTAACCCCTGATGTTTGACTTTTGATTGAATAAAATGACAAAAAGAATTTGCTGATGATACAGAACAAAACATGACAAATATCTAGCTCGTGTATCACTTGTCCATAGGAAGTATGCGTATTATTGCGTAATAATAAAATGATTTGCGGCGTATACGTAGCATACACATCTCACATTCGAATAAATATACACATAAAAGAAAAGACTAGAAAAAGTTTAGTTAACCAAAAATATCATAATTTCATTTAATCGTGTTCACTAGTTACGCTAGACGACGAGATTTAGCTTCAAACTCTAATTTATCCTTTAAAAAATTTTCACAGAGATTCTCAACCTCTATTGTTGAGAAATGAAGATACCAGAGGAAGAAGTTGCACTTTTAGAAGATTACGTTAGCGATTCCGTCGACCACCGTGGATTGCCCGCCGGGAAATCTTCCACCGGTGGATGGAGATCCGCCTGGTTCATTATAGGTAAAAGCAATGTTCAAAAAAGTGCTAGGGGTTAAGCGCTAAGCGGGCGGTGATCCAGTCTGGAAGTTGAATGAATTTTTTTCTAAATCCTAAAAAAACTTCTAAATCAGAGTCTTGAATAAATTTTTTTAGGTGTGGAAGTTGCAGAGAGGTTTGCTTACTTTGGGATTGCCTGCAATTTGATTACTTACCTAACCGGACCGCTAGGACAATCAACGGCCACCGCGGCAGTGAACGTGAACACGTGGTCAGGGACTGCCTCTATGCTGCCTATTTTAGGAGCTTTCGTAGCTGACGCTTATCTTGGTCGTTACCGTACAATTATCGTAGCTTCCCTCATCTACATATTGGTTAGTACCTTTGTCTTCTTCTAATTAAACCGGTTTGATTTTGGTACGATTTAATTAAACCGGGATTTTATCTGAATTTGGAGGATTATTATTATTACAGGGGCTAGGATTATTGACATTATCAGCTTCTTTAATCATAATGGGATTATCTGAGCAACGTAACAACGCTTCTGCTAAACCATCTATTTGGGTGAATACACTTTTCTTTTGTTCTCTGTATTTGGTGGCGATTGGACAAGGCGGACATAAGCCGTGTGTTCAAGCGTTTGGTGCGGACCAGTTTGATGCTGATGATCCAAAGGAAGTAATAGCGAGAGGGTCGTTTTTCAATTGGTGGTTCTTGAGTTTATCTGCGGGAATAAGCTTATCGATTATTGTGGTCGCGTATGTTCAAGAAAATGTTAATTGGGCGTTTGGGTTTGGGATTCCTTGTTTGTTTATGGTTATGGCTCTTGCTATCTTCTTGCTCGGGAGGAAGATTTATAGATACCCTAAGGGACATCGTGAGGAGGTTAATAGTAGTAATACTTTTGCGAGAATCGGTAGAGTTTTTGTTGTTGCATTCAAGAATCGGAAACTGAGGTTAGAACATTCGGGTTTGGGTTTGGATCAAGGTCTATTGGAGGATGGTCAGTCCGAGAAACATAAAGGTCGGCTGAAGTAAGTTCGAAACTTTTGAATCTTTTGAGTTTTGGTTTAGTATTTTGACTTCATTTTGAGTGTAATTTTATTTACCTTGTGTGACAAGTTTCCTAGCAAAAGCGATGATCTCAAGAGAAGAAGGTGTAGAGCCATGTAGTGGTAGGGACGTGGAAGACGCGAAGGCTTTGGTAAGGCTTATTCCAATATGGATCACATCGGTTGTGAGCACGATTCCGTACGCTCAATATATTACTTTCTTCACGAAGCAAGGTGTCACGGTGAACAGAAGAATCTTACCGGGCGTAGAAATCCCAGCGGCTTCTTTATTGTCATTCATCGGTGTATCGATTCTCATCTCAGTGCCGATCTATGAGCGTGTATTTCTCCCGATAGCCAGAATGATTACCAAAAAGCCTTTTGGGATCACAATGCTCCAGAGAATAGGAGCTGGAATGGTGCTTTCAGTCTTCAATATGATGCTCGCGGCATTGGTAGAAACGAAACGGCTAAATATCGCTAGGGAACACGGGCTCATTGACAAACCGGACGCGACCGTTCCAATGTCCATATGGTGGTTCGTCCCTCAGTATTTGCTACTCGGGATGATCGATGTGTTCTCTCTGGTGGGAACACAAGAATTCTTCTACGACCAAGTCCCAACGGAGCTAAGGAGCATTGGTCTCTCACTTTCTTTGAGTGCGATGGGTCTTTCGAGCTTCTTGAGTGGTTTTCTCATCACTGTGATTGATCGGGCCACTGGAAAGGACGGCTGGTTCAACACTAACCTGAACCGAGCCCATGTCGATTACTTTTATTGGTTGCTCGCCGCTTTCACAGCCATTGCTTTCTTTGCGTTCTTGTTTATCTCCAAGATGTATGTGTATCGTCGGCTAGACCAAGTCTAAATTCAGAAGACAAGTTTCGTTGACTTTCATATCAATTTGTGGTTCTAACTTGTAAGTTAACGTGTATCTAGTTTGATTTGTTTTTATTATACTTTAGTTTTAATAAAAATTATACTTTAGTTTTATTAATAAGATATAGAATCGGCAAGTTAAATATTAGGTAGATGTGCCTACCAAAAAAAACATATCTATCATTGCTTGGATTTGGATTGGATAGCATTTATTCTTGGTTTCATGACACCAATGGGTCCATTGGTTTGAAGATATTTTTCTTGACAACAACATGTTTGTATGTTGACATAAATCACTGTAACCATCATTAAGTGCGTGTTAATTTGTCCAATTCGTAAATTGCAAACAACTCTTATCCTTCTTGAAAGATTTGCTGAATGGGCCGAAAGAAATTGAGGATTTCGAAACTGGAGGACCATAAAAATGAGAAAAAAAATCTGAAACTCAATCATTACTATTTAGTATATACTACTCCACTTGGAGAAAGCTTGGGCCAACTTTGGATAAGGAACAAAAGCATATAGTATATCATGTGTCTACGACATGTACCGATGATATACGTATTTGAAAGCGATGACTAAGTTTATAATAGTGACTCTGTTTAATACCTTGTGCAATTATAAAATCCATATGTGTTACACGAAATGGGCCAAAGTGTCGTCGGGTCATTCAATTTCTTACACAAGGGGAGAAAGGAGTGGTTGAGAAACAAAAGGCCTAGGAGTTGTACGCGTTAGGCATTCCGCTACTACATAAAAATTGTAAGAAAATAAAGACACTTTTTAATCTTCATCTAACCACTTCAAAGAAAGTAAGAACGAAAAAAATTCACATTCAACTTTGTCCTTGGGGCACTGAGACACAAAGGTAATCAATCAGAAAAGATTAATTCTGCGATTGACAAATATCTTTTGTCAATTTCACTGTTCTATCAAACACCTTTTAAAAGAAGTTTAAGCAAAAAAAAAGCCAACAAAGATTTAACCAATCAATCAGGTTTTTTGTCCCGCATCGATATTTGCGGTCTGGACTCTGGACGTAAAAACACTAAACAGTGTAAATTGTTGTCGTGCACGTGGAAACTTGTTTACCTTAAAAGTAGAAAGAACGTGACGACAGCTTAACAATGAGAAGAAATAATTAATTGGATCATGATACACTGAACGGCCTACCTAGATTCATTTTATAATAGAAATTAGAAAGCAACTGGGTTTCAGAAAAAGAAAAAGCAAAAGCTAGATTATATACAAACAATAATATCCAAATAAAATTTTCAATTTTTAGTTACAGTTAAGTTTATTCATAAAAGTTTATATACATGTAATGTGACGTTAGATTTAACTGAATAAACTGTTACAGTGTCTTACAGCGTTATGTTAAATTATAAACCAATTTAATTTATCGATATTTAATTACTTTTTCGACTCATTAGCTGAATTAACACTTGATTTAAAAGGGATTATTACACTAAGAATTAAAAACAAAAATTAATAAAAACCTTTACCTAATTAAAAAATTAAAAAATAGCTTGTGTATGAATCTTGATTTCAATTAAATTTCTTGTCTAATAAACCCTAATAGTTGACTTTTGATTTCTATAAGATAATATAACGAAAACAGTGATATATAGACATGAAACCGCATGTTCATTGGTTAAATTTAGATTACTTAATCATATAGAGGATTATAATATAGCTCGTGAAACACGTCCATTACTATTAAATTATTGTAAGAGCTGTATGATTAATTCATAAAAATACAGCTCTTCATGATCGATCAATCACACTTTAATCTGACAGTCCTGACTATAAAAAAAGATTATATCACTATATATTTATCGTGTTCATTATTCACGCAAGAAATTTAGCTTTCAATTAAATAAATATAAATATATATATATATAGCTTAAAATCAAAAGTTTCCTCCAACAAGAAATGGCGATAGCTGAAGAAGAAGCTGCACTTATAGAAGATTCCGTCAGCGACTCCGTTGACCACCGTGGACTTCCCGCCGGAAAATCTTCCACCGGCGGATGGAGATCCGCCTGGTACATTATAGGTAAATAATAGTAGTTTTTGTGATTTGTACTTTGTGGTTTCGAGCTCATAAACATTATTTTAAGAGTTTTTTTTTTTTTTTGTTTTGGTGTGGTTTTTTAGGTGTGGAAGTTGGAGAAAGATTCGCTTACTTTGGGATTGCTTCCAACTTAATTACTTACCTCACCGGACCTCTCGGACAATCAACGGCCACTGCCGCCGTGAACGTGAACACATGGTCAGGAACTGCCTCCATGCTTCCTGTTTTAGGAGCTTTCATTGCAGATGCTTATCTTGGTCGTTACCGTACCATTGTTGTTGCTTCCCTCATCTACATACTTGTAATAACGTTCTCATCTTTCTTCTATTTCTTTATTAGATTTTAGAATTTTCACTAAAATTTGAGGGGATTGTTATTACAGGGACTAGGACTATTGACCTTATCGTCTATCTTAATCCTAATGAGAATAACTGAGCAACGCAACGATGCTTCTCCTAAACCGTTGTTTTGGGTGAATTTATTATTCTTTTGTTCTCTGTATTTGGTGGCGATCGGACAAGGCGGACACAAGCCGTGTGTTCAGGCGTTTGGTGCGGACCAGTTTGATGTGGAAGATCCAAAGGAGAGAATAAGTAGAGGATCGTTTTTCAATTGGTGGTTCTTGAGTTTATCCGCGGGAATAACTTTGTCTATTATCGTGGTGGTTTATGTTCAAGACAATGTTAATTGGGCGCTTGGGTTTGGGATCCCTTGTTTGTTTATGGTTATGGCTCTTGCTCTCTTTTTGCTTGGGAGAAAAACTTATAGATACCCAAGAGGAGATCACGAGGAGAAGAAGAACGCTTTTGCGAGAATCGGTAGAGTTTTCTTGGTGGCGTTCAAGAATCGGAAACTGAAGTTAACACATTCGGGTCAGTTGGAAGATGGTTCGTCCAAGAAATGTAAAGGACGGCTTGAGTAAGTTTGAAAGTTTTGAATCTTTCGAGTTTTGGTTAAGTGTATGATTTGAGAGTAAAGTTTTCTTTATTTTGACTAAGGTTCCTAGCAAAAGCGTTGCTATCAGGAGAAGGAGGTGCAGAGCCATGTAACAGTAGTGATGTGGAAGACGCGATGGCTTTGGTAAGGCTTATTCCGATATGGATCACATCGGTGGTGAGCACGATTCCTTACGCTCAATATGCTACTTTCTTCACAAAGCAAGGCGTTACGGTAGACAGAAAAATCTTGCCGGGTTTGGAAATCCCTCCGGCTTCTTTTCAGGCGCTAATCGGTTTATCGATTTTCATCTCAGTTCCGACTTATGAGCGTGTTTTCCTTCCGTTAGCTAGATTGATTACCAAAAAGCCTTCAGGGATCACAATGCTACAGAGAATAGGAGCTGGAATGGTGCTCTCTAGCTTAAATATGGTGGTTGCAGCATTGGTAGAAATGAAACGGCTCGAGACGGCTAAGGAACATGGGCTTGTGGATAGACCGGACGCAACCATCCCAATGTCCATATGGTGGTTCGTTCCTCAGTATTTACTACTCGGGATGATCGATGTATTCTCACTAGTAGGTACTCAAGAATTCTTCTACGACCAAGTCCCCACGGAGCTGAGGAGTATTGGTCTCGCACTTTCTTTGAGCGCGATGGGTCTTGCCAGCTTCTTGAGTGGTTTTCTAATCACTGTGATTAATTGGGCTACCGGTAAAAATGGCGGCGATAGCTGGTTCAACACTAACCTGAACCGAGCCCATGTCGATTATTTTTACTGGTTGCTTGCCGCTTTCACCGCCATTGGGTTCTTGGCGTTTTTGTTCTTCTCCAGGCTGTATGTGTATCGCCGGGTAGATCAAATCTAAGAATATAAAATTCAACGTGTATCTACTTTCATGTCATAAAATTGGTGTTATTCGTAACGTGGTTAGAAACTCTCTAACTATATTTTATTCAACAATTTTAGTTTATTAAGCTGAAATCTCTGGAAATTTACTCGGAACACAGCTGGACAAGTTATACGATTATGAAAAGACTTTATACCAAACAAGAAAAAATATACATTGATTGGTCTGATTAAAGTGTATTCAAAAAGTACACAAGAGAGGGAAAGAGAGTACCTGCGACATTTAAACGAGAGGTTTTGGGTTTAACTGGTGTTGAGCCTTTTAGAGACGTAAGACTTTGCAACATACAAGTAGGAGCCTAAGCCCATGAAGCTGAGACAAGCGAGTAACCAGTAAAAGTAATCGAGATGAGCCTGGTTCAGGTTGTTTGCGAACCAACTCACTTGACCAGATTGGCTTGTCGCTTTCTCAATGATTGATATCATGAAACTGCTGAGAAAGTTGCCAATACCAAATATGCTCAAGTACAGAGCCAATCCCACACTCCTCAGCTCATTCGGGACTTGGTCATAGAAGAACTCTTGAAGACCCACCATTGCGAAAACATCTGTGATACCAAAGAGAACATACTGAGGAACTAACCACCACACACTCATTGGAACCGTAGCGTCTGGCGAATCGATGAGTCCGTAATCCGCAGCAGTTTTAAGCCTTTTCATCTCCACTAGAGCGGCTATTACCATAGCAAGGAAAGAGAGGAATATGCCTGTGCCGATTCTCTGAAGCATTGTGATTCCGCCTGGTTTATGTGTAAATGACCTTGCAATTGGGATGAGTACACGGTCGTAGATGGGGATGAAGATAACTATAGAGAGGCTGATGAAGGACTGGAGGGTAGCCGGAGAGATCTTGTAACCAGGTGTGATTGATCTCTCCATCGTGGCTCCTTGTTTGGTGAAGAAAGTTGGAGACTGCGCAAACACAACCGCATAAACCAAGCAAGTTAACCATATCGGAGCTAACCTAAGCACTGATTTTGCTTCTTCAAGTTCATCTATACTACAAGAACCATTCTTTGTGACCAGAGCTTTGTTGAGAAAACTGCAGTTGTAACAAGAACCAAGATGCTTACTATAAGCCTTTATCCGTAAACAACAATGCGATAACAATAAAATCAGAGGAGACAAAAAGTTGTCTTACCTAAATTGCTGTGAGCTATTGCGAGACACAAGACCAAGTCTCTCCTCTGCAGCAGCTACAGCTTCAGCTGATACACTCCAGTTCTTTACAGCCGCTACATAAACATTTCCAATCCTCACAAAAGGACTGCGATCTTCTCTTCGAATGCTGAACCGATAAGTGCAGGTTCCAAGCAAGAAAACCACCAAAGCAACTACCATAGCAATGCAAGGAATACCAAAGCCTAAGGCCCAACTTAGATTATCCTGGATGTAATTCAAGACCCATAGAGTTGTTAACGTCCCAAAGCACATACCAAAATACCACCAATTAAAGAAAGAACTCTTTGCTTTACACTCTTCAGGTTCCTTTTCATCAAACTGATCCGCTCCAAAAGCCTGAACACACGGCTTGTGACCGCCTTGAGCTAGCGCCACTAGATACAGGGCACTAAAGAATGTGATTACTTGAAATCTAGGAGAGCATGACGAGAGTAGATTCGAAACTTTGCAGTCTGAAGGAATCATTGCAGATAACGTCAATAAACAAAGCCCCTGTTGTTCCATCAAATCACTATACAACTTCATACTCATCTCTAGAGTTCATAATAAGCAGACATATTAATTCACCTATGAGAGAGCTTCGTACCAATATATAGAGAGCAGAGGCGGCGAGGATTGTACGGAAACGACCAAGAAACGAGTCAGCGACAAAAGCACCAAGGAGAGGAAGCAACGACGCCGTTCCAGACCAAGCGTTCACGTTAGCCGCCGCAGCCGCCGTCGATTGTCCTAGTGGTCCCGTCAAATACGTTATCAGATTCGACGATATCCCGTAGTAAGCGAATCGCTCAGCCACCTCCACACCTACCGTCGGAAAAATATAATCAAAAACCAACCGTTAAAAATGCCGGCGAAGTCAACTCTGGAGTAAGAAATTGGCGGGAAAATTACCGATGATGAATCCGGCAGATCTCCAGCCACCGGAGGAAGATCTAACGGCGGGTTTGCTTCTGTAGTCGACGGATCCGTCGACGGTTACAGCGAGAAGTGGAGTTCCGGCTTCATCAACAGCGCCGGAGATCGCCATTATGGTTTATCGATTTCTCCGAAATATCTTAAAGAAGTCTTTTGTATCAATTAACCATTTTTTTATTTTTATTTTGACACTAAAAATTTTGTTTGAAAGAAAACAAAACAAAAAGATGGTTGGTGTTACTCGCATCAGTGTGGAACATTTTATCCATTCGCGAGTTTGATGGCTAAAAACATGTCGACGAATACATGTACTTGTCTAAGTCTAACGAGTCTCAAGTCGTTAGCTGAAGTTTCACATGGTTCGGAATTGCATTATCCATTTTATTCTTTTCTCTCAACATTTCTAAAAGATCTAGTTGAGCAAAAGACCTAGAAGTCAATCAAAAGAAAGACGAAAATACTTCCAAAACGTCGATGTTTAAAGCTGATAAATCTCCAATCTACGCAAAGAAAAATAAACTTATGGAAAATCTACCAAATCTCTTCTAATGTTTGACTTTAGAGCGAGTCTTTGTAGATTTAGTTTTTCTATTCTCGCGTTATCTTTCTCTTACAAACGATATTTTTCTTTCCTTTCTCTAATTTAAGAATAACACCTTGCTATTAGGGAGAAACTGTCTTTACTGCTTGCTATCACTAAAAGAAAACAATCTAAATTTTTTACGACCATGATCGGAAAAATACCTACAAATTTCCGACCAATTTTCTTCCAACTTTTAATGAAAGAAACATAAGTCGGAAATTGGTCAAATTGTTTTGAAAATTTCCGACCAAATTAAGTTGTTTGGACATTATTAGGAAACTTCTTCGAAAATTTGGTGGTTTTTTCTGACGGATAAAGACGTCGGAATGGAACGTCATCAAAAATTTGTTGGATTACATGAACTTTTCGACAATTTTTCATTTCGATTTAAAACAAAATTCAGTGTTGTTCCAACGAATTTTCGACGATATTTCCGAATGCCGTTGAAAATATAATTTCTGTTTTTAGTCAAGTTCGTTGAAGTTGAGAGTTCTATAATGGTATTTTCTTTTCGAACCTCATATATTTTCTATGCATTCCTAATTAGTTTGATTTGCTTGTACTCCTTCCATTTTCATATAAACAATTTTAGTCTGTTTATTCTCAAGTTCTTTGTCTTTCTACTATTTCAAGATATTTTCACATATATTTTGTCCTTTAATATGATTTGTAATAATTTTTATTTGCTACTTAACTATTACCTAGTATTTTAAATTTTTGATTAGCATAAGTTCTTATTTCACTGATATAGATTTTATCTACAGGTTCTAATTAGTCTTAATAATATTGTGATTTTAAACCTTTTTATGTGTAAATAATGTATTGACGAAACTAGCAAACATAGACTTTTTATACAAAATTAAAAATCCCACGTAATGGTTGATAATCATTGCTTAAACTGCACCTGGCCATCAATCATTTGTTAAGAAACTATGAAGACATAGTATATTATATAACTAACAATTCTTTATTGGAGAATCAAAAGAAATAAACACAGCTAAATCCAATATTTTGTTAGTGGAAGAAAGATATAATAAGACGGCACCACCAGCAAATGACACACCAACCAAACAGCTCGGCCTTCTTTTGCTTTTGACAAATTCAAAGCTACCTGAAAGAATATATAATTAACAGATAATTCTTGGATATATCCCAAGAGATTATAGTACCTAACTTTTAAATTCATTCACATACATTTTCAAGCAGTGCAAAAATTATACTATCTTTTAGCTTAAAATCTTACTTCCCCTAGTTTAAGAAATTTGATTATACACAATGCAAAGCTAGCTAATTGGTCTGGTTTTTCGCAGTCGCGAAACAAGAAATATTAGGTACATAATAAAATCAAAACAATTAATCAGTTACTGAAATAAAAACAAAAGAGAGTGAAATGCATATACAAAGGAATGAAGAGGAGTTGAATAAATTTGCATAATTTTAGTGGGTGTATTTGGTTGACATGGAACATATAATTTCATATAAAATATTTCGTTTCAATTAATAACATATGAAATGTTTTCTTATTGTAATGGCCCATATAAGGAGTTGTAACGATGAGGTGTGTTGTGTAGGCCTACATGAATCAGGCTGCTTATTTAATTAAACTGTAATCCTAATAGTTCTTGTGACAGCTCCAATCTCATGGAATTTTGCCTGTTAATATCAAATTTAAAGTTAATATTTAATTTATATTATAAAATAACGTTTGATTTTTATTTTTTTTAGATTACAACGCACCAGATATGGGTCCAAAAAATTATATATTATTAATACAAAATCATAAGATACTTTTTTTTTACGTGCGAAGCAGTCTGTTATATGTGTGTCATCCTCTCATTTCATATGGTATTTTACTTTATAAATGCTAAATGAGTGAATCTTCTAATTTTTGTTTTGCAGCGAAATGAAAATTAATCAGTAAGGAAAAGACTCATTTATAATATGTTTATGCAATAATATGCTCTCTCTTTCTCTCTATATACATATATTCTTACATGTCATATTGTCATCTAATTAAGAGGATCTCCTAATTATTCGTTGCTGCCGGCAAAAAAAGGAAAACAATTAGTCGTTGCCATGTAATCATGTGTGATTGGATTGTGTAAAATATAATGATTTCAATTTCATGATCTAATATCTCTGTTATCAAAAAAGATTTAATTCAAGATCATATATAATAATAAGTACAAGATTTCTCCTTACCAAAAAAAAATAAGTACAAGATTTCTAGAAAGTTTAAGTTTAGTGTTGCCCAACTTGAGAAAAACATTCTAGTAACCTTTTACTAATCTGAATAAACGGAAAAAGTTGATTTATTTTTACGTCGGTGAACATGTTTGCTTACATAAGATTAGAACGAGTAAAACTCATACTATCTTATGAGATACGGGACAACGACATTTTGTTTTTATTAAGACTCTCTTAATCATTAAAATGGATAAAAATCTATAACATACATGTCAGTAAATGACAACATAGTCAAGTAAGAAAATTCTAGTGATAATGTATTTATAAATGTTTTTATTGAAAGAAAAAGAAGAAGAAGAAAACTCTCTGCAGGTTGGAACGTTTCAAATTTTGTTTTGTTTAATCTAAACATACACTTAGGTAATATGATAACATGGTGTCATGATTTGAAAAAGAAACAACTTTAGATAATTTATTGAAAGCCTGAGTAACTTTATAAACACAATATATATTCCCTTCTCAAAACATTCCACTTTTTCCCTCAAACAAACAAATATTGATTGTACTTTTTCCTTTGATCTTGAAGTTGTCTTTATGTAATATGAAAACATAACATATGCACCTTATCAAGGTTTTGAACTCATGCGAATTAAGTTTTTGTAAGAGAATAAAAAGGAAAAAAATATCAAAGAATATGCGCAAGAGTTAGAAGAGAATCAAAAATCTGTTGAGTAAATTAGACAAGATATATCCTTTTCCTTATAGAAGAAAATTAGTGTAACGAATTATAAATTTAAAAGGAATGTGATAAACTAAAATGTTGAAAAAGAAGTTGCTAATTTAGTTAATGTTTAAAATTGGGAATCCAAAATTGAGAGAAGCAAAAGACGGCCGTTTGGAGAAAGAGAAATTAGGGACCCTCTACTAAGAAAAGTATCTTCGAAATTAGCTGTCCAACAGCTCCGACCAGTCTGTTCTCTTTTGCTCTTCTCTCACACAAACATAACATCTCCTCCATTTTCTCTTCTCTCTTTTTATAAGACCTCTTCTTCTTCTTCTTCTCTCTCAATTTCATCTCTCTCTTTCTAATTCTTGTTCCCTTTTGCATCGAGTCAATCATGGCTCAAGAAGAGATACAGAAACCTGCTGCTTCAATTACTGCCTCTGTTCCGGTTAAGGATGATACTCCTGCGCCGGTTAAGGAGGTTGAGGTGCCCGTTGCAACGGAGAAAGCTGTGGCAGCGCCTGCTCCGGAGGAGAAAGTTGTGTCTGAGAAGGAGGTGGTTGTTGCGGTGCCGGAAACGGAGGTGACTGCGGTGAAAGAGGAGGAGGTTGTGACGGGGAAGGAGATCTTGCAATCGGAATCGTTTAAGGAGGAAGGCTATTTGGCTTCTGAATTGCCGGAAGCTGAAAAGAATGCGTTGGCTGAGTTAAAGGAGATGGTTAGGGAGGCTTTGAACAAGCGTGAATTCACCGCGCCGCCACCGCCACCAGCTCCGGTCAAGGAAGAGAAAGTTGAGGAGAAGAAAACAGAGGAAACAGAGGAAAAGAAGGAAGAAGTTAAAACAGAGGAAAAATCTGTTGAGGCTGAAACCAAAACAGAGGAGAAATCTGTTGCTCCGGCCACCGTAGAGACCAAGAAAGAAGAGATATTGGCCGCTCCGGCTCCAATCGTCGCAGAGACCAAGAAGGAAGAGAAATCGGTTGCTCCTACTCCGGTAGAGACTACACCGGCTGCTCCTGTCGTTGCAGAGACCAAGAAAGAAGAGATATCAGCCGCTCCTACTCCGGTTGAGACCAAACCAGCTGCTCCGGTCACCACAGAGACCAAGGTGGAAGAGAAAGTCGTTCCCGTAGAGACCACACCGGCTGCTTCGGTCGTCACAGAGACCAAGGAGGAAGAGAAAGCCACTCCGGTCGTCGATGAGACCAAGAAAGAAGAGAAAGCAAGCGCCTCTGCTCCGGTCAAGAGGGCCGTCTCAAAATTTATTAAAGATATATTTGTCTCGGTCACCACCACTACAGAGAAAAAGAAGGAAGAAGAGAAACCAGCAGTTGTAACAATAGAGAAGGCTTTCGCAGCTGATCAAGAAGAAGAAACCAAAACCGTTGAAGCAACCGAAGAATCGATCGTCTCCATCACTCTTCCAGAGACAGCTGCATACGTAGAGCCAGAAGAAGTCTCAATCTGGGGAATACCACTTCTAGAGGACGAAAGATCCGACGTAATCCTCCTCAAGTTCCTCCGGGCACGTGACTTCAAGGTCAAAGAAGCTTTCACGATGCTAAAAAACACCGTCCAATGGCGCAAAGAGAACAACATCGATGACCTAGTCCCAGAAGATCTGGAAGGAAGCGAGTTCGAGAAGTTGGTGTTCACTCACGGTGTCGACAAACAAGGACATGTCGTGATCTACAGCTCGTACGGTGAGTTTCAGAACAAGGAGATTTTCGCAGACAAAGAGAAGCTTAGCAAGTTCCTCAAATGGAGGATTCAATTCCAAGAAAAGTGTGTGAGGTCTCTTGACTTTAGCCCTGAGGCTAAGTCATCGTTCGTGTTCGTTAGTGACTTCAGGAACGCTCCTGGACTTGGTCAGAGAGCATTGTGGCAGTTCATTAAACGCGCCGTTAAGCAATTCGAAGATAACTATCCGGAATTTGTCGCTAAAGAGGTAAAGAAATTAACATTTTGATCATGATTACAATTATAAACATTTAAGTTTGAATCTTTATACGAATTGTGGTGTTATTATTTTTCAGCTGTTCATTAATGTCCCATGGTGGTACATTCCTTACTATAAAACATTCGGAAGCATCATTACATCGCCGAGGACAAGGAGCAAGATGGTCCTTTCTGGTCCATCCAAATCCGCTGAGACCATTTTCAAGTAATTATGGTTCATTGAAATTGTGTACTATATGATATATAATATCATGTTACATTGTTTCTCTTCACACACATGCAGAAGCTTATAGTATATGTATTTGGATGAAACAGATATGTAGCTCCTGAAGTAGTCCCGGTTAAGTATGGTGGTCTGAGCAAAGAGAGCCCATTCACCGTCGAAGATGGAGTCACCGAGGCCGTCATTAAATCCACATCTAAATACACCATTGATTTGCCTGCTACCGAGGTATACATTGTTTTGTTTTGTTTTCGCATTTGCATTATAGTTTAATTTTAAATTTAATGTCGATTTTTTCAAATGACCCATAATATTTAGCATTTTCAACTTAATTTACTTTGCTAATCTTAAACGTAAACGGTAAACCCAAACAAAAAGGGAAGATTCTTTCATTTGCGTTCGGTTTCTGCGTTTACATTTTACAAAAAAAAAATGAAAAATGAAATTTTTTTGTTTTTGAAAAATTGGTATATTTTTTCATGTTAACATAAACGTTAAAACTAGCGTTTGAAACAATAGAAGATATGGAACTTTCTATTTGGATATATTAGTATAATCTTGCTAGAGATTAATGATAATTAATTATGTGCATTGTGTTGCTACTTAGGGTTCCACGCTCTCATGGGAGCTTAGGGTTTTGGGTGCGGACGTAAGCTACGGAGCTCAATTTGAGCCAAGCAATGAGGCAAGCTACACCGTGATCGTATCTAAGAACCGGAAGATCGGTTTGACTGATGAACCTGTGATTACCGATTCTTTCAAGGCAAGTGAACCGGGAAAGATTGTGATCACGATTGATAACCAGACCAATAAGAAGAAGAAGGTGCTCTACAGGTCCAAAACCCAAGCATAAAGATCATGTATCCGATCTTTGAATGAAGAAAAAGAAAGATGGTTGGGAATTTTAATTAATTTAATTTAGTACGTTTATTCATTTGTGTATTTTTGAAACCTCAAAAGGGGATTGTGTTTTATCAATGGTTTTGATTTGTTTTGGTGATGGGATTTTTTTTTGTTGATGATTCTTATAATTACAAATGTTTGTGTGCCAAGATGTGATTACAATTCAATTTTTTTATGCTATTTGTGTAAATTTGAACTTAGATTTAGTCTTTTTCTAGTTCAAGGATCGATTCTTAATCATATAATCACGAAAATTAAGTGTGCATAGTTGTGTCAAGTCTTGTTCTTTCTTGGTTCTTGTAGACAATTAGTTAAAGCGGTTAAAACATTTTAACATGATTTTAAATGATAAGAAAGACAAAAAGATAACCAGTTTAAAACATAACAGTACAACTAGAATCTCATAAATACAATTTCTTTTTTTGACGGACCACTACTAGAGTTTATTGGTCTTGACATTTTCAGAATCGACTCTGCTTCATTCACGACATGAAAAAGGGAAAGGTCTGCAATTCGACCACTTTTGCTCCACCGTTCGGGTCTCCAATTATTTGGATGCGCCTCTCAAATATTGTTATAAATCTCAATAGTGTCCGCACAAGATTTGAGGTTAAAGGAGGCTAGCTTTTTAATTTTATTTTTTCATTTTTTGAGTCACGGACTCACGGTGGACATTTTAGTCTGATAATATAATGTTTCTGCATTAATCAATGTGGGTATCAAAACTAAGATATTATTTGGTTTGAAATGAAAAAAATTCGTTAATTACCAAGGAATCTTCATTACTTCGGATTATGAAATTTGGATATACTCGGAGTCGACTATAAGTCTATAGTTATCAATACCTTTCTTCAGGGATTTAACATTTGTACGTCCGACTCTAATACTATAGGTTATATTAAACATATAATTTGATATAATATTCTTAATGCACGTAAAATGAAATTTATAAGCTTCCGATCTGTCTGTCTTTCGAGAAAGAAGATCTGATCTGACAACTCCGATAGTCTCACTTGGCCACAAAATGCCAAATAATTAAATGAAGCAGTATTGAAAATTTGGGATCTTATGTCGAAAGCTGACCCAACAAACACACAGTATCCAAAGAAAAAGCCTGCCTAAAGTTACAAAAAAAGGACTTGTAATTATCACATGTATACAATTTGGGTGTATAAGAATATTAAGAACTGGAGTGACCATGATAATAAATAATATCTAGTGCATAGGTAGTGGCACATGACACGCATGGACCAATACAACAACAAACGACCATTACCATGACTAGGCATAGGCAAATAAACCGAATCGAATGTACCGAACCGAAACCGAATAAAAAAAATCAAATCGAACCGAACCAAAAATTTGAAAATAACCGAATGGATACTAAATTTTATAACCAAAAGAACCGTAACCGAATCGGTACCGAACCGAAATATTTTGGATAACCAAAAATACCCGAAATACAATTATATTTTCAAAAATATTAGTTATTTATAGACCAAATAATCAAAAATACTTGAAAATATATAAATTAGTAAAAATACTCAAAAATAACCGAAAAATATCCGAAAATACCCAAAAATAACCGAAATATTCGAAAATATCCAAAACAAAATAACTGAATGGATACTAAATTTTAAAACCAAAAAAACCGGAGCCGAAACCGAATCGAAATTTCAAAATACCCGAATGAATACTAAATTTTAGAACCAAAACCGAATAGAACCGAACCGATAACCGATCGGATAACTGAACGTCCAAGACTAACCATGACCATGACCATGACCATGAATGCCACACCCACACATATTCAAAGTCACTTCCAAAAAAAAAGCATAAGATATGTAGGCCCAATACATTTCAACATAGCACATACATTAGCCCATTAATCGGCCCAATTCTTCGCTTGCACAGTAACAAAACCCTCCAGATCGAAAAAAACATCGAGAAGCGAATTTGCGGAAGAACAGAAAAAGGAAAATTCAGAGAATCAAATCGGAAAGGTAGAAGAATCGGAGTCGGAAAAATGGAAACGACGAAGAGTAACAACACCGATTCCGATGTCAACGCCAAATGGGACGCTTGTCTCGATCTCACTGCTCGTCGCTTTGTCTACTCCTCCCTCGGCGGCGCTTTCGCCGGTCTTCTCTTTTTCAGTTCAGTGTTTTCAATATCCCTACTCTGTTTCTTGTGATTCAATTTCATTCACATATTCTGTGGTTACGTAGTGTTGATTACTGATTAGGTTACTAGGCAGAGAACTTGAGAATTCATGATCAAATAGGGTTTTGAGTGTTGTTCTGATTTGAATAGTCTTGATTCTGGTCTATGATTCGTCTAGGATTTGCTAGGTTTGATTTTTTTGATAATCAGTTTGTTGCTTTGTGCCCTAGGGAGTCCGGTTACTAGATGGGCTTCGATTGCTTTTGGTGCTGGAATCGGTATTGGTTCTGCATACACAGATTGTTCTCGTGTTTTTGATGCATCGTCTTCAACTTCAGCTACTTTATTAGCAGCTCCCAAGACTACAGAGACTTCTGTATCTCAGGTTAGTTGGAATCTTCTTTTCTGAGAATCCAAATACTAGTTTTGTTGTATCGTTCTGTTCGTAACATTTGAAGTTAGAAATGATGCTAAAATAAGAGGGTTTCATAGTAGCTTAAAGAGATATATTATTTAAGTGAATGGTTACAGATTTGTGAGAACAAATGCTTCTTTTAGTTTTTAGCTCTAAATAATTCCACATTATGAGCATCACTTGTAAGAGTTCTGTCGCTGTTGATCTTACGAGCTTAAACAAATGCCTGATTGTTTTTGTGTCGCGACTAGACTACGTATTGGAAAGTAATGATTAGGAATTGGGTATCTTACTTCACCCCTATCATAGTTACTAGGCATGGTTAATCTTATTCCAATGTGCATGCATTTGGTTGAAAGTATGCCATTTAAGTAAAAAGCACACAATTGGTGACTAATCCGGTCATGTTTATAGTCTTCGAAATCTTTACAAAGTAGAATCAATTAGCTGAGTGTTTTTTTTTTTAAATCTTGTTGATTGATTACAGGCAGCAGAAGAGTAAAGACAATGATGAAGCTTGAAGGTAAAAACCCAAACAAACATTGATAGGGTTTAACATTACGAAACGGATGTTGATCTTGGAGGACAAGGCTTTTTGAGATATATGCCATTGTTAAAAACCTTTTGCTTCTCAGTGATTTTGTACACTGATGTCAAAAATGTTATTGACCTACTCATTGTTTTCTTTTATGGAAAAATCTTATGTTCTTCTCTTACTTGAGAAATAATTCCTCCGTTTTGATTTGTTTGCCTCTACTGTTCATTTGTTCATAACTCTTCAGTTTTTTGCGGCCTTAATTAAACTATAAATCCACAACCCCCACAACGCGTTAATTAGAAGAATTTGAACGGCTCAGATTGGACCTCTCTAGCTGCGGCTTAGCTTAATCTCTTGCCACGTGTATCCGATAATTATTTATTTTCTTAATACTTAACTGCTACGGAAAAGTTGAGATTATAGTACAGCTTCCGAAGAACAACGACGCTGCGACGAGAGGGAATAGCAGAGGAAGACGAAAGATGAATGCGCCACCGGAGAACGAAGTTTGTTCGATATGCCATGGCCACTTCAACGCTCCTTGCCAATCTAATTGCTCTCACTGGTTCTGCGGTACGATCTCCTTCTTCTTTGCTCTCGTTTCTCCTTCTCTCGAATCGGTCGTAGTTTCAGTAGTTAATCTCAGAAATCGAGTGTAGCTTCTCAATTCAGTTTATCATGAATCTTCGTTAGCTTTATGGGATCAAATCGAGTTGTGACGATCTTAATTTTCGTTTTCCCCTGAAGCTGGTTCGGTTTTCTTGACAATTTTGCTTTGGACTTGTCAATTCACTATTCAGAGTTTGTTTTACTGGTAAACATGAAATTTCAGAGAAGTTGCATTCTCTGTTGGAGATTTTCAACTATGTATGCTCTTTTCAATGACTTTATCATGTTTAGAAATGTGTTTTAGTTATGAGAAAGCTTCATGTCTCATTCTTCTGGCTTTGCTTAGGCTGAACATATTTTGTATGTTCACTATGATCTAGTCTTCTTCAGTGCAGCTCATGAGATATTAACTCTGATTCAATCATTGTAGGAAACTGCATTATGCTTGTTTGGAGGCATGGATCTACATTACGGCCATGCAAATGTCCCTTGTGTCGTCGTCCGATTAGTTTGTTAGTTCCTTCTGAGGAAACAGTGAGAAGTCGGAATGATGCTACGGTTTCCGAGGTTCTGCACGATGTTGAAACTTACAACCGAGTCTTTGGTGGACAGTCAAGTGGTCTAATTCAGGTATGTGTTTGTTCTCTATCCACAATCTCTGGGATGTCAAGCAGATTATAACTGACCAGAGCTAAGTGTGGTGATAAGTAGAGTAGTTGTTGAGGACTTAGAGGGTATGACTTAAGGATTTAAATAAGGAATTACATATTGGCTTTGCTCTTAAGTCTTAAGGGTGATAGAAGGATATTCAAATTGTGGCTTACCAGGATAACAAATTTTGCAGTTGAAGGATTAACTCTATACTGTGGATTTATTTACACTTATTGTTTTCTTTAACTTTTGGTGGTTTATTGGTTTTCTCATTGTTTTCATCCTGTTCCCAAGTGACGGATGAATGCTTTCGATTTCATCATCTTGTTGTTGCTTTTGTACAAAGTCATGCTTCTCATAAATTTGCCTACACATAAATCTAGAGTTTACTGGAACCTTCTCTGCTTCTCACATGAAATTTCAATTTGTTTTGCAGAGAATGCAAGACCTTCCTTTCTTACTCCGAAGGTTGTTGCGAGAAATGATGGACCCACGAAGAACGCTTCCACTCGTCATCAGAGCTCGTGTTTATATTGCGGTTAGTTAAACACATTCATTACTTTTGGACCATGTATAAGTAATAAGTTTATCTCGCTTATAAGTAAATCTTCTGCGATTAAATTAAATGTTCACAACTTTGAGCACTTGATCACATCTGTGAACTAAAGAATGCTCTGACTAACACAAAATTCACTGCATTTTATTTGATGTAGTTGATACTCAGTGCGATTTACATAATCAGCCCAATAGATATCATTCCGGAAGGTATTCCTCATTTCATCCCTTGACTATATTCATACAATACACTATTCTCTCCTATCAACTTACCTTACTGACCAATACTTTGTATCGATTTCTTGTCAGGAGTCTTGGGGGTTATCGGTTTACTAGATGATCTACTCATAGCCCTGATTTGTTTCCTCCATGTGGCTGCTCTCTACCGATCCGTTCTCTATTTCCGTCATGGTGGTTCGTGAATCGCTTCGAAATTTTCACATCATTAATCATCACAGTTGAAATACTAAGTAACATGGTTTACTTGTTTGACCCTTTCTTTTTGACTGTTAGATTTAGGAGACTTGTTTTGGATGATAAAACAAAATGGTCCATTCCTTTATTACTTTTAGTAATAGATGCATTATATTGGTGAAGGAATTGAAGTTCTCGGATTACAGAAAGAAACTAGAAGAGAGTAAAAATATATACAGATTTTCTTATTTTCCTGAAATATCTTAATAAACCCAATAGTAGTGTATTCGCCTAGACAGGGCTTGCATCGCCGGATCGAAGGTACGAACGTTCACCGACATTGTTCTTAGTAAATAACCGATCAAAGGGTGACCTTATTGCTAGAAGCAAACCTTTAGGTGCACCAGCACGATCCTGATAATTACCACTACCGTTGATTATTTCATCCGGAGACTGGATCGACTGGGTATGGTACGGAGGAGTTATCGAAAATGGTCTTCGGTCCAACCGACCGTCTTGATCAAACCGTTCAAAGTAGAAATAGTTCTTCTTTTCAGTCCCTAGGCTTTTGGTTCTGTACCCTCTAACCGAGCTCCTTGCTAGAGGTAACGCCAGTTGACCTTTTGACCCTTGGTTTCCCAGGCTGGAGTTCACAAGCTGATCGTGTATCTCTTGTGGTAACCTCAGTGTAAACCGGTCAAGATTCTCCTCTGGTTGACCGGGAGAACTAGCCGGGCTGATCAATCCAGCTAGTTTCCAACCTGTAGACATGGACTTACGTGGCATGCTTTGGTTACCAGTCCAAGCCACAGAGTCAATCAACCGCTCATCCGGTGAAGCCAAAACCCTTTTCCGGTTATCATCAATCGGCGTTCCGAGAGAGTTTTGACCGGTTTCTCCAGCTAAACCAGGTATCTCCAAAGAAAACAGATTCACCCGGTACAGGAACAAGATTGGCACGGCAAAGAGGACATGTGGTTTGAGAACGAAGCCAAGCATCAATGCAACCAGGATGAAACACGTGACAACACTGAGGAATCAAACGCAGCGTTTCGTCGTCTTCGAACTCGTTGAGACAAACGGGACACTCCAAAGCTTCTTTACCGATCCTCAACGTCTTCACGGTAGAGTAAGGAAACGTTGGAAACGTTTCTATAACAGACGCGTCGAGCCCAGGCTCCGTCGTTTGCCTCACGTTAAGCCAGTTTCCTGGACCACCACCGCTGTCTATCCCAAGAGCGTGCTGGAGACAGCTCCTCATGTAGACGGAGATACATCCAATTGTGAATATAACACTAACGAGTACGATCATGATTATAGCCGTGGTTGGACTGAACGTTGCCCTTCCATCATTATCAAAATCGCTGCTTTGAGCGACACCGACATGTAACAGTAGTAGCAAGAAATAAGAGTAGAAGCTTACTCGTGACATGACCACCATCGATGGTTGCAAATGGTTTAACGATTTGATGGTGGAGGTAAGTAATTGTACTTCCCGGTTTCATGAGGACCAAAGCTTTTGCCGGTGAAAGAGCTTTATATGAAATAAAATAAAAGCCTCGGTGTTTATTTCATTTTGTCTTTGGCTTCGAAAGAAACCAAAAAAGTGATGGTAAGATCATAGGAGATGATATTATAAGAACGTGTGATACATTAATTTAGGGGACGGTTTGTTTTGCATAATGCCTACAAAGATGGTTGACTTTTCAGATCGTATAAAAGGCACTACTATTGATAAATTATATTATAATGAACAAAGCAAATCTGTTATGAAGACGTATATAATCCAAAAGTGAATTGCTGTGATGGTTTTATTTGTGTCTTTATAAACAAAACAAATTAATCGGATAAATCAACAGGTTTGGGAAGTGGTTTATATCATGCTAATTTGATATCCCAGGTTTGATCGAGTCCTTTAGCAATTTTTTTTTTTTTCTTTGATCGAGTCTAAGAGTTAGATTATTGAGGTATATATATATATATGGACATTTCTGTATTAAAATTTAAGATTTGTAAAACCGAAGCTCCACATATCTTCTTCGTAAAATGACTAAAATCAATACGAGATCAAACATATATCTAATATTCTAATGACTCAACTTTAACAAGAGCTTGATGTGGTCTTACCATTCTAGGTCAACGCAATTACACAATGATAGTGTCGTAAATGTGATTAATAATTTAAGCAGTTGGTGATATATTCTTGTATCATGGTCATACCATGTTGTGATCACGTCGTTGTCCAACCAACTAGTTATTGATTAATATTTTTTGTGGAATCATCAGTTTATATACTCATTCATATATATGATCTCATTGCCCTGATTTGTTTCCTCCATGTCGCTGCTCTCTACCGATCTGTTCTCTATTTCCGTCACGGTGGTTCGTGAATCTCTTTGAAGTTTTCACATCATTAATCATCACAGTTGAAGTACTAAGTGACATGGTTTACTTGTTTGAGTTTGACCCTTTCTTTTTGACTGTTAGACTTAGGAAACTTGTTTTGGATAATAAAACAAAATGGTCCATTCTTTTATTACTACTGTATTTCAGTAATAGATGCGTTATATTGGTGAAGGAATTAAATTTCTCGAATATAACATATAGAAACTAGAAGAAAGAAACTATATATACAGATTTTCTTTATTTCTGAAATATCTTAATAAACCAAATAGTATAAATCCGTCTAGGCAGGGCTGGCATCGCCGGATCGAAGGTACGAACGTTCACCGACATTGTTCTTCTTGGTGAATAACCGATCAAACGGTGACCTTATTGCTAGAAGCAAACCTTTAGGTGCACCAGGACGCTCCTGATAATTACCGCTGCCGTTGATAATCTCATCCGGAGACTGGATCGACCGGGTATGGTACGGAGGAGTTATAGAAAATGGTCTTCGGTCTAACCGACCGTCTTGATCAAACCGTTCAGAGTAGAAATAGTTCTTTTCAGTCCCTAGGCTTTTGGTTCTGTACCCTCTAACCGAGCTCCTTGCTTGAGGTAACTCCACATGGCCTTTTGACCCTTGGTTTCCCAGGCTGGAGTTCACAAGCTGATTGTGTATCTCTTGTGGTAACCTCAGCGTAAACCGGTCGAGATTCTCCTCTGGTTGACCGGGAGAACTAGCCGGGCTGATCAATCCAGCTAGTTTCCAACCTGTAGACATGGACTTACGTGGCATGCTTTGGTTACCAGTCCAAGCCACAGAGTCAATCAACCGCTCATCCGGTGAAGCCAAAACCCTTTTCCGGTTATCATCAATCGGCGTTCCGAGAGAGTTTTGACCGGTTTCTCCAGCTAAACCAGGTATCTCCAAAGAAACAGATTCACCCGGTACAGGAACAAGATTGGCACGGCAAAGAGGACATGTGGTTTGAGAACGAAGCCAAGCATCAATGCAACCAGGATGAAACACATGACAACACTGAGGAATCAAACGCAGCGTTTCATCGTCCTCGAACTCGTTGAGACAAACGGGACACTCCATAGCTTCTTTGCCGATCCTCAACGTCTTCACGGTAGAGTAACGAAACGTTGGAAACGTTTCTATAACAGACACGTCGAGTCCACGCGCCGTCGTTTGCCTCACGTTACGCCAGTTTCTCTGACGACTATAGCCGCCCAACCCTGTAGCTCGCTCGATACAACTCTTCATGGAGACAGAGATACATCCTATTCCGAAGAAAACACTAACGAGTACGATCATGAGTATAACCATGCTTGGACTGATATTTGTCCTTCCCCCATCATTAGCAAACTCGGTTTGAGCGACACCGAGCTGTAACAGTAGTAGGACGAAGGAAGAGTAGAAGCTTAAACGTGACATGACCACCTTCGATGGTTGCAAATGGTTTAACGATTTGATGGTGGAGGCAAGTACTTGGACCTTCCGGTTTCATGAGGACCAAAGCTTTTGACGGTGAAAAAGCTTTATAAAATAAACAAAAGCCTCGTCGTGTATCTCTTTTTGTCTTTTTTTTTGGCTTCGAAAGGGAACAAAAAAAGTGATGGTAAGATCATAGGAGATGATATTATAAGAACGTGTGATACATTTATTAAGGGGACGGTTTTGTTTTGGTTACTAGTGAGTCGTGACAACAATATGGACTTTTCATATCGTACAAAAGGCACTACTATTGATAAATTATATTATAATGAACCAAGCAAATCTGGTATGAAAATGTTTTGGGAAGTGGTTTATATCATTGCTAATTTGATATCCCAAGTTTGATCGAGTGTAAGAGTTAGATCATTGAGGTTTATATATGGACATTTCTCAATTAAAATTTAAGATCTGTACATATCTTCATAAAATGACTAAAATCAATACGAGATCAAACTTATTTATAATGAGTCAACTTTTAACATGGATTATTAAAAAAGAGCTTGATGTGGTCTTACCATTGTAATTATACAATGATTAATAATTTAAGCAGTTGGTGATATACTTGCATCATGGTCATACCATGTTGTGATCACGTCCTTCTCCAACTAACTAATTATTGATTATTATTTTCTATGGAATCCGTTTATATAATCATTCATATATTTGATCTCTCTGGTGTGGATAATTAGTGGATATATTTTGTATATCTTGAGATAGGATGACTTAAACGACGGCCCGATATAATAAAATATTTGTTCTGGATAATGTGAGGTGATTTAACTTTCCCTTTCATTAGGACGATTTTCAACTCGAGAAATAAGCTCTAAAGAGAAAATAAAATTAAACGAAAATGATTAATTAATTGCCTGAGCAGCTAAATTAAAGTACATAAGTACGAGCTTATAAACAAAAAACGACCAATTGCCTGAACGAACGCATTTTTTTGCCGTTAATTCATTTTGGAATTTCGATTCTCTTTTAAGTTCAAACAGAATTATAAATGAAACCAAAATATTAATAATAAAGCATTTAATATACATATTGTTTGTTGTCAACATGTCATCTATAATATACATTTTATAGTCGCACACCCCTAATTGTCTATGGACAATTAAATGCCTTAACAATTTGCGGAAAAGACATCAATGTTAATCGATATTGACAATAATATATATAAGTCCCAATCTTATCATCTCGAAACATATCTCTTCTGGTGTAACAATGTTTGTTTTTCTTGTCTGTCTATTATATTATTATTTATAAGTATAATAGTGTAATAATGTGATATTTTAGAGTATTTCTTTTATCTATATAGTTTTTAATAGTTTTTTGCAGATGAATTTATTTTGATTATAAACGAATAAACATAATATATTGTGTAAAAAAAACATTTTACTCCTAGAGCCAGGTTTTGTTTTGTTCGGATATCAAATTATATTATACAAGAATTATTAAGAGTTATATAAAACAAATGGATATGACAAAAAAAAAAAAATATATATAAAACAAATGGAAAATTGTATAATGGTTTTATCGAAGTGTGAACTTAACTTGAAGTATATCTCGTAGAGTTTGTTTGCATATGCAACTCTTTAGAAAGATTTGTGGATTATTCTCGTTTTTTGTCAACATATATTAATTATGAAACTTAGCCATGAAGATTATTCTTTTGTTCATATGCTTTTTTCGTTTTATTATAAGTGTCATCTAAAGTTTTTTATATATCAAAAATAATTTTTTTATTTTATTTTTTTATTAATATATCAAATGATTTTTCATTGATTAAATATTAAAATAATAAAAATAAACCTCGAAATTTACCAAACATTACATTAAAATATATTCGATTTGAAATAATATTTTAAATTTAAATGATATTTAATATAAAACGGAAGGAGTATAATTTTTGGTATGTTACCTACAGTAGCTCTGACATATTCTAGAAAACAATTTGGTACAAAAAAAATTTGGTATCATTTACACAAACGGTATAATTTTTTGAAAATCCTCGACACTAAAATTTAAGAATGTTCAGTTAAAATTAGAAAAAAGCGATACAATATTACATTCTATTTCCGACAACTTTGGGATGATCATACAACTAAAGGATGTTTTTGTCTGATCGCCTGAACAAGAACGTCAGCATATCAAAAACGTCAACGGTTACAGGAAGAACTTTAACGGTTAGAGACGGATTTGAAATTTAATAGTTTCCGCATCAAACGACAATGAATGTCGACCCACGTATTTCGATTTCATTAGCCGATTATTTTTATGAGCAAAATTTATTCTCAACGGTTAGGCTTCGTATAAAGAGAGCATGTTAAGCGGTACATATCAAGCGAATCATGTTGGATAAAGAACAAATAAAACATATCAAAATGATGAAACAGTAAAAATGCGTATCAAGCGGATTAAGTTGTTTAACTGTATGTTTGAATGGAGAAAAAATTGAAAAGCGGTTTTGAATAGTATATAAATACAAAATAGTATTATAACATAAATATTAGATAAAATATTATATAGAACTTCTTTATTTCAAAATAATTTATAAGTAAATTGCTATTTTCTAACAATTAATTTTTTAATTTATAGTATATCTATTTGTGAAGTTCATTTCTACAAAATTGTTTTTGCAAAATCATATTTAAAATAATAAAAGATCCTTAGGTTATTTTGAAATAATGTTGTACCGATAGATGTTTATGGCAGATATTATTTAGAGTAAATTAAACAAAAAGTTAATAAAAATGAAAAGAAAAAAAACACATATGAAACATGTACATCAAATATGGTGTGTATTTACGCCCACAGTTTATTAATTTGCTTCACAAATAAAAACTATAATCAAAACGCCAATAGTTATCCAATTGTATATCCAAATAAGCCCAATAATTTAATGTAGGCCTTAGGCCCTTAGAGCACTTGCAATGGCAGCTCTATGCGTCGTCCCAGTCCATTTATTTTTTAAAAATAAATCAAAAACCCTCATTAAACACAGAACCGTTCCCACACGAGAGAACGTTTCTTCACCGTCCCTCACTGCCACGTGTTCTCGCGTGATTGGTCGCGTGTTTTTTTTGTGCCGTCGATTGATTTTCGCCTTCCTTTTCTCTCGTCGGCGAAAGCTTTGGCTCAAGCTTTGTCCAGCTATTTCATCTCCTCTTCTTTCAAATCGTGTCTTGTATTTCACTCTCTTCCACTCCGATCTGTTGTATCGTTGAATTGAAAAAGTTTCCACCAACAACCGATATAAACGAGGTAGGTTTTTCCATCTGAAATTTTCAGATTTAGAGGATTGTGGCATCAATTTTGATCTTCCGCTATGAATTGATTTGGATTGTTCTTTTGATTGGAATCAATTTTTGAGAATTAGAAGTGTGGTTGCTATAGTAAAAGCTATAATTGATTTTGTTTTACTGTATGATCTTAAGTCATCAATTTGTTATCTTCTTTTATCGGATCTCATCTCTTTGGAATTTGTTATCTTTCTTGTGGCTGATTCGTATAGTCTTAACCTCGTAGACCAAAACAGGGTAACTTCATATACAAGCTCTGTTTTTTTTTCCGATATGGTGTAATCAATATAACTATGATCTAATATCAACTGAAATCATTCTTGGAAAAACCCTCCTTAACCTTATTTGTTAACACAATAGTTATGATGCTATAGAAGAATGTGTTATTTGTTGATACAATAGTTCTGATGCTAGAGAAGAATTATGAGTTATGTATTGTTTCATTTTGAAACGTCTAAGAGTTTCTGTTTATATTGTCCATTTTAGGCACTTGTGGATGCCCCTAACATGGAGAGAATCCAGATGAATTTAAAGAGATTGTCTCTTACTGACATTGTGATTGATATCAACAGAGTGCCCAAGAAGAAGAATTTGATTGAGGCAACGGACAAGGCTGGTGAGTTTGTTGTAGCTTACATTTGGTTATTTCTTGCCTTGTTTGGTTGGTTGGGTTGGGTCATCTGAATAAAACCATGTTGTGAATGTTTTAGTATCTAAGCCATTGGCTAGAAACCTCAAAGTCTGCGGGAACAAAGGTACAAATGCAAAGAATTCTTTCCATGAATGTTTATAGTAAAATTTTTGTAGAAGGTCTTTGTTATTATCTAGTTAATACTTAAAAGTTAAAAGCTGATGTGATTAACTTTTCAGGAGTTTTTTCTTCTCATGGTGATCTTGCAGAGGACTTATCTCATATCAGTGATGTTGAGGTAAGTTATATAATGTTTACCTTAACGTTTGATTGATGCTTATTGTAGCTCCCACAAATTTCGACACATGTATTTAAATAATCATAGCATCTCTCAACCTTTCTCAAGGAGGATATAATTTGTTCTTGTGGAAGTTTATCTAATTTAAATCCCATCTATGGTTTTAGTCTCTGTATACCAACAGGTGCATCAACCTTTGAATCTTTCTTATTGGTTTAGTCTTAAGCGAGTCAGGTTGAACTTATAAGGATTAGGTTGTGGTTTATCTGTCTGCAGGTCTTGGTTCTCAAGCAGAGGATATATGGGCAAAGGAAAACTGTCAGGGAAATAGTTGGAGAGGAGCAGATGAGTCTGAGAATGGTGGCACAACAAGAGGCTTTCACATTGGTGGATATTTTTGATGGATCTGATAAGTTTTTGTTTTTGTTTTTTTTTCCAACTTTTTGTAACTTTGTAATTTTCATATGTTTTCAATGTTAATGTTATATGTTTTATTTTAATTAAAACTTTTATATGTTTTTACTTATTAATTTAAATAATTAATTTTTTAAATATCAAAATATTATTATTTTATTCAGGGGACAAAATGTGAGGGACACCAATGCTAATACCAAACTTAAGAAACTCTGAAAATAATTTTATTATATTTGAGGGACCAAAATTTGTCCCACACCATTGCTCATGGTCTTAGCTACTACACTCCCTTGGTAATCAATCATGGGGAATAAACGGTGAATGGAATTTTGAATTAACGGCAAATGAATAGTTCAAGTCAATGCCGTCAAAAAAAAAGAATTGTTCAAGTGAAAATAAAATTTGTGAAATCAAATTTAAGTTCAGGAAAACAAATATCCGACAATGGTTCAATGTCTTGCCACATATATCATATTTATGAGTGAATACCAATAAAAGCAATTGCAATTTCAAATGGTTATATGATCTAAATCCATTGAAATCCAGATTTAGACCGATGAACTTAAGATATTCAAAACTCGTAAACGAAAACCAAGGTATTCATGTAAAACTACGTTGGAAAAAAAGGAATCATCAACTTACAAATACACAATACACATAAAAATTCAATTTTATTTTGAAATTTGAAAAAAAAAATAAACATAATTTTTTCTATATTCTAAGAATATATATATAAAAAAATACGGGACTACAAAAGATAACTGATATACCATACAACTATTATACCTTTAATTTTTCCAATATATAACTGATATTGCTTAGAAATAGTAGTAAACATATACAAACTATTTCTTATGATAAATAATTGAACTGTTTTTTTTTTGTTCACAAAAAATAATTGAACTGTAATATAGAGTTATTGGATGCTGTTCAGCTATGGGAATCCAGGCCTACAAATCTATTTGTATAGTTACAGATGTACCATTTCTTACTTCTTTTTATAATAATAAAATGGTGTACCATATCTATCAGTTTTGTATATACAACAATGAGGGTGTGTATAGTGTTGAAAGCCTAGCTATTTGAATAGAATTCATATAATTCAATCATTCACTACTTGACCCAATCTCGTACTTTGTTTTCTAATATAAGAGGCACGTAAGATGAAATCCCACACGTTTTTTCTTCAATGAAACAGCTATTTATGAAAATTGACTTCCTAGCTTGCTTGATTAATTATTTTCCATTGCGTACAAACCAAACCGGAGTAAACCAGTTCGGTATGTCACATCACAACTTGTCTATGACAATGTAAACAAAAAAAGTACAAGAAAGCACAAAACTTCTAAATTTTGTATTTGGCTGAAAAGATATAAGATACATGTTTATTTTATTTTTTTTGGTAAAAAAAAAGGTGGTTTCACCTCTTTGCCGGGAACCCAAGCATTGTAAATAGTCTCTCCCACCGTGAATCGAAACCAGGTGGCGGTAGTTACAGCTGCAACCCCTTTACCACTAGGCCAACTCAACGTTGGTGATACATGTTTATTTATTTGACAACGTACATACTTATTTTGAATAACTGAATAACGCGCTTTAAATTTTGATTTTGATTTGGCTAACAACTATTGAATAATGTGTTTGAAATTCTGAATGTTAATTTTTCGTCATGTGATTTAATATAGCATATAGACTAGTTATATGTAGATATGTACATTCTGCTTATATCTACACAAATTTCTTTGTTAGTGTCAAAAATCTATGAAAAAAAAAAAAAAAAAAAAAAAAAAAAAAAAAAAAAATTTAGATACTAAAAAGGAAAGACACTTGAAAATTAGTACTACATCATACTTTAAAAAAAACATCTATTATGTCATCAAACTCGTATGTCACGCTTATACTCAGCGACAGCGAATAAATTTTAGTAATGGACGAATAAAATCCTTGTTGATTACTACTGATTATAATTACATATAAATTGATTAGTGACGTGGCAGATGAAGAGTTAAAAAAGGTAAAAAATAGAGAAGTAACGTAAAATGTTTGGAAGCGAATCTTGAAGTCCTCGAGTCACTCCAACTGCAAACTTTCAACATTTCACAGAATTTTAGGTACCAACATCCCCGGTTTTCTCGGGAAACTCAATTACATCAAACTTTAATTTAATCATTAAACAATCTTTTTAAAAATGATTATATTCTCGATCGCATTAGAAAATAGATTAGAATGTTCATGTTTTGGATAGAAATGGAAAAACAAAATATGATTATTGCGTATACACAACAAGCTTATCAAACTCTTTTCCAAACGCGTTAGATATTTGCGATCTTTTATTGGGTCGGGACTTCTGTCATTATTATCCTAATTATTGAATTAGATTTGTCTCCTACTAATATGAACGCAGCTTAATTTTGTCAGTATTTTAAGATATTTTCAGGAAGAAGAAAATTCTTAAAACTACAAATTTTGTTGTCTTCCAAAAATACTACAATTTTTAAATAAACCTATAAAAATAACACCAGTAAAATTTAAAAAGGATTCTCAAATACCAGTAAAAAGCTTTTGAAAAATTTAAGACCCTTTCTTAAGCCTTTATATGGCTTTTGTAGATGGTAAAAAAAACAACAACATATCTTTTAAGAAAATGATTTATGAAACTGAGTTGGTTCTTTTTCGTTTTCTTTTTTTTTTTATCAACCAGTTGAATGGTTCTTATTCATTTGTTTGGTGTACAAGTGTCATCATTATAAATTTAAACTTGAGGGGTTAGTATTCAGTTCGGTTTTTTGTTTTTTAGCTCAAGAGAAATAAAAGGTCGATTGTAATTAAATATACATAGTTAAGCTTAATACGATTGTGACCTCTATTGGAAGTTAGCATTCTATAACGTAAAGAAGAAGTATATCTAGATATGGATAATTTTCACCAAAAAGAAAAATAAATTTGTATAGATGCAGTAAAAAGGAAAAAAAAAAATGGGTTTATTAGTAGAGCAAGGTAGGACGGATGATCATCAATCTAGTTTTAATTATTATTAGCAAAATTAGTTAATAATATGAGAATCTCATAAGGAAAAAAGGAATTGATCCGGACATGCTCATGTTAGAACCACATGCTAATGTTCCTTTACTACTACTTAAGGAAATTTATTTTAAACATATAACAAGGTTGTTTATATATAGTAGGATGCTTAGCTGTAAACTGGGGTATTTTTTTAATTTTATCACTTAAATAAATCTAAAACCTCCAAAACGCTGATTTCATCATTTTCAGCTAATTGAATGCAAAATGAAACTTCAAGAATTCAAGCTACAATGTTTTGATTGTTATATTCATATTCAAGAGCTGCAGTTGGAGCTGTTGGTTGTGTGTGCTCTCTTTTGCTACCAAATACCAACACAGCAATTTTGAATTCAAACGTTGAAAATGTGTTAGTGTTTTCATTCAATAACTACATATAAATTATGCCAAAAAATTGATTTGTCCCGTATATCGTAAATAATATATATATGATTTTTTTTTTGTTTATAAACAGTTCTCTTTAAATTATTTATAAAGTTAAGCTTGTTTTTTTTTCTTTCTTTAAGTTAAGCTTGTTTGTATAATAAAAATTAATGTATAGTATGTTACCTAGAACCAGTGATAAAATCTTACGAAAAAACGAACCATGAACCAATAATAGAGAAGAAATATGAGTCTACTGACAACAACAGTAATAAAAAAATCATGAATTCTTCAATAAAACGAAAAGAGTTGTCACAATCCGACGAAGACGTGGCCAGAGCATCGCGATTCACGAATCATTTTGATTTACTAAACACGTATTAAACAATCACATTCACAGATTTTATTTTCGATCTGTAAATAGTGTTACTTTAAAATAAATAGACATGAGAACTACAGAAGAGTGTATGTCTGAATACATACGACAATGAAAAACCTGCAACCTGTTGTGCGATAGTAAAATTACTATTAATATTATTACGTAGACAAGAAAATATTACTAAACGAAGGATCCCGGAAATACATTGAACAGTCAGGAAAAGCCAATAACATCTAAGAAATATGTGGATTCCTACCATAAATTTGAAATGATATAAAGGATAAATAAATTAAGGCATAGGAACAGTGATGATAATCTAATCAAATAATAAAACAAGAGAATAATAGGTTAATGTGTATATTAGATAGTGATTTGAGCCCGTTAATGCATATGTATTCATAGTCTCTCATAAATGAGTGTTGTAATTAATGAAAACACAAAGATGAAGAAAAAGCTAAAAATGATAAGGGAAATGATTCGGAGGATGCATGAGAAAACAAGCCCATTGGAAAATTATAAGCTGTGTTCTTGGAAAAGTACTTGAGAGACAAGAAAATAGAAGCTTAACTTTATTGGACTCTTCTGGACGTATGCTCATGGCTTCTCCTCTCAATTTTTTTTTTACTCTTTTCAGAAAGAAAAAAATATCTCTTTAAACGTCTACATCAAAAACAAAACTCTGCTACGATCGATAGAAAATAAATATCACTCGTGCGAAACATCTACATGTTAAATGATGTACATAACTGATTAAAAAGTAGTATTAAACATAATGGAATGATCGAACAAATTTATAGATATTTAGATAATAATTGACCAATTAAATTATGAGTTTGATGACATATAAATAACATCAGGTACACTGGATTCAGAGGAGACAAGATTACTATAGCTTAAATTAATTTCAAGCGCATCCAACAAGATTCTTTGTATCATCATAAAAAGTTTGTCCTGAAGTTATATGTTCACATTTCATTTATTTTTTCGGCAAATTGGTTCAGATTTTAAGATTCCAAGTGTCCGACCAAATTTGATTACAAAACGCAGCCTAGTCACATCTATCTAATTCTTTCAATTTTTCATTTGTTATTAAAATAGAATTATACTATTATATATTCCCAGAGTGATTAGATCAGAATAATCAAAAGATGCCACCTAATTTAAATACATAACTTTTTGTTTTTAACGTTGAAAAGACAAAAGATTTTTAATACGTAATTACCATCATTTTATTACATGTCAAATAGATATCTAGATTTAAATATATTTTTATAACAAAATTGTTAAACCTGACATAAATAAAGTGATACCCACTGGCCAAAATAAATCTTCTTTTGCTGGTGTATTTTCTGACAAACATCTGTTTTAAAGATTTTTAAGTTTAATCGGATACTAAGCCATATATTTGATATGGAAATACATTATTTTTGTTTTAAGTAAATAGAACATGAGTGTAACTAGACGACCCAAGCCTGCAAACAGATTATTTGGTCTTGTGGACCGGTCTACTACTACTACTAGCTCACGTGCAACTGGACGCTGTAATGTATAATACAATACATGTATCTATATGCGTCTATGTATCTAAATAGTAATTAGTAACCATAGATTCAAGCTTATCATCAATGGATCTAGTTCCACGAAGTTGGATAGATATTCTAAGGTAATTTCTGGTAGAATTTTAAACCGACAAATTGGTACCAGATGTGTGAATGCAAAAAACGAAAAATTAATTGGCGTAGACTGTCGTAACTTAATAACTTTCTTTATAATTAGCATCTAAATGTATAATGTTTTATAATTTATATATAATTCCAAATGAGATTTTCACCATTTCGTTTTATTGTATCATTCATTACTCACTTGTCCGACTGACGTTTTTTCTATTACCAAAATTCTTAATGCAAAAAAAATTAGTAGAATTGCACGTCTTAATTATTTTGGAGAAAACGTTAATCCACAGCAACTTTTTTGTTAAAGTAATCCGCAACATGACATATTAATTAGCACTAATTAACGAACTGATGTTTTGCCATATATTTAGAATTTTCAATTTTCTAAAAAATTAGCTTTATAGCCTCACAAATCTTCTCTGAAGTCCCTTAATAATTAAACACACACTTTGTTTGTTTTATCTTCATATTTCCGCTTTCACTCTCCTATCCATTTTTTTTTGTTTTGTTTTTCTTTGTTAAAGATTCAGTCTCATATTCTTCCTCCATGCCGGTGAGTTCTTGAGAATTTAATATTTCGTAAATCAATTTTAAAAGGATCTTCATATATATAATTAATACCAAGCTTAGTAATTTCCTTTAGTGGGCTTAACCCTTTTGCCTTTATTTCCCCCTCGAGACAAAAAGGAGAGCGACAAACACTTCCTGTCTAAATTTTGTTTTCTCTTCTTCTATCTCTCTCCCTCTTTCGATTTCTCAGTCTCTTTAATTTTTTCCCATATTTTTAAAATTTTCTTTTCAACAATCTCCGGCTTAAAATGCCCTTAGAGGCTGTCGTATACCCGCAAGATCCATTCGGATATCTCTCTAATTGCAAAGATTTTATGTTCCACGACTTGTACTCTCAAGGAGAGGTCGTAGCTCAAGATACGAAGAACAACATTGATAAGTTAGGGCAAGAACAGAGCTTTGTGGAACAAGGTAAAGAGGAAGATCGTCAATGGCGAGACTATCATCAATACCCTTTATTAATCCCTTCGTTGGAAGAAGAGCTTGGTCTTCCCGCCGTTGATGTGGAGAATCATCCTCCTCCACAGCAGCGGAGGAAGAGGAGGAGAACTAGAAACTGCAAGAACAAGGAAGAGATCGAGAACCAGAGAATGACTCATATCGCCGTCGAGAGAAATCGCCGGAAACAGATGAACGAGTACCTCGCTGTGCTCCGTTCTCTAATGCCATCGTCGTATGCTCAAAGAGTAATTTACTAATTCAATCTTTCATTCTTTATATATGCTATATATCATTTGGTCAGGATTTTTCTTAGGTATATATATGATATATCAAATGTTTGTGTCTTTGTTTTACTTCCTTGGCCTAGTACTAAGTTTTGCATGTTTGAGGTTTCTTCAAACTAAAACTCATTTTTCAGTGATATATTAACACAAAAGAATAACATGAGGATGATTGAGAATAATATATTGATGTTTTTATACAATTTATTAACAAGGAAATCCACCGTAAACTTACAAGGGTGATGCGTTTATATATATATATACTACACTGGTACATAATTTAATATATATTTTATATAAAAAATTGCGTGACACCAAAAATTAGAATGAGTATGATTAGAATATTGGGATGTTTTAATACAATTTCTTAATAAAATTATGCAACTAGCAATGATACGTGTGTGTATATATTTATACATTTAAAGAGTTTTTCAATCTTTATGAACTACATATATAAATATATGTTCTGACTTGAGCGGGTTTTGGTGGTAAAGGGAGATCAAGCGTCGATAGTAGGAGGAGCTATTAACTTCGTGAAGGAGTTAGAGCATATCTTACAATCTATGGGGCCTAAGAGAACCAGGACCACGTCCACGACACATGATCCCGAAGGAGCCGATACTAGCACTAGCTCGTTGGTGGGTCCCTTCTCAGATTTTTTCAGCTTCCCTCAATATTCAACAAAGCCATCATCAGAAGTACCGGAAAGCTCATCTTCACCGGCGGAGATAGAGGTGACGGTGGCAGAAAGCCACGCGAACATCAAGATACTGGCGAAGAAGAAACCGAGGCAGCTTCTTAAACTCATAGCTTCTTTACAAAGTCTAAGGCTCACTCTTCTTCATCTCAATGTCACCACTCTCCACAACTCCATTCTCTACTCCATCAGCGTCAAGGTACGTACATTTTCAACTTCTCATCATTACTTTGTTTGCTTTTGGGGTAATCATGAGATTAAAGTGATTAATGACTGTGTGGTGCATATGGTTTCACTTTGTTGATTTATTTTTTTGTCTCTTATTGTTGGGGGGGAAAGTTTGGATTAGTACTAGTTGTGGTTATGTCTGGGCTTTAAAAAGGTTGCGAAGAAAAATTAAAATCATTCTCTTTGTTTTTTTCTTACCTCCTTTGGGTACTTAGGGCTGGGGCCTCAATAGTTGTGGGTCAAACTCATAATCATCATTTTGATTTTTGTATTTTTTTAATAAATTGCGTATCTTAATCGTGCCTGTAAGAATCAGGGGACCAACCTAAAAAACGAAACACGAATATGTGTCTATCTATGTCCACGAATTGTATACGTGGTGTGGTGTTGTGTATTAATATATGTTAATCTACTACTGTGGATATATGTTTGGTGGTCACATAATTGAGATGAAATATGTACGGACAACGAAGTGAGACCACCACTTGATTCAGGAGATATTTATAAGCAAATAGATATATATTTTATTACAGTTATCTACGTTCTTCTTAATTTTTCAGTAGCAAACCTTTTCAAGAATTGTTTATGTATAGCTTTATTTAATTTCTTAAGAAAAAATGGTTGGTTCAGGTGGAAGAAGGTAGCCAATTGAATACCGTGGACGACATAGCAACAGCTTTGAATCAAACCATAAGGAGGATTCAGGAAGAGTCCTAATTCAGCAGATAGATTAAATTAATTAGTTTTTATGTTTCTTTTTTTCTATATTTTATTTTGAAATAACTGAAATCTATTTTCTAATTTGTGTATTTTTTTTGGTTTTTTTGTCACTGTTTCTCTCCATGAGTTGCATTTTTGTCTCTCCTGTAATGAATCAATGGTCATAAATATCTGAAAAAATTGAATAAAAGAATGGGTTAACTCGATAAGTAGGTGACATTGGGCGCTAATAGCCGTTATGCCTAATACTAATAGCCGTGTTCTACGCCTAATGTAGTACTTCTCAATGTTCTTTAGGGTTGTGTTTAGTGTATAATTATAATGATTAAAAGTATAATTGATTAATTTTTGGATCTATTTTCTTCGAAAAGAAATTCGTCTTTTTCTAGAACTTTTAAAGTTTGTGGGTTCAACTTTTAATTCGTTAATCACTAAATTTTAACATGTTCCTATGATAGTGGAGGTTATACCTTTGGGCTTTGAATGCGAACAAATTCTTTCTATCTAGTAACCCGAAAAAATAAAATTTAAAATACTTTTGATATAGGTTGTATGTTTATAAATAAAATAAAAACCATTTAGCCGACCATAACACACATGTATATCCAACTATTCGTGGAAAATCAAACTATTTTCACCTCGAGATATGAACCATATGATGGACAACTTACAAACCCACTAATAAACTCTCCCAAAGGACCAAACCTAAGTAAAAAATTTCAATATACATAGTTTAGTATAGTACAAGTTTTAAACCTTATATTTAAAAGTGGATGATCATCCTCATTTAACATAGTTTTGTAATTATCCAACATTGGGCTAAGAATATAATAAAAAAAATTCAAAAAGGACCAAAACATAAATGTTAGTTTATTGATGCTAAATATAAACTAAAATAAAAATAAAAAAATTATTTGAAAAGAAAAACTAAACAATAATCAAAATTAAAAACTCACCAGTACTTCACAAACAATCATGCCTTATGTTAAAATTAAAAATAAAATAAGAAGAAAAATGATTTTCTCTGTAAATCAAATTTTGTAAAGGTTATTTCGCGGTAATATATATTTTATTGAAAGTTAAAGTAAGGGAAGAAAAACGAAAAATTTACATAATAAAATTTGTTTACTACATTTCTTTTCTCAGAGATAGCATGTGAAAAGAAAAGAAAAAACTTACGGTGATCATAAATTCATAATAACAAACAATGATTTGGTTTTCAGTTTTGTAGTTAAATTGGAACAAAATCGGCGGTACGTGGGAATCATGGAAGAATAGAGATGATGATCATTGTCTTATCATGAAGACCCATCAAAGAAAATGGAGACTCAATCGATAAAAGGAAAAAAAGTAGAACTACGTTTTTTTTTTTTTTTTTTTTTTTGTGCAAATAAGTAGAACTACGTATTATTAGAACTTAGAAGAACAAAAAAAAAAAAAGGTAAAAAGTAAAGGCTATATAGATATGATTTTTGTTTTTGACCTAGCCTAGATATGATTTAAACATCCTATTTGAAAAGCATTTCATTATATCTTAATAAGAAACACCTCAAAATATAGCCGACTGTTCTCTACAGCAGCTTTTTATGTTTTGAGCTTATAGATTCACACTATCTTGCAGCTTTCTCTTTATCTTTTTGTTAGACGTATTCAGTTTTCTTTGTTTATTGTATATCTTTGTAACTGTATTCACATCCACTATATCTTAAAACATCAAATGGGCATGAAAAAAAAGAAACAAAAAAAAACATAAAATCATCATGATATGGACAAAATTCTATTTTCTTTTATTTGAATTTAGATGTCGAATTATTCAATTATAAGAAATTAACCAGTCACATGTTCCTCTCTAGATATGCATTAGTCCTTTATGATGTTGAAAAGTAAATTTGAAATCTATTATATACATCAAGAATATGAGAATTTGGGGAAAAAAAAATCAAATTGGGCCATGAAAAAATAAAAGGAAGTTAATTGGAAATCTACACATGGTTTTCCATAATTATTGATATCTTTGTAAAACGTGCATCATTAGTTGCAGTGTCTTGATCATGTTTTCTCAAGACTATTTACCACATAAACCACCTTTTAACTAGCTTAGATTGTAGGTTGAGTAAGCCTGAAGCGTGTGTCTTTTCAACAATGAAACGTGCATTTGTAATTAGTTTAATTAAATAAATTTGTGTTGGCAAAGAAAGAGTCATATATGTCACCAAATTAATCAAAGTCTAGCAAATAATGATTGGGCACTATGTATATAGAGCTGATTCGCCTGAGTGATGTTCGGAATAGAAGTTCCACCTGTTTTTTTTGGGTTTAGTCCATATATTTAATCATTGTGAAGCTGTGACGAAAACCGATGACTTATCCCTTATGATCTGACAAACTAATTAGGGAGTTATCGTAAGAAAGAAAGAAAAAAAGTTATCCTAAGAGAGTCGACTAAATTAACTCCAATAAAACACCCCCTATCTAGCTATATATATATGCATGTCACAAGAAGTTCTCATAAAATAGTAATTCCCTTATATTTAACAAATAGTATAAAACAATATGAGCACACTTCTTGGTTGCCTTGTCCTCATATTCTTCTCTATGGTCGCACCTGCCTCATCCGCCACTCTTACGGTGAACTGGTCCCTTGGCACCGACTACACTCCGCTGGCCACCGGAAAGACCTTCGCTGTCGGCGATACCATCGGTGACTAATCTCTTAACTCTCCTAAGACTTATATAATTTGACTCATAATTACCTCTTATATACACAAATATATTTATTAGGTTGGGATGAAAACAAAATAAAGGCCAAGAAGCCATAATTCACAAAATATTCTCATTTTATTGACGTGATAAAATGATTATGATGACTTTATTGTTTTGTTTGCATGGAATGTATATAATTTCGAAAAATCAAATCAAACTAACAAGTACTGCTTAATATCACATCGGTTAACACAATTGTACCAGTTTAAAATTGTTACATCTGTGTTACTCAGTGTTCAACTACGGTACGGGTCACACGGTGGATGAAGTGAGCGAGAATGACTACAAGAGTTGCACTTTAGGGAACTCCATTACGTCCGACAGCAGCGGAACCACGACCATAGCTCTCACGACCACTGGTCCTCGCTACTTCATATGTGGAATCCCCGGTCATTGCGCCGGCGGTATGAAGCTGGCAGTCACCATCGCGTCGGCCTCTTCAAACGTTGTAGGTGGTGGCACCACCACACCAACCCCTTTCACCGGAGGTGGTGGTTACAACCCCACGACCACACAGGCCATTCCTTGTGGGGCTTGGGCCGTGTCTCGTCCATTAGGGGCTTTGGTTGTTGCTACTTGGGCCGTTGTTTTTTATGCTTTGTCTTTGTCTTAGTTGAAATTTTGTGGTGTATGTTAGTATCTTTAAGAAAAAATCGATACTAAATTTGAATTTAGCAAAAGGACGAGATTACCTTGCCATGTGTCTCTACGAGAGAGAGTATGAGACTCGTAAAGCATCAGATCCACCGTCCTTACCCTAATTAGTTGGAACCCACAAGATCTCTCGTACATCTAAGCCGTCCATTTGGATAAAACATTGTAACCACTCTAGATCTCCACTCGAGCCGACGTAACAACAGAATAATATTGTTTGTTTTTGAAAAAGAACAAACAATATTGTTTGCTTTAAACCAGGAGATAGTGATAGTGATCAAAATGACGGAGATTTCGAGTGGTTTCAATTATTTATGTAACTTTAGAATAGAACTCAAATTCGATTTGACGAGTTCTACTATGAGTTTATTTTGGCTATCATACACGTGGAAACCGGAAATTAATTTGGAATTCTATTTGGTATTTTTCGGATATAAAAAAAATTATTTGTTTTTAAGTTATCAATTTAATAATAAACACAATGTGAATGAGTGTCTATCTACGTATGATTGATCTGAGAACATAATTATCATTAATAAAGTATGTATTGTATGTCGATATTAATATGGAAGAATGACCTAACATTTTTCATTTTCTTACAATTTAATTGTCTTTTTTCTTAACTACTACAATTAAATATTTTCCATATAAAATAATCGTATATACGAACCGGTGTCCATTGTTATTTTTTGGCCTTTTGGGGAAATTATAAAGAAGAAAGATCTTGGAAACATCAATAGAGATCATAACCAGCTCAGCAAGCACCACCTATAAATAAACACAAACACACGAAACGGCTTGAAGAAAGAAAAAACAAATAAGGTCACCACAACTTCAACAATGGCAAACGTTTTCCTCATCAGTAGCAGAAACAGAAGATCAATGCGAACAACAACAGAATCAAAACCCAAGAATCTTACGGTGAAGAGATCAGATTCATCTTCAGACTACAAGTACACATGCAAGAAACATCCTAAACACAGACAATCTCCTGGAATATGTTCCCTTTGTCTCAACGAGAGTCTCTCCAAGTTGTCTAGTGATTTCTATGACTTAAGTTCAAGCATGAGCTCGTCTTCTTTGGCTAAAACGATGTCGTCTTGCTCCTCCGCTTCTTCAGAATCAGAATCAGATTATTCTTCGACGGCTATATCTTCTTATTACTCTTCTGTCTCCTCTTGTTTATCTCCTCTGCAACATAGATACAGTGAGATCGTTGTTAATAAGAAGAAAAAGAAGCATGTCAAAAAACAAAGCTTCCTTTCTAAATTATTTCTGTGATTATTTACCAAATTTTTGTATATATTCATTTTGTTATTCTCTGTTTTTTTCACCCCTTAAAATAGAGTAAAATATCTTGAGCAAGAAAAAAAAAACAGAGTAAAAACAATAATCACAAGATGATAACAAGTAATGGTTGTTTAAGAAACTTTATTTACATGATAGTTACATACATTTGATTTCTAAAAAAGTTATAAAGATTTTAAAAATTGTTAAAGAATGTTACTCCAACTAGAAGTCTAGAACCGATTCAATTTAATTTTCTTGAATTCACGGAAAATGTGATTAATTTACAGTGACATTTTGTTATTCTATATGTAAACTATGTGATTTTTTTTTTAAAGCAAACAGAGAATGCAGACGAAGGCTGTGATTGGTTGGCACATGACAATACAGTTGGCAATACAATTAATGTACGGGAAGAGGAAAAAGACGTGTCACGCTTCATTTATTTCAGGTTTGGTATTAGAGCTGGTCAAATTTAATAAGTAGCCTTACCATAATATTTACATAAATGCAATTAAAAGTTACTTAAACGGCACTACAAATTAATAATCCACACAAACTGAATAATATAACAAAACTTCATCCCGTAAAAACATTTTAAGAAAATAATTAAACGGAACCATGGAAAAGTTTTGAATAAATATTTTAAATTTTCAAGAAATCCAGTATTTGTAATTTACTTGGAACTTGAAACGCTTGAGCACAATTCACTAATCTGCCTTGAAACTTGCTTGTTACATTGAATATGGGCTTTGGTAATAAATCATCGTGTTGATGATGTATTTGATTAATAATATAGCAAGAGATTAATGGAAGTGGTGGCTAAATGTTAAAAGAGTGAAGTTAGGAGGAAATGATGAGTGTGTTGTACAGACAGACGTACAAGTGAAGTGGCCAGTTCATGTCTGAGCAGTGATCTGGTGATCTACTCTCAGCCGTTTTCCACGAACATTCTCTCTTTCTCTCCCACGTGACGTTTATCGGTATATGATTCTTCTCTCCGTACCATATCAATACAATTACAAATTGACACTATTGGCTACTTTGTAATGCTAGTTTTTTCTCATAAATATAAAATATATTATTATGATTTTGGTGAATTTAAATTCGCACAACGTTAAAGAGAAGTACAAAGTTACGATAAGTATATGCAATCCGGCCATAAGTCATTTCCTTCAAAAATAATCAGTCTCATCTTACGAATGAAAGTTAAACATGGTTTATCAACGACGACTATATGAATAGATTCTATATAAAAAAAATATGAATCCTAAGGACTATCCAGTTTATTAAAATTACACAAAACTTGTAAGAATTTATTAAAAAAAAGGCTGTCGTCAACAAATATAAAAGAAAAAAAAGAATCAAACATGAACCATAGAACCTGGGAAATTCCCGGAAAGTATGGATAGATCATAGATCTCCTCCCATTGTGGGAATATAAATGTGGTCTTATGGACTACCCAAAAAATAAACCTCCCCAGGAAATTATGAAAACACATGGAAAAATATTTCTCCAATTCCACTGAAAAAAAAGTTCGATTATAAGCCAATAAACCGAGAAAAGATACTGGCTATCCTTCAAATTTCTTAGACCAATGTAACTAATGAACGCCATTCCATTCATAGAAAAAAACCAGCACCCAGTTCAACTACCAATTTGTTTGTAAATCATAATTTTTTCAATATCAAAAAATTTGATTCATAGTGTGCAATTGTGCATATTGGAAAACCGAAAAAATGTTTGTAATTGAGATATTTGACACACACCAAATACTGCAGTATATTTCTAAAACTCTTTATACAAAATGCAGTGAGATCTTAAATAAACACGATTTTATTACACAGATAAATTAATCCGTTGTAATTGCTATCGTCAATATTCAAATCTTTAAAGACAAAACATGTTATAGATTTACCTTTGTATAAATAAAATATAACTTCAAAACAGACAAATATTTTTTAGCTATTATGGTTAGACTCAAAGTATATTTCTTATATAAAGGATCCAATGCTTAGTTTTTTTTTTCATCTGGATCCAATGCTTAGTATAGCAGAAGCTGTTCCTGAGATGGATCCATGATTTGTTTGATGAGGAGTAAATTATCTCTAAAATATAACTATATTCTGTTTGAAAATTGTAAAATTAAGAAACAAAAAAGCATATAAATTTAACTAACAAATTAAAAAAGAATATGGATTTTCATCAAAAAAGAAAGAAAACATAAATAGATGTAGCTGATGCATATCGTAAGAAATTGATAAACTAAAAAAATGAAAAAAAGGAAGAACTCCATGTGATAACTCATGAGCACTATGTTCATTGAATTGAGCAGCCTCTCAATAATCGTTATCGCCACTAAAATTGCCATCTCAATAATCGTTACAACCACTAAAAACTATGACTCATAAAACACACAACACTTTTATGGTATTTTATCTTTTTTTGTTTTAATATATAGAGTATTTTATCATATACTCCATTAAAGAGAACAGGTGTGAAAGAGCATTCAAGAGTGTCTAAATTAGCTAAATAACATATTTTAATGTGAAATAGTACCATTTTGCCATCAAAATTATATACTTAAACTAATTTTCAAGATGTTATACTCCCTCCGTCCCACAAAGATGGATTTTTTGGAAAAAATATTTGTCCCACATAGATAAAAAGTTTTATGTTTCCAATGTAATATTTAAAACGGTTTACCTATTTTATCCTTATTAAATAACAATAAATAATACACTTTTTGTAATGTGTTAAAGTGTTAAAATGTTAAAATTGTCATTTTACATTTTTTTTAAAGAATGTGAAATTTCTACAAAATCTATCTTTATGGAACGGAGGGAGTATATGAATATATCTAACTTTTTAACAGTTTCGATACGATTACATTGATGAGCCACAATATAAACTAAATCTTGTTGATCACAATAAATTACTACGATTTATAGGTTACGACTTTGTCCATTGACAAAATTAGAAATCGTCTCCACGTATAATAAATCGTCTTCTGCGGATTTTGGAGGACTTTAAGAGGGATTCTGGCCTAGGCATCAATAGAGAGAAGACGGCTTTGTTTCTGGATGGGGGAAACTTATTGACAAATCAGGACATGGCTGACAGATTGGGGCTGCAGCAGGGTTCCTTCCCGGTGAGATACCTAGGTGTGCCTCTTACCTCTAGAAAACTGACAAAGCAGGATTATCAACCTTTGATTGACAGGGTTCTCTCTCGATTCAATGCTTGGACAGTAAAGCACTTATCCTTTGCAGGGAGACTTCAATTAATTCGGTCAGTTATATACTCTATCATCACATTCTGGGCTTCCATCTTCCTTCTGCCAGTAAAATGTCTCGAGGATATTGAAAGGATGTGTAATGCGTTTCTATGGAATGGAGCTCCTAGTTCAGCTAGAGGAGCTAAAATCTCATGGGAGTCGGTGTGTACTCCAAAGAATTGCGGCGGTCTGGGATTGAGAAGGCTTGTTCTTTGGAATAAAGTTCTCGGTTTAAAGCTTATATGGCTAATTTTTGCTGCTGGTGGGTCTTTGTGGGTCTCGTGGGTGCGAAGGAACCTGATTGGTAACCAGTCTTTCTGGGACTTGAATCATTTAAATTCTGGAAGTTGGATTTGGAAATCAATCTGTAAGCTCAGGCCTTTAGCTAGGCCATTTATTGTGTGTAAGATTAACTCTAGGATCACTTGCAGTTTCTGGAATGAGAATTGGACTGCTTTAGGACCACTCATTGATCTTACTGGGGTGAATGGTCCTCGGGTGTCTGGTCTTCCAAGGAATGCAGTGGTTGCTGATGCTGTGAGGGATGGAGACTGGTGGATTTCTCACAGCCGCAGCCGGAACAGAACCATCCAACTAATTAAAGCTTGTCTTCCTTCTCCTTTGGTCGTGAATGCCCCCAGGGAAGATGATGATGATGATGATGAGTTCCTTTGGAAGGTTGGGGATAGTGAAGCTTCAAATGTTTTCTCAGCTTCTAATGTTTGGGACTTCTTGAATCCTACGGGTATTCATGTGCCTTGGGCTGACTCTGTTTGGTTCAAAGGTAATGTTCCCAAACATGCTTTTATTGCTTGGATTGCTACCCGGAATAGGCTGCACACCCGGGATAGACTCATTAGCTGGGGACTTGTGGTGCCATCTGGTTGCCTCCTTTGCAATGTTCATGATGAATCTAGGCAACACCTATTTTTTTACTGTGTTTATGCTGCTGAAGTGTGGTCCTACTTCACAAACAAGGCTCAAGTCACTCCTCCTATTTGTTTTGAGGATGCGGTGGTTTGGCTAAAGACTTCCTCTGTTGACCAGAATATTTCTCTCATTTTAAAGCTCGCCTTTCAAGCCTCCTTGTACCTAGTCTGGAAAGAAAGGAAATCGAGGCTTCACACGGCATCGTCGAAGCCTCCCACTACATTAATCCTCGAAGCTAAAAGCTTAATCAGATGTCACCTTGACCCTTTAACTAGGGCCCAGGCAGTTGTGCCTCCAAGAATCTCGCTTCTTGCTTCATGGTTTGGAGTGTTTCAATAGTAATGTGCTCTCTTTGTTTGTTTGTTTGTGTTGTTGTAGGTGTTACTCTGTTAGGAGGCACTGTGTAATTCTAGGTTTCCAAACTTTTTGGGCCTATTATCAATGGTAAGTATTTTCAGAAAAAAAAAAAAAAAAAAAAAAAAAAAAATAAATAAATAAATAAATAAGTAATAACGCACCTCTTTCTCTATATCAGTCAAACGTCACGTGACCCTTCTCCTACCTTTTTAGCTTCTTACCTCTTAAAATAGAAAACAACCAAAACCAAAGTAAAGTTTTGAATCGTCGATTTTGGGCATTAGACACTATCGTGGCATTGGTTGATTGACCTCTCATACTTTCCTTTTTCGGCAAATACCTCTCTCTACTACTCCCACAAATAGAAAGTCTCATCAAGAATTCAAGATCCGTTTTTTCTGAATCTTTTCTTTGACGAGCGGTTTGTTTTTCTTGAATGTTGCCGTTTGGATCGTTCTCAGAGAAATGCGACGGCGGAGGAAGACGGTTGTGGTAGCGGTTGTGATACGGAGGGTGCTAATATGCGCTATATGCGTAATGACATTACTCTGTTTTCTCACCGTACACATCTATGTTGCTCCTTTCAATAGACTCCCTAGGAGGCTTCATCTTAATCACCACAACACTCGCGTACGTAACCATAACCATCTCTGTTTTCTTGATCGGTGTTAGTGTTCTAACTCTGTTTCTGAAATTGGGTCGTTTCTTGATATGATTCTCTCTGTTTAACAGCGAGGAGATATCATCGATTATAACAAATCTATCACAGAACAGAGCTTAACGAGGAATCTGTCTCGTTTAGAATCAGATGAAGCTTCTTCTCTTCTCACCAAACCAAAGGTTTTTAATACGATGTTCTTGAGATCTTCTTGTATGGAGTAAAGTTTTGAACTTTGGCTATCAATATAGACTTTGTCGAATTTCAGGAAAATGAGATTCAGTATCAGAGTTCAATCTCGGAACACATCAAGAACACCGAGCTAGTACCTCCTCATTTTTCTACAAGCCCTTCTTCTTCCAAGGTTTGAAAATTTCTTATATTTCGATTCTTGGTGCAACTAATGGGAGGCCTAAAATTAGTTGCTGTAAGTAAATCATTAGTGAGTGTTTAGTAATTGAGGATATCAATGTTTGGTGGTTGTAAGTGATGGCTAACTTTAGAACACTAGACAATCTGTTTCTTAGATCAAAAGAAAAGTTCGATTGTTTTGAATAGAAGGATCATGCTTCTTTCGTGTTTTTCACTCTTTTAGATTTGACAGTTGAACATGACAAGCGGGATACCGGATTTCGACAAGCTTTGGAAACCTCCACCGAACAGAAATTTCGTCCCTTGTGTCAATTCTAATCCTAGTTACACATGTGAGCAAAGAAAACTATATGGTTTGATTTCTTTTTGTAGCAAAAATCAAAGTCTTGTGTTTTTGAGTACTCTCTGGTTATTTGGTTTCTCAGCTCCATTGGAATCTAGAGGCTATCTTCTTGTTCACACGAATGGCGGGCTTAACCAGATGCGCGCTGGGGTAAGTATGTAGTAGTAATCTGTGTTTTTCTCTGCACTCAAAAGTATGAAATACTTAAGGTTGAATCATTCTTCTTCTATTGCAAAATTTTACAGATATGTGACATGGTAGCTATAGCTCGGATTATAAATGCAACACTTGTAGTCCCAGAGCTCGATAAACGGTCTTTCTGGCAGGATACTAGGTTAACTCCATGTTACCATACTCTGTTTTTTTCTTGTTGTCTAAGAATTTTCTAGATCCTGTTTTAACCTGTTTTTGTTTTGGATTGATGCGATTGTAACAGCAAATTCTCGGATGTCTTTGATGAAGATCACTTCATCAATGCTTTATCTAAAGATATAAGAGTCATCAAGAAACTTCCAAAGGTATTGATGGACTTACAAAGGTGGTTAAGCATTTCAAAAGCTACTCAGGATTGAGTTACTACCAAAATGAGATAGCTAGCATGTGGGATGAATACAAGGTGATCCGAGCCGCCAAATCCGATTCTCGTCTAGCAAACAACAATCTACCTCCTGATATTCAGAAGCTGCGTTGCCGTGCTTGTTATGAGGCTTTACGCTTCTCTACTAAAATCAGATCAATGGGAAAAGTAAAACTATTGATTTACCTATAACCATCTTATATGTCATCTTCCTCTCTAACAGTTTGAGTTTTATGCAGCTTTTGGTCGATAGGATGAGGTCTTATGGTCTATACATCGCGTTGCATTTGAGATTCGAGAAAGATATGCTAGCTTTCAGCGGCTGCAACCACGGTTTATCTGCTTCAGAAGCTGCTGAGCTAAGGAAGATAAGGTAACCAAAACAAATGTACTTTTCTCTGACATTTCTTGCGAGTTGTTGTTTTTCGAGTAAGAAGATTGCGTGTTTAGGAAGAACACAGCGTATTGGAAAGTGAAAGACATTGATGGAAGAGTACAAAGACTCAAAGGTTATTGCCCATTGACTCCAAAAGAAGTTGGAATCTTGCTAACAGCTCTTGGATATTCATCAAACACACCGATATATATAGCTGCTGGTGAGATTTACGGTGGTGAGTCTCGGTTAGCCGATTTACGCTCTCGTTTCTCCATGTTATCGAGCAAGGTACTAACAAAGTTTCAAGATTTTCGTGTTTTTATGATTAGTAACTAAAGGGATCAAATAAAAAGACTGAAGACTCTTTCATTTTGTTCATGAAAGGAAAATTTGGCAACTAGTGAAGAGCTTAAGCCTTTTATGAACCACTCAACTCAAATGGCTGCACTTGACTACATTGTTTCCGTGGAAAGCGACGTTTTTATTCCGTCGTATAGCGGAAACATGGCAAGAGCTGTTGAAGGGCATCGTCGGTATCTTGGTCACCGGAAAACTATCTCTCCGGACAGGTGAGAATTGTGGGTTTTTCTGTTTCTTTTGGTTTTAAGTGATGGAATCTTGTTGGCTTACATTTTATTGGTATTTGTGATTCAGGAAAGGCATTGTGAGGTTGATAGATAGAATTGGAAGAGGAGCTGAGAGAGATAACCGAAAAGTGTATGAACGAATCATAGATATTCACAAAACCCGGTAAGCAAAAACCAATGTTTTCATAGAACTAGACCTATCTCCATAATGTACTGGCTTTAACTGTTGTGGTTATAACACAGACAAGGATCACCGAGGAGGAGAAAAGGGCCAGTTTCTGGAACAAAGGGTTTGGAGAGACATCGTTCTGAAGAATCCTTCTACGAGAACCCATTACCGGACTGTCTCTGCCAGAGAGACCCAAGTAAAGCGAGATAATGGACATGAAACTTGAAATTTTCATGCAAATTTAGCATTGGAGATAAGTTTCAATGATAGTTATAGGCATATTATATAGGTTATAGCATTATAGTGATCAAACAGTTTGGTGATTAATGAATGATATACCAATTTTTATACATGATTCTGATTTATACTTTATTCTATAGAAATTCCATGATAACAGTGAATTTGTAGCTGTTCTACTTGGTTCATGTACTGTGTCCTAAATTAAGAACTTATATCTTCCAATGTTTTCTTTTGATTGGAATAATAATTATCAAGTATAATATATGCACCCTTAGAGAAACAGAAGACAAAAATGTCTCCGGTACTAAGAATTGAAGCTTGCCAGGGGAAAAGTATAATCAGGAAGAACAACATATCAGAATCAGATGATCCTCAAAAAAATTATATAAGAGAAAATTTGAGATTATAAAGTTTTGTTAAATTCTCACATTTTATGAAGATGGGAACCAGAAGTGCTGGTTTTGTAAAAATCTTATTAAACTCTGCAGTGTAATCTCATGGAGGTAACAGCAAAAGAGGAATGATGGCAATATGATTCTTCTTCAGGGAAGAGGACCAGGGAATGTTCCATTTTCTCTTTGCTCGTTCCACCTATCAACCTGCAAACACACAGAAGATAGTTCTTGCAGTATTAAGAAGCAGAACTAGCGAAAACGGAACTAATTTCATGACAACTTGTAATCCCAAAACAGTGAAGCAGTCTATTTTAAAAGGTCCTTTTTTATAACTAATCAGTATCATCTATCAAATAATTGGAACCATGAAGAAAGCTAAAGGAAAGGAAAGTGTACCCATTCGCTGGGGCAAAGAGATCGATAAAACTTTGCAAACTTATCGCATTCTGGAGCATCATCACCCTTAGCAGCCACACATCTGGAGATTTGAAAACAATCACAAAACTTAGACATGGGGAAAGAGATCAGAGTTTAAGGAAAAAAGGATAAACATTGCAGAACATTGGTTTTTTCACCTGTGATATTCGATGTAACGAGTGAAACAATGCCTTGTTTGGTTTGTTGTCGGGAAACGGAAATCAGCAGGAGCTGTCTCAAGCTGCAAAAACACCACATGAGCCAACTCGATTAATATATTAACAAGATCAAAGTAAGTGTATCAAAAGTAAGTCTTTTGGCTACTACAATATACCTTGATCTCATCAGGGGTTTCTTCAGCAACTTCTTCACTAGTATTTTCGTCATTATTTTCTTCAACAGCAGGAGGAGCCTCTTCAGCATTGTCTTCCACTGCAGCAGCAGGAGCCTCAGAAGTCACTTCAGTTGACTCAGGAGCAGATTCAGACTTCTCTTCAACTGCAGAAACCGCTTCCTCAACAGGTGATTCTTCCTTAGCTTGGTCCTTGGTAACCTCTTCAGCTTGTGTAGTAACTTCTGGTGCCACCTCTTTCACTTCAACAGGCTTTGCACTCGTATCTTGCTTCACTTCTTTCTCCAAATGATATTGCTGTCAAAATAAATCGCCAGCCAAAAAAGTGTTTCCAAAATGTTAGACCAAATGATACCAACATAGATCTTTTTGTTACAAATAGATACAACTAATGGTAACACAATCCTTCAATGTAACCTATAAAGAAAAAGTTTGAATTTTTCAAGGCAAATATCAGAAAATAATCTAAAAACTGGAGAAAGATCTAATCTTTGTTGACTTGTTCAAATCAATCTACTTTGGTAAATCAATCAAGAAATTGAAAACCCTAATATGTATTTGAAGAGATAAAGGAATCTGATTTAGCTTGTTCTAAAAGGATAAATCAAAATCGAATTGAAGCAGATCTAACAAAAGAAAGTCTCACAATCAAATTCAAAGAGAATCAGCTCATTTTTCAGTAGATCGAACGAAGATCGGATGAAAACTGAGAGAGCAAAATGGGAAATGAGGTAAGATGAAGAATAACCTCGGAGAGCGATGGAGTTTGAGCGGTCACAGCTTCCGCCATTGAAAGTGTGTGGTCAAAAGAAGCTCGGAGAATCTTCAGGTGACTGGAGAGCGACGAGGATCGGAGACAAGAATCTTTCTTTTGATGATAACACTCTGAGAGAAATTGTTAGGTTTAAGCTCTCCAGGATCTCTATCTGGCTATGTCCTTACCGACAAAACGACAGTGTTTTGTTTTGTTCTAACATAAATTGGGCCTGTTTTACTAAGTCCACTTTAAGCCCAATTAAGTCTCCACTGATCTGTCTACTAAATTATGGACAGTGGTGAGATAAAATGATTTATTTGCACACAACAGGAAAAAAGAACAAATTATGTCTATATTCTTCCACCATAAACCAAAGCAATAGTTTCACACAACAACAAAAAAAAAAAAAAAAAAAAACAAAGAAGCAAATTCCAACACAGGGGATTACATGTGATGGTTTTATAAATTTCTTTTATTTGGTAGAATTTTTTATTCCTGGTTACCAACAATGTTTTGGTACATAGATGAATGAATCACAAGAACATTTCAAATTGAGATAATAAAACAATTATTTATCCATCCATACAACGCAACGGATAGAGTTTCCTTCCGCCAATAAATCAAAAGCTTTGTTAATTTCCTCAAAGCTTAATTCGTGTGTAATCAGACCGTCTAGATTAAGCTCCTGCAATTTAAAAATAATATAAAATCACATTGCGTAATGAAAAAATAACTTTAACTTTTGTTTTTGTATAAATAATTTTATACTCCCTCCGTTTCATAATATAAGTCGTTTTAGGTAAAAGCACGCCGATTAAGAAGATCTACTTTTTAAAAGTTCAACCAATAAAAAAAAAGACTGCATAATATAAATAATAAAAAATATTAAAATAATTATATAATTTGCATAGAAACTTGAAAACGATTTATATTATGAAACAACAGAGTCTAGCCAAAACGCCTTATATTATGAAATATAAACAGATTTATTATACCTTTTTCAAATAACGATCCACGAGAATGGGAATATCAAGTTTGGGTTTCAAACCACCAAACAATGTTCCACATATAGTTCTGCCTCTGAGAAGATCATAACTACCCAAGCTTACTGGCAAAGCCTTTTGTTCCATCCCCAATATTACCGTTTTACCCGATCCCTAAAAAGAAGTCATTACAAAAAATTGATTTCGGTTTATTCATGTAATGATGCGAAACCGAATAGAAACCGGTAAAACGTACCGGACGAGTGCTATTGAAAGCCTCTTCCATCAAGGAAGCTAAACCAATGCATTCAAAACTATAGTCAGCTCCTCCTCCTGTCATTTCTCTAATCACCTTATTTTCATAATCATCAAATAATTACATTAGTTTATTTTATTTCCACATTTTTCGAATTAAAAAGTTGAAAAGTTTTTATAAGAGTTTGAAGACATACCTCGCTAATTTTCTTCTCCCCACACAAAGCCGGATTGATGAAATCCGTGATTCCGTATCTTTTACCTACTCGACATCAGTAGTTATAGGTTATCTTAAGTGATATGGTATATCTTAAGTGATATGGTATATTTAAAAAAAAAAAATGATTATGTCAATTTAACCAGTTCGTAGTAAAATTTCATTAGGAAATCAGTCAAACCTATTTCAAATTTGGCGGGATTGAGATCCACACCGATGATCTTCGCGGCTCCACGCAATCTGACGCCTTCTGCAACCTGTTTACGAATTTTTTTTACCAACTACTTTATACAAAATCTTAATTTTTTGTTGTTGTTAATGTTAAACAAAATCATGAAATTGTTTAATATAGCTTCTATTATTGTGAAATATATGTACCGCGAGTCCAACAGCACCAAGGCCAAAGATAGCGACAGTGGAACCTTCCTCTACGTCAGCCACTTTCCACGCAGCTCCAATCCCTACAAGTAACAAGTCCATATCAAACTCGTAACCAAGTGTAATTATTTATTTATATCTCACCCTTGATTTTGTACTAGTTTTATGTTTTAACCTTGGCTAATTTTAAAATTATCAAAATCAACCCTCTACACAAATATGAGAAACTAAGATAACTAACCTGTGGCAACACCGCAGCTGAGCAAGGCTGCTATATCAACGGGAATTTCAGAAGAGATTTTGACGAGATGTGCGATATCTACCACGGTATATTCAGTAAAACTTGAGACAAAGATAAAATGGTGAATATCTTCTCCAAAAGAGTCCTTGAATCTTGAAGCCATTCCATATCGTCGAGTGTTTGATAAAAAATCGTTAGTATATCTTGTGCACCAGTTGCTCTTTGGAGATTTGCACTCTTTGCATTCTTCACATTGAGGATGAAACACTGGCAAAACGACGTCGCCTTGTTTAAATCCGTCTACGTTTTCTCCAATACTCTCGACCACACTAGATTACAATCCCAAGTAAGACAACAATATCAAGAAATTAGGCAAATTCTTGAAGATCAAGAATGAAAATTAAAGAAGTATATGAAGATTTACCCGACTGCTTCGTGACCTAGAATCCTAGGAAACCTTGCAAGCGGTCCCTGGAAGATTAAAATGTTTGTGAATACGAGTTTTGAATAATTGATTTATGCGTTGACTTTTTGCGAAATAATGTAAACTTACACTTTCTAGTTTCCAGAAAGTAACATCCGTGTGACATAGAGAAGTACATAGAATTTTAATTCTAACTTCGTAAGCTTGAGGTGGATCAACTTGGATCTCTTCTATCACCAATGCTTCTCCTGCTTTTCGTAAGATTGCTGCTTTGCATCGAATCGGCTTTCCTTCAGTGCTGGAGATTGAAGCCTTGTCCATAGTGAACAATGATGGAGGGATCTGTGAGAGAGAGAGAGAGTCACTTGTTCTTTTTATATCATCTCTGCAAAAAGATTCTCTTGTTTTTATCAATAGCTTATTTTTCTAACAAATCACTCACTTTAGTAGCTGAATAATTAAGCACGTCTCTAGTCTATTTTTTAAAAAGTTTCTCTATAATGAGATAGGGGTGGGGATGACGTATCTTTATTTTATTTTTTCATTCTATTTTAAGAAATTAATTTAAGATGCATTTTTGAGGATAATGAAACATTTGCTTTCAGATTGTACCAATGAAAACACATTTCGAACAGGTGGTTGGTTAATCCTATACTAATATTTGGGAAGTACATCCTAAGGATCATAACTTAGATTTTGTAAGAAATTACAATATATGCCATTATATAATTCTAATCATAAAATTTATTCCATGTCACTAATATATATAAACGGGTCAACGGGTCAACGGATTTAAAGATATTAAAAGATTTTGTTTATATAATACATAATTAATATAATTCGAGAATGTTATATACTAATCTATATTCGAGATTATATAATACATAAAAATATTATATAATACATAAAAATGTTATATACTAATATACTAATATATTATTCGAAAATGTTATTCAAAATGTTATATAGTAATCCATTATTCGAACATCTTATAAAAAATGTCATTAAAAATGTTAATGAAAATGATATATCATTGAAAACATTTTATATCAATCCAATTTATAAAAAATAAAAAATGCTATTTTGAATTATAATACTCATATAGTTCGAAAATGTTATATAAATTGAAAATGTTATATAATTCTCCATTTTTTGAAAATGTTACTAAAAATTGAAAATGTGTCTACGTTCTTATATCTAAACAAAATTTATTTTCAACTAATCTATGCCATTATGACCCGTGCATCCTATAAGTCATAACGTTGATTTTGTAAGAAATTACAATATATGCCATTAGAGATTTCTAATCATAATCATTTTAATTCCATGTCACTAATATTAACCAATTCATTAAAAAACGGGTCAATGGATCAAACGGGTTTAAATATATTATTGAGATTACCTAATATATAGGAGACCAATCACGAATATAACAAATATAGATTTTGTTTAGATACAAATATTTTTATTCATACAACGAAATTTAGTTTCGATTTTAAAATATTTCGTTAACTAAACTATACTAATTAATCTATATATACATTTTTGGAACACTTTTAGCAAATAAATCCTGGGGTTGGACAGTATTTACAAAGAATGACATTGACATTTATTATTACTTTTACAAAATTTAAATAAAAGATATTAACCAAACAATATCTTGCCTAATTTGTTTCTAAAAATCTCTACACAATCTTTCCATATATCTTCAAAAAAATTTATAGCAAATATTTATATTAACATTTTGCATAGCAATAAAAATACTAATTTATAATAATCAAAATATTCACATAGAAAAATCAAATACACATACAGGAAAAAGAACTATATTTATCATCATTTAAGCTGTTGCTTTATTTAAATAAAATAAAAAACACAAAAACTTGAAATCATATACTTTATATGATAAATTTAAAATATATATTAGTAGTATAAATTTAAAATTGTTCAAGGAACGGTATACTACGGGTGAGATCCTAAAATTATTAGATTTTATAACAATAAAAATAAATTTTCTTGGATAATACTAATAATTTAGCTAACGAGATAATATAGACGGGTTTATATGGGATGACGGGTTTGGGTCGATATTAATAAATAACGGTATATCACGGATGAAATCCTAAAATTAACAATCAAAATACAATTATACAATCTTAAACACAAAACAAAAGAAACAATATTAACAAAACAAATCCAACTTAAATTTAAAATTTTTAGTTATAAAAAAAACCGACCCACGGTATACTGCAGAGTTAAATATTCAAAATTTTAAAATCCACCATACATCGTTACTTAAAAAAAAATATATGTTTTCGTATTTATACTTCAAAAATTGATAGATAGATATCTACATTTAAAAATACAAATTAATATGATATATCTTCAGTTAATCTTTTAAAAAATAACATTACATTTTTTAAAAAAATATAGCTCCGCGGTATACCGCGGGTTAAATTCTAGTACATACATAAAAGTCAGCTAATAGCTATGTTTTCTTGTAATCTTGATTAAACTACTCTCTACAGTCTTTTTAATTAACTTTATGTTTGTTATACCAAACGTGAGAAAATGAACATAAATACACGAATTCACGTGGTTTACACTAATTCAACTGTAAATCTCGCAAAACCTAAACCCAAATAAAATTAAAATTGCGGCCCATATAAAAATTACAGTAGATCGCCGGGTCGGTCCGTAGAAGTGAAGTGAAAAATCTCGTTCTTACATACATAAGTGACAATGTGTGTGTTGAAACTACTTTTACCAAGGCTTTTGAAGCGACTGAATGTGTCAAGAACTTCAAGATTTGCATTTCAATGGTAAAGGTAAGTACTATAGTGATCATTGATCAACAAATACAGGGTCATAATATTTGTAACCATCAAAAAACACAATGTTAAGGGGTTTGGACTACCATGATAAGTTTGTAGCACTTGTTGAAAGAACAAAAATTACAAGGTAACAAGAACAAATCATCTTGAAAGACAGGAAGATAATCTAAATTTAGATTATAAAGTGTAATAAATATAAAGATGGATAATTTACTTATCCATCCATAGAATGCAGCGTAGAGACTTTCCTTCCTCTAATAAAGCGAAAGCCTTATTGATTTCTTTAAAATTTAGTTCGTGTGTGATAAAACTATCCAAATTGAGCTCCTACAATTTGTAAAAGAAATATTTAATCTCTTGAAAACATAACATTAAGGTTGGAAAAAAGTTGTAATCACATAAATATATATTTATATGTATAATTTACCTTTTTTAGGTAATGATCCACGAGAATGGGAATATCAAGTTTGGATTTCAGACCACCGAACAAGCTTCCGCAAATATTTCTGCCTCTTAAAAGATCAAAACTACCCAAACTAATTGGTGCTGCATGCTTCTCCATCCCCAACATTACTGTTTTACCTGTTCCCTGATTTATTTATTTAATTTCCAATTCTTAAAAGACATTGTAAATTATAAAGCCAATTATGGTTAACATTGGAATGATATACTGAATTGACTAAAGATTCGGTTTATAAGCGTACCATGCGGGTACTGATGAAAGCCTCGTTAAGTAAAGAAGCTAAGCCAACGCATTCGAAACTGTAGTCAACGCCTCCTTCTGTCATTTCTTTAACCACCTTTTTTTGTATTGTCCAACAAAATATTATTTGGTTTTTTGTCTATGTACGTATTAATAAGTTGTTGTAACGTAAGATATAAAAAGATATATGAAGTGGAGTAAGATATTTGATAACATACCTCACTAATCTTCTTTTCTCCGCATAAGGTAGGATTGATGAAATCCGTAAAACCAAATTTCTTACCTGATCAGTAGAGATAATTATAGGTTTATATATGATTAAATTTTAAGTGATTATTTACATTTTCAAAGCAAAAGTATGATTTGTTTCTCTATTTTTAATTTAATATTTTGAAACTAATTTAATTTATGTGTGTATTCAATGAAAATGTTATTTATGACGAAAAAAGAAACCTAAACGACTACATATATATGGCTATTTTGACCCAAAAAAAAAAAGGATAAAAACAGATGGACCGTTACACCACTTGTCAGACCAACACTAACATATATGATACTAACTTATACACTAATCACCAACGTGGTCAGAATAAGCCCACACACACAAAAATCTTCTTCAAAAATAAAAAGACAAAAAGCATATTATCAGGATTGAAATACAACAAGACTTTACCTAGCTCGAATTTATCAGGATTGGTATCAATACCAATGATCTTTGCAGCCCCACGTAGTCTGGCTCCTTCTGCAACCTTTTACCAAATCATTAAAATTATTTAATTATTACTAGCAAATAATAAACGATGTGTATCAGTGTATATAAATTTGACCAAAGAAAACGTATAATTATTTTTATTTTTTTGATAAACAAAAGGTAAAATTATTATTTTTTTTTTTTTTTGATAACCCAGTGTCCAGACCACACAGTGATCCGACTAGCCCACTGGGCCTAAGCCCGCGTGCCTGGGATTTTTAAGCCTCCACTTAAGGGCCCCCCGGAACTGGTGGTCTGGGACGCTGCGCCCCGCAGGTAAATTGCGCAGTGGCCAAGTGGAGATCTAGCAATTGCGCGCTTGCGGGGAATCGATCCCTGGCCTAGACCAACAGGGCAACTCCTCCACAAGTGGCAACCACTAGACCAAGAACACTTGGTTGTAAAATTATTGTTAAAGTAGTTTTGTTTTTTTTATAGAAGAAAAAAAGTAACACTATAATTGAAAATAAAAATGATACCGCAAGTCCAACAGCACCAAGGCCAAAAACTGCAACGGTGGAGCCTTCTTCCACGTTAGCTACCTTCCAAGCTGCTCCAATTCCTGATCCACGTGACGCACCATCAGCTCATCTGCTCATGCATGTGCATTATCTGAATTCTTATAAATAACAATCCGGCCCCTAATCTCTACTTTCTTTTATGTTTTACCCTAGATATAAATAAAAATATCCATACCAACCCTACGAAAACAACTAAAGAAGAGAAGAGTTACCTGTGGAGACACCACAGCTGAGCAAAGCCGCTTTATCAACAGGGATTTCAGGAGATATTTTGACAAGATGTGCAATATCCACGACGGTGTATTCGGAAAAACTTGAGACAAAGAGAAAATGGTGAATAACTTCTCCCAAAGAGTCTTTGAATCTTGAAGCCATTCCATATCGTCTTGTGTTTGATATGAAATCTTCAGCATATCTGTCGCACCAGTTGGTTTTTGAAGATTTGCAGTCTTTGCATTCTTCACAATAAGGATGAAAAACTGGCAAAACGACGTCGCCTTGTTTGAATCCTTCCACGTTTTCACCAATGCTCTCGACCACACTGGTTTAAAATCCCAATAAAAAGAAAAAATTAATATAAGTTACTATGCTATAGTAACCTCAACAAAAAGTAATTAGTCAAATTCTTGAAAAAAGAGTGAAAATTTGAAATTAAAAGATTCACCCGACAGATTCATGTCCAAGAATCCTAGGAAACCTTGAAAGCGGTCCCTGGAAAAGTAAAAAGATGAGTGAAAATCGAGTTTTAAAGAAAATATTAAGCGTTGACTTTGTGATATAGTGTAAATTAACTTACAAAGTCTAGTTTCCAGAAAGTAAGATCAGTGTGACATAGAGAAGTACATAAAATCTTAATCCTGACTTCATAAGCTTGAGGTGGATCCACGTGGATGTCTTCAATCACCAATGCTTCTCCTGCTTTTCTACATATTGCTGCTTTGCATCTAATTGGTCTAGAATCGAAAAATTAAGATCAAGGATTATAAAAGCACTTCTTTTATTAACTTTAGAACTAACTCAAACTAAAGCTCTCCTTAATCTCTCTCTCAATTCTCTTAAGCTATATCACAACCCGATATATGCTTATATAGTAAAGTCTCAAACCCTAATCATAACTCGACTAGGATTACATTGAATCTTATAGATAACTCCTAAAAGATCTAATCTTATCACTTCATTAAACCGTCACCTTGCGGTTCAAGTAATTGTCGGTTTACTTCTCAAGCTTAAACCAACAATCTCCCCCTTAAGCTTGAGCTCAAGCTTCTTCACGTCTTGAACACCAATGAGATCTCTCATCTCTTTAAACTTGTTTCTTCCCAAAGCCTTCGTCAATATGTCCGCCTTCTGTTTCTCACCCGGGACATGCTCAACTTCAATTTGCTCATTTTCAACGCATTCTCGTATAAAATGGTACTTCCGGTGAATGTGTTTGCTTCTTCCATGAAACACCGGATTCTTGGTCAATGCAATTGCTGACTTGTTATCTACTCGTATGGTTACCTTCTCACACATTGTACCAATGATCTCGGCTAGCAATTCTTGAAGCCAAATCGCTTGCTTAACTGCCTCCGTTGCCGCCATGAACTCAGCTTCGCAAGAAGAGAGAGCTACCACTTGTTGCTTCTGAGAACACCATGTAAAAGGACATTCATTGAGATAAAAGACGTGACCAGCGGTGCTCTTTCCATCATCAAGATCTACATTGTGGCTGCTATCGCTATAGCCCACTAAACCCGACTCGATTCCTTGCTTAAAATGTAGACCATGAGTTAAGGTTCCCCGAATGTATCTTAAAATCTGTCTCAATGCCGTTCCATGTGATTCTCTTGGTTCCTGTAAGTACCTACTCAAGATCCCAACGCAGAAAGAAAGGTCAGGTCGTGTATGAAGTAGGTACCTAAGACATCCGATGTTCCTCCTATAATCTTTCTCATTGACTCGCTTCTCTTCTAGTGCCTTAGAAAGTTCAAGACCCGAAGTCATTGGTGTATGAACCGCGTTACACTCACTCATCCCAGCCTCTTCAATTTTCTTCTTTGCATATCTTTCTTGCCTTAACACAATCCCATCATCTCTTTGAAACACTTCAATGCCGAGATAGTAGGTGAGTTTTCCCAAGTCACTCATCTCGAACTTTCCCGCCATTCCTTTCTTGAAATCAAGTATCAAATCCAAGCTTGATCCCGTGACTAGTAAGTCGTCAACATAAACAGCTACTATGAGAAGGTTCTCCTTTTCTTTCTTTCTGTAAAGCGAAGGCTCTTTAGAACATTTTTCAAAACTCAATTCTCTGAGAATTTTGTTTAGCTTAGTGTTCCATGCCCTAGGAGCTTGTCTTAGTCCATAGAGAGCCTTGTGTAGCTTGTAAACTTTTCTTTCACTTCCTTTAGTCACAAAAACCTTCCGGTTGACTTACATACACATCTTCTTTCAATTCTCCATGGAGGAATGCAGTTTTAACATCTAAATGGTGCACTTCCCATCCGTTTGAAGCTGCTAAAGCTATGATGAAACGTATTGTCTCAATTCTTGCTACCGGAGCAAATATTTCTTCGAAATCAATCCCATGCCTTTGCACGTACCCTTTTGCCACAAGTCTTGCCTTATGTTTGTTTATGCTTCCGTCGGAGTTACGTTTTAGTTTAAAAAACCCACTTCAAGCCAATTGGTTTACAACCAATGGGAAGATCAACAAGACTCCATGTTTTGTTCTTTTCTATTGACATGATTTCTTCTTCACACGCATTCCTCCATTCTTGTAACTTGTTTGCTTCTCTGAAGTCACTTGGTTCCTCGTTGATCATGAGCAAAAGATGTTCTCCTTCGATTTCTGCCATTAACACATAGTCACTAAGGTAACTCGGCTTTGTGACTTGTCTTCCTGATTTTCTCAAGAAAGGTACCATCGGGGTTTGCACTGTCGGGGTCTGCTCTATTTCAACACTTTCGGACTCCTTATCCGCAGCATCTTCATCTTCTTCGTCATAACCATTCTCATCGTCTCTGTTCACTCTGTTTTCCTCTGTTTCTTGAATGCTCTCATCACTAATCCCGTGATTTCTCATCACTAAGAAATAACTTGGAAATGTTTGCCTTGTTTGTTTTCCTAGTAAACAAGATGCACAAGCTTCTTTTTCTTTCGGTACACTGTGAATTCCTGTGACTAAATCTTTTGCAACCATCGACATTATAGTTTCAAGATTGATGTGTCCGAGTCTAGCATGCCATAGTGTTGAATCGCTAGACTCCACAAGCTGCAAACAATCCGTTTCTTCCACTTCCAGGTTCACTTTGTAGAGTCTGTTGAATGATCTTGTTGCCTTGACTAGCAAATTTCCATCTTTGTCATGTAAGGTTAAGTAATCATCTCTCATTCTAACATCGCAACATGCTTCAGTGGCTTGCCCTAAGCTTATGATGTTACTTTTGAGGTCAGGAATGTAGTATACATCAGCTAAGATCCTTCTTTCTCCGGTTTTGCTTACAAACAAGATTGATCCCTTACCTTTTATGTCAATTCGTGAGTCGTCCCCAAATCGCACCTTTCCTGTGACCATCTCATTCATTTTACAAAACCAAGCTCGATGTCCTGTCATATGGTTACTGGCGCCATTGTCGAGATACCAAGCTTTATCGGAACACGTCTCAAAAACTCTTGGCATCACATTCCTCTCATTCAAGTACACTACCTCATGCATCATAAGAGATTCGGCTTCTTGAGTCTCTTCTTCTTCCTTTTCTTGCGTTTCTTGAAGCTTGATTAACTTGAGAAGCCGATCCGGACAATCTGAGGCATAGTGCCCTGTTTTATCACATCGATAACATGTTACCATAGACTTATCTCTCTGTTGATAACCCTGTTGATACCCGTAATCTCTGTTTTGATATCCAAACCTTCCACGACCTCTTCCAAAGCGACCACGACCTCGTCCTCTTCCTCCATCTTGTGATTCTGAGTTCACAAACATGAGCTTACTCTGATCTTCTTGTGAATCTTCTTCTTCATCACAGACTCGATCTTCGTAAGTTTTATCTAGAGCTGCAATTATATGGATGTATTTCTTCCTAGGCAAACTCTTAAGAAACTTCTTAACAACCTTTGTCTCTTCAATGTTTTCCCCTAAGGATGCTGCTTTTGTAGAAATCTCAGAGATTCTCCCTGCAAAGTCGTCGATTGTGTCACTTTCTTTCATCTTCAGCCTATCGAACTCATTCATAAGCGTTTGTAACCTTGCCTCTTTCACTCGATCAGCACCAAGGTTTCTGGCTTTGATGCCATCCCAGACACCTTTTGCGGTTTCATGTTCTCCAACTTGTAGGATCATCGACTCTGGTATAGATTGGAACAATAAAGCACGGGCCATATCGTTCTTCTCTAAGTCAGCGGAACCGGGATCGATTGTTTCCCACGCCTTATGGACTCGGAGAGCTGCCTTCGTCCTCATGGTCCAAACTGTGTAGTTGGAATTTGTTAACATCGGACATTGTATGGATGAGGATACTCCCTCCTTTGGTTTGTTACCCGTCGTGGCCAATTCACTCATATCTCTAATGATCTTCGTTCTTAATCACGTTTTGAGAAACAAAGCTATAGGCTCTGATACCAAATCTAGAATCGAAAAATTAAGATCAAGGATTATAAAAGCACTTCTTTTATTAACTTTAGAACTAACTCAAACTAAAGCTCTCCTTAATCTCTCTCTCAATTCTCTTAAGCTATATCACAACCCGATATATGCTTATATAGTAAAGTCTCAAACCCTAATCATAACTCGACTAGGATTACATTGAATCTTATAGATAACTCCTAAAAGATCTAATCTTATCACTTCATTAAACCGTCACCTTGCGGTTCAAGTAATTGTCGGTTTACTTCTCAAGCTTAAACCAACAATTGGTTTACCTTCGTTGCTAGAGAAAGATGTCTTGTCCATGGCGATGATGGGATGCACAAATAGGTGAGTGGACGAGAGAGAGAGCTGATCTTGTTCTTCCTATCTTATCTTTTATAGATTTCCCAACTGCTAAAACACTTATGAATATTTTATTCAACGACACATATTTACTAGAGTGACACGCGACACTTACAATAGACTTGTACGTGCTCAATCTATAACGTCTAATTCTATGATACAATTTTTTCACAATTCATAAGATTTGAAGGTATGTCATTGCATTTCTAGATCCAAAACGTGTGTTTACAGTTTTTTTCTTTTTCAATAAGAGCTTTTTAAAAATAGAATTTAAAAGAAATATGTTATTAAAATTGAGAAATTAGATAGTAATATACAAGATGTGCAATTAGTTCGAGTATATGTTGTGCAAAAGTCATGGTCTCTAGATTTTTGAAGACTTCGCATATTCTTTTATGGGCTTGATCCTAGCCTTCACCACATC